GTTTGTTGTTTGGTGTCTACATGCTGTTTGTTCATAAAAGAGATATACATGTATTTTCATAATATACTTCCAATCCTCTTTTTTTTGTCTAGATGGAGTTGGAGAGATGGGATCAGACAGTGCTAGCACTCACCAAAGGAGTCTCAGGCACCATGTACAATGTGCTTCTATTTGTAGATGGTGGATGGATGGTGGACCAGACTTTTGTAAGCATGAACTCTTTTTATTACCCAATCAAGTGCCCCATCATAAAGTTTACCAGGTATCCTTTGATTGACCGACAATTCACCTATGAAGCTAATGTAAATCCAGAGAATACTGTTAAATTTCCTAGCTAAATTTAATTCTGACCCTTCCCCTAACCCTATGCTTTGGTCATCCCCATGCATAAACCCTATTGTTGGGATATTCTACAGTCAATCCCATTTTTTGTATGATTGAATATTTTTTCATCCCTTTCTTTCAGGATGAGGAAGACGAAGAAGTGGATGAGGTACGCTTGAGTCAGATGCAACGCTTGAGAGAGCTCTGCATCCCTAAGATGTGCCTCCTGCTACATTCTGTTCTTCATTCCACGCGACAGTTCAACCATTGCCTGGTCCTAGCTGACATCATGGCATCGGAGCAGTACCAGCTCTATAAGGTCAGAAAAAGGATGACTTCATACTTAACAATAGTAACAATAATAATGAATGTAACTGACATAGCACCAAATCCACACTGTGGGGTGCTCAAGGTGCATATTATGTGGAAGAGCGTTTCTGATAGTCAACGTTGGTGACTTGGGTTATTAAAAGGAACAATCATGTTCTTTTTATAGTTGTACAAAGTGCAGTTTTTCTGATAGTCAACATTTTTAATTTTAATTATTAAAACAAATAACCATGTTCCTTAATTTGTAGTTGTAAATTGTAAAGCTTATCAAACAGATATCATTGATGTTGTTCGGATTGGTTTTTCCTGAATTAGTAGTAGCAGTAGCAGTAGCAGAAGTACAAATACATGTACATTACATGTGCAGGTAGAAGAAGACTTTATTTGATAACTTGTTTAGCTAATCTGCCACAAGATCCATTATTATTTATTTTTCTTCTATGATAAGAAGGTAGGATTGGTGTCATGGATCCACATTCTACTAATTTCAACCTAGTAGATTAAACCCTAAGGAAATCTTTTGTTTAACCAAAGGAAAACTTAGATATTAGATTTACTTCCTTTATTAGACTTTTATTTAGAATAAGGGCCATATAGTGTCAAGGTTTCCAACCTATTTCTATTTTCTCTCATTGCAGGTCTTCCGGAAGCCCGAATTGAAACAAGTTCTCTCACGTCTTAGGGAGTCGTCACTGCAACTTTTGGATCAGAATCTGGATGCCTTAGGTTACGAGATTGCCTCGTGATCGATCCTGTGACCAGATATTAAAAGCTAGATTGAGAAATGTCTTTTCTTGAAAAAAATATGCATGTACCGGTATTCCAATTGGACATTGAACTTGAATCTTGCATATGTAAGGCTACTCCAGGTAAAAACAAGGGAATGGTTTATCAGGAGAGGTAATCTGTATGATTATACAGGTTTCAGAAAGAATTTTAACATGGGTGATCTGATGTTCAGCTGCATGCTTTGCACAGGCACGGAGAACAACACAGCCAAAATTACTGTAGCTCAATAGCATTTGTACCTATTGAATGCATGGTTGACCAAAGAGATTAAAGAGAACCACCTGGTCTCTTATTCATATAATACCAAGCTACTTGTCAACTTATTACATGCATGTAGGCCATAGTACATATTTGACAATTACAATTGTATGTGTAGGCTTCATTCATAAAAGTTCATTTGTATTTGTAATAAGTATGTTTGAAAGTTAAATTTGTTAACGCAATTTATATGAAATCTTTACCATCGACATTTTCAGCTGTTCAGCTGCAGCCTTCGTCAGCAATATGAACTGACTTGACTTCCTGTCGTAATTGGCAATGGTTATGTTGTAGATATTTATTAGTGAGCTTAACAGCTTAAAATTTTGGATGTAAAGTTTTGTGTTGAGATCAAAAGATTAACTTTCAAACAGACATGCAGGCTTTGTAATGTTTTATCAATATGAGCTCTGGTTCACATCGCAAGGATTAAAACTTTAAAGCGTATGGGAAAAAGAAAATCAAGAATTCTCTTTGTTATTCAGACCTGATAAAAACCCGATGCTAATCGGTTCCCCCCCCCCCCCCCCCCCAAAAAAAAAAAAAAATTCTTCCTGATTTTGTCCTGATTTTCCAGATTTTTCTCCTTATTTTCTCTATTCTTCCCTATTCTTCCCAATTTTTCTACAAAAGGGGGGAATGTTGTTTGATGCCATTTTTCCCCCGAATCCTCTTTTCTTTTTTTTTACTCAAGGGGGGCGTGGTGAGGGGGAAAAAAAAACCTACATTTTTTTTAGTGCTCACTATCACCCCTGGTTATTAAAGAACTCAAATTCCTGTGACTACGTGCCTGCTGCTAGCTGTATCTACCATTATAGTTGATTTTCTGCATTGTACAAGTGATGGGACTTACAGGTTTTTGAACTCTCACCCCTGCCAATCTTTACAAACAAGATAGATCTACATAACCTACAACACAACTCGCCAAAATCAACCTAAGACAAATTGAAAAGCCTTTTCCATCATCTGTCAAACATTGCATGTTGGGTAATCTCAAATTGAATACAATAGGCTGTAGAAAATTATCATGACCTTGAGATAATTTCTCAAAAGTCTTTGTGATGTTCTATATTATTTCATTGAAAAATGTTTGTCTTGTTATGCATGTAGTAGCACTGATCATAAAGATATTTTGGCATTGCTTTGAATTTGCGCACACCAGAAAATGCCAGTGTCATTCCATTTCAATGTTGAAATGTTACTTCTTTTCATTAAATTCTTTCCTATTATTTGGAGAAAAGTAGTTTCAAAGAATCATGCATAAATGGTAAATGTAAAATTTGTTTGTATAAAGTGACTATTTCTACTCATATATGTTAAAAGAGGAACAATTTTCCTGGGCAGAAATCTGAGTCTGCCATTTTGTAAAATAAAATGTAAATGCTGATGATGAATATGGACTATTCTTGTTCTGACTAAGACCTTTCTTTGTGAGTGTGTACAAGAGGCCATTACTATACATTGTAGAGTGTTTGATGTTTGTGAGGAGAAAGATGATTCAAATGATTTTATTTCTCATGCAAAACATAATACAATGAATAAAGTATACTACAAAAAATATACAAAGAAACAACAAATATAATAGTAATGGCACAAGAAAAGAGGAACTAACTAGAAGCAGAGCATGTTGAAATATTAGTTTCTTGGAGGCTGGTTAACAATACGTCTTGAAAACAAAGTATACATAGAATATATTAAATAAAAAATATGTAGCAAAGTAAAAAAAAAAAGATTGTTGGGCTGAAGTGATAGCTTTGGTGCTCTTGAGAGAAAGAAGAGAAGAAAGATTTGTAAGATTTCCTTTTATTTTCTTCAAATCTTTGAATAAGGGACTTTCTAAATGGAGAGGACGGCAGTAAAGAAACCCTGAACAGATTGATTATGCACTCAACTATTAACATTACAACTTAGTCACACTGAGATAGACACCTAACAAACAATAGACCAAAGAAACAAATAACAATTATCTGAAATGGTTACAAGTCGATTGGTTTAGAGTCAGTCTGGCGATGTTACTGAGTCGTCATGATGCCAGTAGTAGTGAGAGAAAGAGTGAGACATGATTAATGACACGTTAGAAGGCAGTAAGTCTAGATATTTTTGTTAAAAAATTATGACCATAGCTAAACTGTAGATCAAAAGTTGTTGAGTTTAAGTGCGCCCCTTCCCCTCTGTTTTTGATGCATGCTCGGATATGTGGGAAAAACCCCTGTACCTCGAAGAAAAAAAATTGACTTGAGATCCTTACTTTACTAGGAGAGTCACACCCGATTCACATTAATACACTACGCTTCTCGCAAACAGGATGTAAACAAGGTGTGTAATGTGCCTACTTCCATAACTGGTAATCTACATACAATCTTCAGATTAGGCTGCATATATAGCCCTGATGATTACAAGTAGAAGAAGATGAATGGCTAAATTAAGAGACAAAGTTGTCCAATTAAAGCTTATCTGCCGTAGTTTACAGGAGGGATTAGACTGCTCTGCAAGGTCGCTGGACAGGTGGTTATCTCATCAACTCAGCTCTCAGTTAACATAAGAAAAAGAGGATCATGGGGGACCAATGGTCACCGATTAGGCATTGTTTGTTATATAGAGGGTGTAGGTAGCTACCAGTAGTGCAGTGGGCCTTTAAGGCTGCATCATTTTTCACAGACCATACTCCCAATTTGATATTTGCAAAGATTTAGTGATCGCATATTTCATTGGTCAGATTAAATTCATAATTTTGTCATTCTGTATCTCTCTTTTTTTTCTTTTTTTTTTGTCCTGCATTAATACATTAAACCAATAACACCAAGGGTTGGATTGTCCTTTAATCTCATGCAAATTAAGTCATGATCGCGAGGAAGCCCAAAAGTATTATCTTTATTTTGTTACAACAAAATTATGGGGTACATAAGCATTATGGAATGTGTATAACGCATTTTGAAACGTGTAATAAACTGATCAAAAGTGGCGAGAGGCTGGAGCTTCCACCCCGACCCCGATATCCTATTTTCCCAGAGAGAGATAGAGATGAGAGAGAGCAGAGAATTAGGGGATCCATGCGGGGATCCATGGGGGGCTTTTATATCGTAGAACGTACTTGCCCCCTATATCTAACATCTCATTTATAGCTAGGCGATTATGAATATGAAATTAACATGACGGTGTAAAAATGGATCTGAAGGTTGCAGTTTTGGACAGTTCGGTGGCAGATAAGAGCAAAATCACACAAAAACAAGTAGTAAAAAACATACGGAAAAGAAGCTACTCTGATCCAAGACAGAACATGTCAAGCGCCATCTACGGGAATAACATTACAGGATAGATCAAGAGGAGGAAGAGATTTCTGAAATCAAAATGTCGATCAGTTTTGTAAAACATCGAGATGCCTTGATGAAAGCATACAAGGACGTCTGTAGTGACAAATCATCCACAGACTGGTGAGTATAACCATACTGGTTAGAATCCAAGAGATGAGATATCGGTTTTCCTGTTTGAAAGAGGAACAGGTGTGTGAATATGTTGTGTGGTTGCGGAAACAGTTGAACCAGGGGCGCTGGCCTTGTCGGCGAGCTCAAGTCACGGGGAAATTACCCGTGTGAATTGCGCGTCATGACCGATGGTTGCCAACTTCCGGGTATGGACTGCTTAATTTCACCTCATATTTCTGTGTCTATCACACTCTCGATCTCCGGCCATAATTTTTAGTGATATGATGGTGATGCCCTCATTTTCCCCCTCTATGTAAAATGAAGTTAAACTAACTCTAGATCATAATTACAGTATTATCATTTGCATGGCCTCTGGAGCAAGAAGTATTTTTTGTAAGATTCTTCTTGTTGCATGTTGTACGTGCTTTGGGCCGCTCTGGGAAAAGCGCAGTTACCAGTATATAAATAATAATAATAATAATAATAATATTGATAATGGTAGTAGTACAGTAGTTAAGAACTAAGCCTACGGTTTACTTCACTCTGTCGAGTAAGGTGGAGGTTGTGATTGAGATAAGACACCCTAGGGCCTTGCTCTAGATAATTTGCTAAAATATCACCTTATTTTCAAGCTTTTACAGGAATTTGTGTGTTTCAGCAGCTATTTTGATATCCCAGCATAATTTCATGGATTTTTGTGAGTTGGATTGATGCTCAATTGAAGTGATTCAGAAGTTTTTCATTTGGATCAAGCTGAAAGTCCTTGGCAGCCATCTTGATTTCTCCAGACCCCATAGTCCCAGACATGCTTCTGGAAGTTTGAGTTTGTGACATCTTTTTGACTTTGGTCTGTGTATTAATTAGGTTGTTGTGTGTGGATGATAGTGTCAGTGCACATGCAGTGTACTGTGTGTGTCTGTCTGTTGACTATCCACTGTTGGCTATTTACTAGCTCCTGTGCTTGGTTGTACTTAATTGATTAAATTAATTAAGAAGTAGAGTGTCTAGTCTAGTCTATATAAAGAGGATTTTAGATCTAAATTTTGTAATTTAAAAAAAAAAATCATGGCTGCAAGTAATATCAGTGACGATTTGCTGATAATTTCCCAGACTGATTCTCAGAGCCAAACTGGTAGGGCTGACAATACAATATCGGTGTTGCAGCCCAACGGCAACGCTTCACTTTCAGTGAGTTCAGATGGAACGGCATGCATTGGCCCATGTAACTCTGTGTACAAGGACTCCACAAAGGTTGACATGTTAGAGTGTGGTTTATGTGGTGGATGGATGTGTTTCAAGTGTTTACCATACAACAAAACTGAAAAGAAGTTATTATCTAAGCCTGAGATACAGTGGAAGTGCCCCAGGTGTTTAAAAGATCCTTTGGCTCAGGCGCAGCTTCCAACTGGCATTGATAGACTTGCCAGCATTGAGAATAAGTTAGACAAGGCTATGGAAATGTTTACAACCAATATACAACTCCTGATAGGCAAAATTGACCAAAAGGCTGATAGGTCTGAGGTTGTTTCCATCCAGACACAACTCACTGCAGTCAAATCTGATTTGGACTCGCTGAAAGTGGACCGACAAACAAATGCAAACAAAGATGTTGGACTCTGTGTGAGTGAAATGGAAGAGAGAGAGGTAAGAAAACTAAATGCTGTGGTTTTCAACGTTCAGGAGAGTGATAGCATAGATGATAAGATTAGGAAAGAGGAAGATACTAACTTGTTTCAGGCAATACTCACACAGATTGATGCTCCACCCACTAAGATCATAGACATTAGACGTTTGGGGAAATACAGCAGGGAAACGGCCGCTGGCAAACCACGCCCCCTTAGAGTTAGCACCGAAACAGTCAAAGAAAGGGACTCGATCATAAAATCAGCTCCGCGACTAAAACAATTTGTTAACACAAAGAGAGTTGTTATTCGTAGAGACTTAACCCCGATCCAAAGAGAGGAAGAAAAAAACTTATACATGGAATTGCAGGAAAAAAAGGGAGAGTCAGCCCGTCAAGGGGATATGAATGCACAGTGGGTGAGAAGGAGGGGAAGGGTGACCAACATCGGGACATATATAGAAGCAGCACAAGCAAAGAGAATGGAAACAAATGTGAGAAGAAAGACAAACAAAACACCCGTAGAACAAGTAAAAGACCTGGAGAGCCGCGAAGACTTCCCAGAAATCAACCAGTAGGTTGTAAACTTAATAAACTCAAGTGCATTTATGCAAATGTAGATTCATTATTGAATAAAAGAGATGAATTTAAATCAATCATTACTTTGTATAAACCACAAATAATTGGCATTACAGAAGTTAAGCCAAAGAATTTACGTTACAATGTTGAAGTAGCTGAAGTGAAGCTAGATAGTTTCGATATTTTTCATAATCTCTACGAAAATGGCCGTGGGATTTGTTTGTATATATGTAAGAGCCTCAAAGCAGAGGCCTATACAAGTTTTTCTGTTAGTAGCTTCAAAGAAGCAGTTTTTGCCACAGTTGATTTTCAGGAAGGTGGTAAACTCCTTGTAGGTCTTTTTTATAGAAGTCCAAACGCAGATAACCGTGTAAATGATGGGTTGTGTGCACTTTTCCAAGAAGTGGGTCAGAGTACCTTTCAGGATGTTTTGTTAATTGGGGATTTTAATTTTCCAGACATAGACTGGGGATTAGAATCTTGTACAAAGGGTGTAGAGCATCCAGCTCATAAATTTATTGAGAGCACTAAAGATGCTTTCCTAGTACAGCACCAAGTTCAGCCTACACGGCACCGTAGTGGCCAATGTTCCAATGTCTTAGACTTGGTTTTTACAGCTAATGAACATGCTATTGCAGATATTACAACCTCTGCCAGTCTTGGCAGAAGTGATCATTATACATTGATTTTTGACATGAAAATAAGAGGCCAAGGCGCCAAAACTGGAGAAACAAGATACATTTATGATAAAGCAGACTATGATGCAATGTATGATAAGATTATGGAAATTGATTGGAATAATGAATTTTGGGAGATGTCCATGGAAAAATCATGGTCTTTTTTCAAAACTACACTGTTAGACATCTTTAATCGTTATACACCAAAGAAAACACTAAACGTAAGTCAGAGGAAAAAACATTGGATGAACAGAGAGACTCTGGAAGTGGTTAGAGAAAAACATAGACATTTCAGAAAGTGGCAAGAGATGAAAAGCGAAAAAAATCGGGAAAAGTATTCTAGTGCAGAAATTGAACAGCAAAGATCTTGTTATAGTAGATCCAGCAACCAAGCAAGGTGGCAGTGTAGGAAGGCGGTGAGTTCATATGAGAAATATATAGCCTCAGGAGTTAAGAAGAATGCAAGAGCCTTCTGGTCATATGTAAACTCAAAAATAACAACTCGGGAAAGTGTCTGTAATTTAACCAAACCTGATGGGAGTAAAACAGAAACGGATCAGGAGAAGGCTGAGGTTTTGCAAGATTTCTTCTCTTCAGTTTTCACCCAGGAAGATTTACAAGATATTCCTCTCCCTTTAGATGTTGAATTTGACACTCCACTAGACGACATACAGATTACGTCAGGAGATGTGTTTGAATTACTGCGTAGACTTAAGCCTAATAAATCTCCGGGGCCTGACAAAATACATCCCCGTCTACTAAAAGAACTAGCAGATGTGTTAGCTCTACCGATTTCTTTGCTGTTCCAAAAGAGTCTTGAAAGTAAACAGTTACCCCAGGACTGGAAATCTGCAAATGTTACCCCGATTTTCAAGAAAGGTAACAAAAGTGATAGTAAAAATTATAGGCCAGTTAGTCTAACAAGCATTATTTGTAAAATGATGGAGAATCTTGTGCGTAAGCAATTGCTTGACCATCTTATGACGAATGATTTGATTTCAGTTCACCAGCATGGGTTTGTAGTTGGTCGGTCTTGCATCACCAATCTTTTAGAAGTGTTGGACCAGTGGACACAGATTTTGGATGATGGAGGCACAGTAGATGCCATATATTTGGACTTCATGAAGGCGTTCGATACGGTGCCTCACCACCGACTGCTTCTCAAATTAGAATCGTATGGAGTTCGTGGGAATGTACTTGCATGGTTAGAGTCTTTTCTGAGTGGACGGCAGCAAAGAGTAGTGGTCAGAGGCAAGCAGTCTAAGTGGGGCAAAGTCCTGAGTGGAGTGCCGCAGGGCAGTGTGTTGGGTCCATGTTTATTTTTGCTATTTGTCAATGACCTTCCAAAAGTTGTCAACTCAAATATTTCGATGTTTGCAGACGACACAAAGTTGTATGTCCGTGCTGATACTGCAGATTTAAGAAAGCAACTTCAAGAGGATCTGTCACGGATGGAAGAATGGGCTGAGAAATGGCAGCTTTGCTTTCATCCTGATAAGTGTACTGTTTTAAGGCTTGGGAAGTTACCGGCAGAAGCCTCTACAGACTATTGTATGAAAAAGGGGACAGACTCTGTAACACTATCTGTTACAAACGTAGAAAAGGACCTAGGTGTCCTAGTAGATTCACAACTATCATTTAAAGATCACATTTCCCAAACAGTTCTCAAAGCGAATCGAGTACTTGGAGTTATCCGTAGGACATTTATGTACCTCAATACTGATACTATGCCGTTTTTGTTTAAAGGCCTCGTTAGGCCCATTTTAGAATATGGACAAGCCGCATGGTCCCCATACAGATTAGGAGAACAGAGAATGTTGGAGAGCGTACAAAGACGTGCAACAAAGATTATTCCTGGCCTTAGAAATTTAACATACCAGGAGCGCTTGACCAAACTCAAACTACCAACTCTTGTTCACAGGCGTAAAAGGGGGGACATGATCGATGTGTATAAGTACGTGAATGGCTTGTACACTGTGCAAGAGATGCCCTTTAAGATGAGTACAGAAGATCGAACTCGAGGTCACTCTAGAAAACTTGAAAAGAAATATTCAAGGCTAGATATAAGAAAATACTTTTTTAGCAATAGAGTCGTGGAACTGTGGAACGGTCTCCCAGAAAACGTTGTGGCAGCTGGGTCGGTAAACTCTTTTAAGAATAGACTTGATAGTCACTGGTCAAAGAGTGTACCAGTAAGCCTTCTGTATGAGCCGGTCTAGGTGTTGTCTATTGTCTCATGTTATTACACAACCTCCTCCCTCCACAAAATAGCAGTAATCACGGAAGAATCCTGGATCGATGAACAGGCTTAGACCTACAACATCGTGTTTTAAAGTAAAGTAAGTAAAGTAAAGTAATAGTCCAAATATCAATTAACACAGAGACTAGAGGTCACGCCCACTCCAGCAAAGCATAGAGAGCTCAAGAGTCAATGCTAATGCGTATTGACCTCTAGCACTGCATACTTGCTGTGAGGCAGGTATTATTAGACCCATACACAAATATACACACCACACACTATTGCATACTAATGCACACAATAAAACCGTTGTGGCTGATCAAATTTGACACTAGACTTACAATTTGAATTTTTCTTTTTAACATCAGTAAGTTGAAAAAATTGTATTTTACTGCTATTCATCAATGTCACTAAAGTACTGATTTTGAGTGAAATCAGATGAGTTTTGTACAGTGGTGTTTGAAATGTTGATAATTAATAAAACAGCTTTCAATTACACAGCCAGGATATATAGTAATGTACCTATGTGTGGTCACGCCCTGAAGAAACGATGTGATCAGTCTACTTGTACTTCAGTGTAATTATTATTTGTCTTCCCACTTCCCACTTCCTGTATTTTCTCTTTCTCACTTCTTTCTTCCCCCCCCCCCCCCTTCTCTCTCTCTCTCTCTCTCTCTCCCTCTCATCACAATTCTGGCTTCATCTCTTTTCCGTAGGGCTGTTTTTGGCTACGAAGGAAAAACATATGACTTGAAGGTAGATGACACGGGAGGTATGTATTATGTAGCATTCATATACAGTACTTCACGTACTGTATATTAAAAAGAAAAAAATCTTGAATGTCAACAAAATGATGAAATTGATCAGATTGCACCTCATAGAATAAAAAAAAGAGTAAAAACAGTTTTACTAAAATATTTATAATAATTGGCAAGAAAAATTCAAAGATATTTTTTTTTTAAGTGTGTTTACAGACCGCAGGAGGTGACAACCTAAAGGAAGAAAATTATTTGTAAAATCCTTAAAGAGAATTGTCAGGCTCTGAACAGCAGCTTCCTCTTCACCTTGCATTCATTGGGGGGGGGGCAAAATTTATGTTCATGTGTGATTTCTTTTTTTTGTCAGAATTGCATTATGACAAATTTATGGTTAAAAATGGACCCTTGTAGATCTATATGGAGCACATGTTACAAAATACAAATGACCTCAAATATCCATGCGTTTAAGATTAATCACTGCCAAAGTGATGGAGGTGCTTCAAGGATACCTGTTTGTTACCCTCTTGAGAAGAACACTTAAATCTGCTGGAGTATCATATATATGTACCATGAATTACATAAATAAATAAGTATTACATAATTTTTGTAAACAAACATCCAGTATTCGTCTTGATGGGCTTTGCAATTTAGTACAGATGATCTTGATCTGCCGATGCGCAGATAGTGTCCATGAACGAATCTATTGTAGCATTAATGACCTGTTTCCAGCAGTGTGTATCACTCGATTATGAATTCAGATTTTGTATTGTTTTGTTTTATTTTCCTTTTTATTATTATTTCTTTTGGGGTTTTATAAATTTGGTGTTCTATTTTGTAGAGGATGGCATTGAGGAGATGGCAGATACCATGAACTGCGCCAAGATCCAGTATTGCTTCTTGAGGGTCATTGACCCTAACAGCAATCTACATAAGAATGTACTCATCAACTGGGTGAGTAGTAGTAGGCCTGTATCTCAAAATGAAGTCACAGAATTGAAATGTTGAAATGCACCTTCTCCTTTTTTTTTTACTTAAAGAGAGGTTGAGCTCTAGAAATATCAGAAGTATCAGAAATTTCAGAAACATGCAATGGGTGTTCAAGACCACAGATGAATGATCTTTGCTTCTCAACTTTTGTAGAAAGTGTATAGTACTTGTACATGTAGTTATTTAATTACCAATGATAATTAAATCAAGCTGGAGAAGTCCCAACCTGTGTGCATTTACATTTCTGCTTTTCAGTGAGTGTGATTTTGGGTGATCCAATATTTGCTCCGGTGACAATCCCCCCAGGCTTTATTTCGTGAAAAGTTTAGGGTTATAATTGGGGTTGCAATTGGGTATTAAATTTGGTTTAGGGTTAAAGTTAGCATTCCTGGTTTAGTGTGGGATATTGTCCACAGAGCAATTGTCACAGGAGCTTGTCTTGTACCACCTAATTTCCAACAAGTATTTGTTAGTTTGTTCATAGTGCTCCAATCACCCCCATATTACTGCATGATAGCCACTTCCCATTTGCTTTCAGCCCGTCTCTCACAAGTGCAGTTCCATGACAGAAACTTGGTTTGCTTTAAACTCTTTGATAATACAGTCACACCTGTCTACAAAGACCACATTTTTTGTTTCCGTTGAAAATGGTTTCTTATTGAAACATACACTAAAGGAACCTGTCTTCAAAGACCACTTTTTGTGTTCCCCTTGGGCGGTCGCTATAGACAGGTTTGACTGTACTAGAGAGAAGTTAGGTGATGATCTGATATTTTTGCTGTGTCTTTAATCTGCAGATCGGTGATGGAGCCCCCGTTTCCAAGAAGGGAACCTGTGCAAGACATGTCCAAGATGTCGCCAACTTATTCAGGGTATGATGAGAGCAGACCATTTTTGTTTAGTATTTCAATTATATTTTTATTTTTTCTTTGTTTCTGTCTATCATTATTTCTTTAAATGGCAATCAAAAACTTTGTATTGAGGTCATTTGTGTTCAGGCAGGACAATTTGAGAAACAGAATGGAGAAAGTTTGAAATATATCTGACAAATATATTTATCACTAAATCTATATGAATCTCTAATTGGCAATTGATCAATGGAGTGTAATGTAGTCACAGACAACCCTCCCGTTTATTGTTTACAAAACTATTGTTAGTTTCTATTTTTCTCTGTGATTTCTCCCTTGGGGCACTACTAAAAACATATTATGAATAGAATATTGTTATAGGTCCTCTAAAAAATAGGGCCCTCGATGTCTATTGGAAACCAGATTATCTGATTGGGCGTGAGTTATGCATACATGTACATGTATGATTTATTGATGGTGGCATGGCAGGGGTTATATCTCCCTATTAATTCTTTTGTTTTATCTTCCAGGGAGCCCACGTGACCGTAAATGCTCGCTCAGAAGATGACATCGACGAGGATAGCATCTTAAAACTGGTGGCCAAATCTTCCGGCTCCAACTATGGCTTCCACAAGGAGAAGCCAACGGGAGATGTTGGGCAGACAGGACCAGTGGGATCCGTCTACAAGAAGACCAACGCAGCCATGGAAATCAAGTCAAAGAGGAGTGATAAATTCTGGCAAGATACAGAGGTGGGTTTCTCCTTTAAAGCGGGACTGCACTACTTGTAGCTAGTTGCGCCCTCTATATAGCCAACAGTGACTAAGCGGTACCCATTGGTCCAACATTGTCCCCTTTTTCTTATGTTATTTGAGAGCTGATTTGTTAAGATAACCACTTGCCAGTGACCATGCAGGGAGGTCTAATCCCTCCCGGCCAAACTAGTGGAGATTGGCTTTAACCTCTTCAAAACCACCATGTTTTTGAGCAGTAGACCTGTTTACTAGTTAATGTATTTTAATTTATGCGTGTTTCTCTCCGTAACCCCTGGTTACTGGTCAATGAATTCATTCACTATGAATGATAGCATTACATGTACCTAGTTTTACTCCTTTTCTTTTCTTTACCTCACCTACATTTGTTCTTTCCCTTTATCTTTTTTCCTCAACAGAGTGATGAGAAGAACCGTGTCAAGCAAGAGACGGCCAAGAAACAGCAAGAACGTGACATCATTGATAAGGAGAGAGTGGAGAGAGAAAAGAGGGAAGGCGCTGAACGCGAGAAAAGAATGGCAGAGAAAATGAAAGATGTTGAGGGTAGAAAGTAAGTACTGTTGACTAATGTTTGGAGATAATTTGTATTTGGTCTTTCCGTTTGTATTTTCTGTCTTCTGTGCAGTCACACTCAAATTTCATTTTGCCATCTTATTTCTTAGAAATAGTGACTGGTTGTGTACCCTTTGATAGTCACATTTTGCTGTCAAAATTGTTTGACATATTTGTTTAGTTTTTTGTTTAGTTTGGGGAGGGGGTTAGATGGTAAGGAAAAAATATACAGAAGTAGAGAGCAGTTTTGCTATGTAGTTGTAATTGTACATTTCTCTTGATGTGAGGATGACATTTTTTACAGAATGTGCTGTTCAGATATTTGAAATTCCCATTGACATTTAATCAGGCAAACTGTATATTTGTATCGGGTTAAGAAAAGAGATATTGCTATTCTGATCGATCAAATACATTTGAATATGTGTCAGTTGCTTAGCACTGATTTTAACTCCTTCCCTGCTGTGGGCGCCAAATCTGGCTTCAGAATGTGAACACAGAAGCATCCACTATCCTTAGTTCATTCTTCCAATGGGAAATGTATTTCTAACACAATTTAGCAAGTGAAAAAAAGAGTTGTATTCCAAAATTATTTGTGAAAGTTCGTTTATGACAATTGTTCAAAGCTAAGTGTTATTGAAGGAATGGAGCACCTGTAATGAAGACATTTCCCCTTTATCGATTCTTGTAGGAGACAAGAACAGAGATCACATGAAGAAGCTGTCAAGGCAGAACAGTCAAGATGGGTAAGTCTTCTTAGTTTTGATCATGATGATGAGAATAATGATAACAATAATAGTAATAATAAGATCAGTAGTAAAGATGATAATAAATAGCAAGAAGAAGAGGAGGAGGAGGAGGAGGAGGAGGAGGGGGGAGGAGGGAGGGAGGGAGGGAGGGAGGGAGGGAGGGGAAGAGGGAGGAGAAGAAGAATATAAAAATTCTAATGATAACATGGATAATCTGGAAGCTTTTGGTATATCAGGTATCACCCTCTTGTATTGATAAATACATTGTGGCACAGGGAGATTAGTTGTGTGGCATATAAAGAGTTAACAAATGAAGCAGTTTGAGGTGTCCTATGTTAATGAGCCCTAAAGCAAGGGAGAGGTCATTGCCTTAACTTTCCAAATTATTATGTTTTGACAGGAAAACAAACAGGAATCAGATGCAGCTCCTACACGAAGGACAGGGCAATCAGAGGAGAGGAAAAAGGTGTGTATGGAGACACAGAATACAGTCAACCTATCTATTATCAAAGGCCACTCAAGCAAAACAGAAGAGAATTACCACTGTAGATGGGTTGTCTTTTCAGTCATGTTCTACAAAACCTGTTAATATTCATTAAAGTATCCAGTTTGATCATGTTGGAGTCCTGAAAAAAGGAATAGAAAAGAAAAGAGGAAGAGATATAAAGAGAAGGGAAGAAAGAGAGAGAAAGAGAGCAAGAGAGAGGGAGAGCAGGATACAGGGGTATGATGATGAGGCTACAATAGATTTCCTTGGGGCGGGGGGGGGGGGGTCTTGAATTCTTCACTAAAATAATATTGAAAACAGACATTGCATGGTTTCTTAGGATACAAACAGTGAAAACGATGTCAAAAGATTACGTTTGTATGGCTACAGTTGCTTGATGACCATACCGGTACTCATCTTCTCACTTTATGACCCAATTAATAAGGTTGGCTTTACAATACATGCTCATTGTTTTCAAGTCGTATTGATATTATTTAATATTCTCAAATGTAATGAGCCATTCAGGGAATGCAACTGAAAAAAAGGAAGGCCTAGTGCTTAGTTAATACTGAGAGTGTCTGAACCATTTTCAAAAACAGGAAATGGCAGCAATGATATCTCAGAGGAAGCAGAGCTCTTCAGAGCCGGTCACAGAAGACCAGGAAGCCCCACCCCCAGTATCACGTGCTCCCGCCGTCAGACCTCCTGCTGCCAGACCTCCCATGCCTGTCCCTGAGCCGGAACCAGAACGGGAACCGGAACCAGAACCAGTATGGGAACCAGAACCAGAACCGGAACATGAGCCGGAACCTGTATACGAACAGGAACCAGAACCAGAACCAGCATACGAGCCCGAGCCAGAACCTTATTCAGATCCGTATCAAGACCAGGTTCAGACCGAGCAGGATCAGTACCAACCAGAAGCCCAGTCGGACCCATACCAGGACCAGACGCCAGCCCAGGATCCTTACCCAGAGGAACCTGAACAAGAACTTTATGAAAACCAAGGTCAGTCATTACGGAATGGTGTTTATGTGCCACAGAGAATATCAGGGGGTCACTAAAGCAGGGCTTTGAGTTGTTAATATCTTTCAGTTTGAAAATTGATTAAAAAGGAACTTGTTAAACTGTTCTTGTTAATATGATTTGCTTTCTAGACAGCATTCAGCAGTCTTTTTGGCGAGTATGGTCCAACAACTACCACCCCCCCCCCCCCCTAACCAAAAAAGAAAATTTATAAATTGACTTTTTGATTATTTTGTGTGCTGTATTTATTTTTTGCAGGATAATGATATTTATTCTATTATATCCACTGGGATGAATACTCCGTGTAAATTACCATCTTTGACCATTTGAGGATTGAAAGAACTTTGACTGACCAAAAATGAAATGGTCAATATGGCCCATATTCTACTAATTCATTTAAACCCAAACCTGGGTCTAAGATTACGTTTAACAAACAAAAACATTAACCTCAAACTAGTATCCTTTATCAAACCCAATTACGAACAGGAGCTGAAATGCAGCGTCGGATTTAAGTTTCAGTAGAATACGGACCTATACAAATGTGACTATGAGTAGTAGAAGAAGTACCGATAGACTAATTGGGCATTTTGTTTTGGTCCTCCTAGAAGCATTGCAGGGCCAGGACCAGGACCAGGGCATGACAGCGAGGGCTCTCTACGACTACCAGGCCGAGGATGATACAGAGGTGACCTTTGACCCCGGTGACATCATCACGCAGATTGAGCAGATCGATGAAGGGTGGTGGAGGGGGCAGGCCCCCAGTGGCGAGTTTGGTCTTTTCCCAGCAAACTACGTGGAGCTCATCTGAGGATGGTCCTAGAGGTCCTATTTCACAAAGCCCTTTCTTAATGACAAATGACAAGAATCAGTGACAAATCTGCTGATGACCAATCAGAAGCAAGGATTTCAGTAGCTTATAACAAAAACTGTCATTTGTCACTGATGATTAGTTCTGTGAAACACCCCCTGGAGAGGTCCATCCGTGTGTCTTGAGGATCGTTGATACAACCTGGCTATGAACTATGGTGGGGTCTGAAAGCTTTGATTAATGGCTTCCCTTTTATATATCATTTTATATAGATTTTTATATGAGTCATGAATTTTGTCATTCAAGCATTTAGGTAAGTGTGGTGAGTGTTGTCTCGTCCCAGTTCATTGGTCCACCTCTCGCAGAAACTTGAGTAAATATAAGGATGAGGTTGTAATATAATGGATTCAGCCTTGAACTTCTGGTCACAAAAAATATGTTATCTTAAGTTTAATCCTTGCCTCACCCCCTTTTAAGATTTAAAATTAGCACTGTTGGTAGAGAGGTAAAGCTAGATTTCTATGTGAGTAATGTGTATGAGATCTATGTAAATGTACATTAATGCTAGGATGTTATGCAGATTCTTCAAATATAGTGCAAAATTGGACCAAAAGTAACTTTTAATGTACACTTCTAATACATATACTCTTTATTACAGTAGGTACATGTACATGTACATATGATATTTACCGAACTATTTTAAATAGAATACATGTGGCTTAGTCCAAATTTTACTGCAAAATCATAATAACTTAACATGCATAAGACATTGGGTTATTTTCACAACTAGTCCATGTTTGGGTAATATTCGTGCTATTGTATTAATTGTATTGTATTTAATGTATTAAATGAATCAATTTACAATACCCGAGACTTCCTGGTTACTTGTTAATCTACTCTCTAAGCTATCGAGTTATACGCAACACTTTTCACCTCTTATTCTAGAACATACCGGTATTGAAAGTGACACTCATGCCTTTTGTAAGTGAGATATTATCACTCCAAAAATTCCTTCAGCATATTTTGTAATTTGTACATGCATAGAAGAACGGAAGTATAGTTTACTTCCTACATAAAATTTAGAATATGTATTGTAGCTACAAGCTGAAATAGCAATGATTGGGAAGATGTGTGGCATGAAGCTGTTCAATAGAAGGAATACAGTTGCAAAATTTACACAGAATCATGCATTTTTTAAATTTGCTCTTGGTACTATAATGTTTCCTGGGATTTAGAAAAACAGAATAATTAACATCTTCAGTCAGCCTGTGTACTAAAACTTTTAATAGACTGTGATAATAGATTTCCTTGTTTTTTTTTAGATTTATGTCTGTGCACCATAAATTTCTTAAAAATACTCGGAATAGCCCCCGCATTTTTTATATTTCATAGGGCATTTTATTTATCAGTAGTGATGAAACTTTAAAGAATATACAAAAAGCTATTGAGAAGGAAGTTATTGTAATGATCTTCACCAAAGCTATTCCTGCTTGAATGGTCGTTGAAATACCTGAGGAAGCTACAAAGTAGTGTACATCATGAACATGTTTTTGTGTAGTAGAGGCAGAGCACTGTTTAAGTCCATTCATTGTTGTATACTTAGTTGTATTATTGTCATTTTTTATTTGTCTTTATAGATACAATTCAATTAATGTATTGTCTTTAGTATGTATTGCTTGTGGTCGTCAAGAAATCATTCAGAGAAAATTGAGCATCTTCTAGAATCATGCTATGTTGATCTTTCATGTCAAATGATACACCAGTTCTTTTAATTTATGTTGGAATTATTCTATAGATTTTCACAATGAATGAAATAAATATATTTTATAAAGCACCGCAAGTAATATCTGGTTATCCATTACATTTTTGTGTATGGATGTGTTTTTTTGTTTGTACTGTATGATGTTTGTGTATATGTATTTTATGTAGTGCATTTATTCATTCATAGTTATAAAAAAAAAAAAAAAACTCAGAAATACTCATTAAAGTCAACCTCAAGGGTGTTTAAGAAATTGCTATTTAACATTTACACATCAAAAGCTCTAGGCCCATACCAGATTCAAAACCCAAATTCTCGAGATTACAGCTGAAGATCTGATCATCGTTTCACCGAACATCCCATCTACTGGTTTGCCGACATCCCATTGCAACAGGTATTAATTTTATTAAATGCTTTTCAATAGGATGTTGGCAAACTTGTAATTATGACTGTTTTGTGAAACTATGCCCAGGTCAATATTAGTCCCTGTCTTCAAGAAAGGTTCGACCATAGACCCATTCTATCTCGATAGCAAGCACTTGTAAGCTTCTGGAATATATAACAGACAGTTATTTGATGAAAAATCTAGTGAGAAGTTGCAACATCTTCGCTGAAAATCAACTTGCGTTTAGGAGGTATAGAACATTGTGAGTAAACTTTAAATTTTTAAATGGTGTAACTGACCGAATTTAGGTTTCCATTTTTAGTAAACTGTATAATAAAACTGCAATAATATATTTTTTGTCTGCGGCGGACATTGGATTGGACAAGAACAATCAATTTTGACCTCTTCCCCCCCCCCCTCCTAACTTGAGCAATGCAGTTGCCATCGCCCTATCCTGCCACTTTTCAATGGGGATGTTGGTTTAAAGGGCAGGCTCGGCAGACACATCCATTGTGAATAGGAATAGGATTCAGTACTCTTTCTCCAGTAGATTTATGCTATCAAGCAAGCAGAGGGCTTCTAAAGAATCCTAGAATCTTCTCCCTCTTTCTTGTGAGGGTGGGAAATGCTTTGAAAATTAGTAATAATGTGTTTAAGATTGGTCAGTTCGAGCCACATACACAAAAAACACGATTGACTTGCTAATCAAATGATAAAAATAATAATCAAAATAATAATTGTTTATCAATGAGACGACTATGATTTTATTGTCTTGTTGTAAGGACAATATGAGTGCCCTGCGAAGGTATAATCATTAATTTACAAAAATGTCATTGATTCTAGACTTTGCAAAGGTACTATAAAAACTGTTATGTACATGAATACACATATCTTGCTCAATTAGTCACACACCAAACAAAAAATACTGTTTTTCAAGAACTGGAATGTTTGATATAATGATGAAATGTAAACGAGGAAAGAAAGACAGATAAGACTTTTATTTTGATGCAGCAAAGATCCTAACTACTGATAGAAAATCAAATTTAAAACGATAACATAAATATAAAGAGAGTGAGAGAATTCAAAATTCAAAATTTACATAATTGCTATCCATTATATTTAGTACGTCGTCAAAATAAGAAAAATAAGATTAAATTTCTGAATAAGATTTTACCAGCATGGTAAGATGAAACGCTACCTAAAATATTGAGAAGGGGAATAAGATCTTTAAAAAGAGTGTTGGCAGGAACAGCCAGCAGGTTAAAAAAACTGAGACAAGTATGTTTGAGGAAAAAATGGGGAAAACTGAGAATGAATAAGAAATTTAAGATTTGTGCTAAATATCAGAACTTCTCAGTGAATGAGGGGGATCTTCAACTATCATGCAGGAAGATTTCTTCTCTTTGAATGCAGTTATACCAATCCAGTCATTGAAGAAAAAAAATTACCTGAAGATTTATGAGAAATATGGTACTCATGTTGTGAGAATTGTGCATATTTGCTAAGGGATTTTTGAGTACCCGGTACCGTAAATGCTTGCAAAAAAAAGTTATATGATAAGTTTACAACATCATTGACAAATTGACAGTTGGAATATTTATCAAATTCTTAGTAATCTTTAACCTCAAAGACTTGTGAATTTTCAATTCTTTGCCAAGTTATTCTGGAACTTTTTCAAATACTTTCCTAAAATTCAGTTGTCATCCCAGAGCAATAAAAACATATTTAAAACATATTACACTTTAGCAGAATGATGCAAATTTAATGATTAAACATACTTCCTATGATTATCAATGCAAAGAATATCATAACATTTAAAAGACTGATTCAGTGCTGAAGATTAAGAATAATTGACACAAATGAAATTTACAGAATATCTTTGGCTTTAACACCAAGATGAAATGTAGTTTAGTACACATTCATTATGCAATATTGCATCCTATAACAATCTTTAGGAATATAATTTAGTATTAATGAAACTACCACAAACAACATGAAATGTCTCAACTTGTCCTTGCCATCTGTTTCACTTACCAGCCTTCATGTAATTAAGAAATCATTTCCTCACCAAAGATTTGAAGTGTTAATGATAATCAACTTAATTAATTTGCTTTAATTAGATGTTCAACCATTTCGTACTTTTGCAGAGCTTAAAATTTAACCTCCTTATTTAAATCTTGTTGCTTCATAACAAGAGAGAATTGCACGAACAGATTATTTTGAAAGATGACTAAACAAACATACGAAAGGAATAAGAAGGAATTGTATTGAACAAACACTGTCAGTAAGCTGCCAAACAAAATGCATTTCATCTTGAGGAATAACAAATATATTTACACTTGTAAATATTAGCACAAGAGTATACCCAATACTGAAACACACACCTGGAGTGGTATTTCAAACTTTTACAGAAGAATGTAGGAATTATATATCAAAATAGCAATAAAATAAAATTTCTTCATATATATTCATTGCTGTATGTACACCAAGGTGACAAGTATATTGCATATAACTTTCAGCCCATAAGAGTCCTCAGCACTTGACACATATGAATATCAAAGTTCTGGACGGAACGAAAGCACCACAAGCATTACATTGGAAAAGGAGCTTTGCCCCTTTTGGATCCTTCAATGTTCTCTTGCAGGTGCTTGAGCTTGCTAATGTATCATTGATCAGTCTAAATTGTTATGTACATGGGAATGAGAAGTGATTACATGAATCATTTCAATAAAGACATATGTTCATATTACAAATGTTTGTGACCACGAGAAATGCTCATTGGTAGTCTTTTAGATTTTCGGTCCTAATCCTAAGAATCCTAATCTGTTTGTAATCAATCATATATACAAACACATACCCAGTTATCAAGAGATTCAGGGAGCTTATAAAGAAAGACATACATTTACACATAGGGGCAAATGATGCCACAAAGCTGATGCCCATACATCTATCTACAGCTGATCCGTGATGAAATAATTAATCTGAATTCTGAATTCTTCAGCTCTGTCGTTGTTCCTCTTTTTCCTCCTCGTCTGCTTGTTCTCTAATGGTTGAGAATGCTGACCTTTGGTACCAAGCTGGATAGCTATGAGTATGACTTACAGTCGACAATGGTACCTTTGGTTCTCTGGGACTGTTCTCACTGCTCGAAATTGACCATGCATCTGCAGAACTTTCCTTAGACTCTGGCGCCACCCTCTTCTTCTTACGCCTCTTCTTTGATGCGCTCTTGGGTCTGTTGCTGTTCCGCGGGACATCACCACCTTCCGGTGGCGAACGATGTCTCATCTCAGGTACCGCAGGAGACTTAATGATGGTATGCTCTAGGACGTAGTTATCGCTCTCATCATTAGCATCATGAGTTGTGGGGTTGCCGACTATATTCTGGGAAGGGATGTGCGGCATGTGGTTCAGGAAAGACTGCATCTCAGACAGAGAGAGTCCACTTTGGTGAGGATCACCTGGCTGAAGCAGAGGTGAGCTCATTGATGGTGGCAGCGGTGGGATATGGGGTTTCCTTGAACTTGACTGAGATTGTTGGAGGAAGTCGTTCATTGCATTCATCTGTTCTACAAATCTCCTCCTCTCTTCATCGTCATCCCTGATTGTTGTACTATGTCCTGGATACGGCGGACTCGGCACTTTGAAGTCATTGGCTGTCTGAGATGAAGAAGGCATACTGAAATCTAGTTCTCTCCCCACTGGAGAGGAAACAGGGATATCATGCTTTGGAGCAGGCAGTGATAAAGGAGCCTTGTTTTGAGAATGGGTTGATACTTTCCTGTGCGTTTCAGAAGTTGCGATATGTTCCTTTGGAATGAGATGTGATAGCACTTCTCCCAAGTCGTCCAGCCTATTGAGAAGAAAAAGTAAAAAATACTTAGTTTTACATATTTGCATATCAAGATATCTCCCCTAAATCTGGGTTTTAAATATGCAAAATAAATGAATAAAGAATGAATAAATTAAGCATGCTGCCTTACTTCTTCTCCATGCGCTCCATCCTTTGCTCCAAGTCCTCATCTTCATCCTCTGCCCTGTCTCTCTTGAACTGGGCCGCACACTCCCGCTCAAACAGGTGCAGATTAATCTCTTCAAGCTTCCTCTTTGCTTGATCTGCAGAGAGAACCAAGAATTATTAGTCCATAACCATCTTGAGTTATTCTGTTTTACATGTATTCCTGCTCCCGTACAATCATGACTTGCTACAAAATTCGGATTATAAGAAGAAGAAGTAGAAGAAGAAGAAGAAGAAGAAGAAGAAGAAGAAGAAAAAGAAGAAAAAGAAGAAGAAGAAGAAGAAGAAGAAGGAGAGGAAGGAGAAGAAGAAGGAGGTGGAGGGAAAGAAGAAGGAGAAGAAGGAGAAAAGGAGAAGAAGAAGAAAAGGAAATTACTCTCTCCTAGGTGACCATTCCCTTAACCTGGGCTCAGTGCGGAAAAAAGTGCTGTAAAAAATGTCTGTGGTCTACCCTTTGCTCTGGCAACAATTGTTCCAGCCTCTATTTTGTCAAAGATATAGAATGTACGTTTTTAAGGATTGCAATTGCATTTTAGTTTAAGTTTTCAATAGCATTAGGGTAGGGTAGGGTTAGAATTAAGAGTAAGGATTAGAGTTATGGATTAGGGTTAAGGGTTAGGATTAGGATTAAGGTTAGTCATAGTATTTAGTCGAAGGTTGTGATTAGTTAGAGCAGGATATCGATCATGGAGCAAATTGACACAGAAGCTTGTGTCATACAAGCTTATCATTACCTCCATTGTCCACCTCTTCTGTACAAGCATTAATGCAGCACCTGAAAACCCATTGGAGTGACTTGTAGAGATGGACGAGAACATTAAAGGGTGGGGGCAACCAAGATTTGTCCTTGAACTCCATTACCAAGAAGTAGTACTCATAGCGCCATATGACCAGAGAATTCGCCTGGATCTCTTCGAAAATTCGACTGCAATACAAAGAAGAGGAAATACAGAGAGTGTGAGTAGAGTCCATTGTGAATAGGTTCATTCATTAAAAGGAAATGTCATTCTTTAAAACAAATCAAAACAGCTTTTGGTGTTTTTATTGATTAAATCAGGGTTGCCTGAAGCCTCATCCCTTTCTAGTACATATATGAACTGAGAGTAAATGGAAAAAGTTATCTGCTCCTGCTCTAGGTTCTCCTTTTCACTTCCCCAAGCTCTCTCTCTCTCTCTCTCTCTCTCTCTCTCTCTTTCACTCAAGTTTTATTTTCCTCATGTGTATTTTGCTTCCTTACTTTCTCACTTATCTTTCTTATTCTCTGCTCTTTCTATCTCCTTCCCTCTTACCCTCTCTCTCTCTCTCTCTCTCTGATCTTAATTTCTCTCCCACATCCTCTCTTCCAACCTCTCTCTCTCTTTCCTCAATTTTGTTTCTCATTTCCTTATCTCACTTTCTCTCTGTCTATCTCTTTCTTAACTTTCAATTTTCCTTCTCCTTTCTCTACCCCCACTCTCTCTCTCTCTCTCTCTCTCTCTCTCTCCCTCTTTGTCATTCAAATTCTCACCTGAATATGGCAACAAGAAGGTTGAGCAGAAGAACGTTTCCAATGAGGAGGTATATGGCAAGGAGGAAGATAACCAGCATGTTCGCTGTGGGACATGGGTCCCCTCCTTCCACTCCACAACCATCCACGTCTCCTATAAGTAAAGATTTGACACAGAAAACTTTCATTGGTTGGAGTGATCATTAATCTACATTTACCGCTCTCCACCCAGGTGTGGTAAATGGGTCCTGGAAGGAATTTACAACTTTAATGCTTTTAGTGCCCTAAAGAAGCTGGGCTTAAGGCAGGGTAATCTGTAGGCACTTGTTTTGAAAAAAAGGTTTGGAGAGTCTGGTATTGACAGGACTGAGGAGGAAGAAGAGTACTATGGTTGGATAGTCTGTAGAGATTGGCTTGGAGAGTCTGGTATTGATAGGACTGAGGAGGAAGAAGAGTACTATGGTTGGATAGTCTGTAGAGATTGGCTTATGGAGAGAGGAGTGTTAAAGACCAGGCAATGGAGCTCTTGGTAAAGGCTAGAAATAGAGCTGTGCAGTAGCATGATCACCAAAGTTGATAGATATGACACCTAGGGAAAGATTCATGACACAGTTCGGAACCTAGATTAGGAGGATTTTACATTTTCAAATGTCCATTACATTACAACAGTTATTTCTATTTTCTTTCTCACATGCAATACACATCAGTGTGCAGTGGGCTACCGAAATGAAAGTAACCTGATGAGAAAGTTTGTAGCAGAGAGTACATCTCTCAAAGCACTTGCAAGAATACCTACCATGCTGTATAGCGTCAAGATAGAGCTCTCCGTAAATCTGGAAATAGGGCACTACAAGGGCGTTCTTGAAGGGAAACCAACCAAAGTCTTGATCAGGGAAGAGCAGTGATTGGCTTGCGACACCATAACCAAGCAAGAACATGGCCAAGATACATAGGAAAGTTACCATCTCATGCATCTGTGTCAAATAAACAAAGAAAAAATCATATGATCATAAAATTATTTCACCATTTTCATTTCATGAGTTGATGAATTGTTGACGGGTGAAGTATCAGCATTACTTGTCATGGATGATAAACTGAATTGTAAAGTTTCCAGGGTTACACCATGTAGCAGCAAACAGCAAGCAGAATGTGAATGCTGCCGTGATTAATAATTGTGGGCATTTTTGGTGGGTGCCAACAAGAAATAAGCTATGCAGGAATCCCTTTATAGGCAATAAATAGCCTCCACTGGGCTATATTCTAGTAAATCTCCTGAATATCCAATCAAAATATACAGGCTCTTATTCCTTTGAAACTATTACATGGTGTTACCCGAACATTTCTATTTTCATTAATTTCATTTGAACATGTTGTTACTGAATTACAGTTACTTGATGAATTAAAGCTTAAATACTAATAAATAAGTGTATTATATAAAACCAAAATTAAATCGGTCAAACTTGTATTTTACGGGCCGACAAAAGCAATTGCCTACCATTTTCCAGATCATGACCATCTTGGGGCCCAGACGTGTACTGGCAGAGAATAGCCTCAGAGTCCTGACATAAAAGAGCATACAGCCAATGGCATAGATCGACCTGCTTATCTCAAGGGCAGGTGGATACCAATGAAGACCAAAGGCCAATATGGTAGGAGCCAGGATGCATATATCAAACTTGTTCCAGCCACTTTTGAACCAGATCTTGAAGCGTTGTCTGATGGCCAACCCACTGTTGCTGAAGATTGCCTTCCAATAGGAAAAGAAAACAATTTCAAAATTGTTGTTTCTTCTTTAACCACATCTTAAAGTCCCTAAAAAGTGTTGGGAGCCCTACAAATTTGATGACAAAATGTCACTTCAATTGTATCATAATTTGAAAAAGAATGTCACTTAAGACACATTTTTGCAAGGATTTTCAAAGCAAATTCGTTAATTGAGGTTGAATATTGATGTTTATTATCTGCATACAACAGAAATTATGTATTGTTTTATCAATATTTGTCTTCAAACACAATTTTTTTTTTTTTTTTTTGGGGGGGGATCTTTCGCAGAAGCGTGTCTTATTCTACATCCTCTTTACAGTATGAAACAATTTAAGTGAAATTTGGCCATAAAATTGATGGCAAATTTGGGGCTCCCAACACTTTAGAGGGGCTTTAAACTGGCTTATCAGTTTATGTGCAATTGATTGATCTGAGTAACATATCTGACCGTGCACCAAAATACCACCAAAAGGTTGCAGTTGTGATTTTTCAGTTAGAGCTCAATAAAGTGTACTAATTATAATAATAATAATTGATTAAGCACTTTTACGGAATACTAATTAAAACAAAAAATGTATTTGGAACAATAAAATATATACATAGCACTTAGCAGTACACTTGATATTTATATAGAAGATAATGACATCTGAAAACTCCATATCCATCATTCATTTTGAACATTTGGGTAGCATAGGACAATGAAAATTTTACACAAATGAGAAATAACTATTTTGTCAAATAGGCAAAAATAAATTGTATTAATAGCCTTACATCCTCTCTTTCCAATTCATCTTAACATCGAAATGGAAACAATATTGTGTGGTGCCTAACATGTACAGGTATTTATGCGATTCTGTGAAAAACTATCAATATAAATTCCTCCCTTTTAGCCGCATATCATGTATTCATAAAACCATACTGTTCATGATAAAGACAACTTTTATCATTCGATCATTTCTTATCCTAAAACGTTATGAATACAATTTATTTAGAACTGATTTTAACATCAACAAGAGTATGATCTGAGGAAAGAAACATATTTCATAGTTTCAATTTTTTCCTCACTTTTTTAGGGGGAGATATTAAGATGTTCAATTATATGTATTGCGTCACAAGACAAGAATATATATTCTTTGTCAAAGTTGTTAATAGAAAGAATCAAAATGACTCATACCTCTGCAATTTCTTCTAGTGCAAGGGTGAGGATCCAGATGAACACAGCGTACTCAACATACGTAGGCTCAGCTCGGAAGAAGAACATGATGAAGAGACTATAAAGCACTAAGAAAAACACGTATGAAACCTGAAACATAAATAAATAGAAACAAAAAGATTGTTAGTTTCTACAAAGCACCTGCGCTCCGTTAAGAGGCTGCAGAGCACTGGGAATATCACACACAATACCTGATTTATCAATAGAAAAAAGCATACTAGATGGTCCATTCCTGCCGGGCAGCCATATTTGAGTGAGGATTATATAATTGAGTGGCAATTGTACAGGTATAATCATTTTAAATCAGAGAATCATAATTGAACAGTTGACTGGGGTAATAACACACTACTGTCTTAAAGGTACCATGTCCTATTTGCAGGCCCCAAAAAGAAAAGGTTAAATTCCAACGGCATTCGAAAGACATTCGAAAGACAATTTATACTAATTTAGAACTTCCCTCAAATTGAAAGTGGTTGAAAATGGCTTTTAGTGGGAAAATAATGACCATTAGTTGTTGAATCAACTTAAGTGATTGCAATCACCTAAGTAATAGTCTGATTTTCAGACCCTTTTACAGAAGGGTCGTACATTTTGTGCTGCATAAAGATTAAATCAGTTTAATTTTGGCCATTACAATAGTGGGTTATTGATGTAGACAAATGCTCATGTATCTGTTACAGCTTATGTCGGCTGCAAAAGGGACATAGTATTTTTAATGTTGCTTTGTAGAAGAAGAAACATTTCTACTATTATCATTATTTATAAAGATAACTTATTGACTCACCATAAAAAAATAGAATCTGGTGATGGGGGCCATATAGAACATCCTGAGCTTCTTGAAGATGCTAGACCTCTGTGATTCTTTGCTCTCATCCTCCTTCTCCTCTTTGAAGCCAATGAGAAGCGGGATGAAGATGGGGAAGAAGATGGTGAGGATGATGTAGATGTCACTGGCAGTGATACCACCAAGCCAGATGTCATGGACGTAGCCCTGGCAACAAGGGTGCGAGATGAATTCCTGGTAGAGCAAAAGAAGGGGTAGTGCGGGATAAAGAGAGAGATAAGGGGATTGAGATAAGCAGAAAGTGGAGGGGAGAGAGAGAAGTAATATAGGGAGAAATATAGAAGGAAAGTAAAATAATATATACAGAAATAAAAGAGGGAGAAATTGGAGTAAGATAATTTAGAGAGAAAGAAGAAAATGAATTCAGATGGAGAAAAAGAAAGGGAATATGATAAAGAGAGGAAAAGAGGAGGATGATCGAAAGGAAAGGGAGGGGTAGTACATAACGAGAGATGGGAGTGGGATTTTAAAAATGAGCAATTAAAGAGAAAGAGATAATGGAGTAGCATAGAATGAAGGATTGATAGTTGTAAAAGAAAGAAGAAAGATGGGCGAAAGGTAAAGAGAGAGACCGGAGAAAGAAAGATGTGTCAGTTACATGAAAATTCTCACTGTATGTATTCTTGCTGGGTTCTCAGCTTATGAAATGAGTTATCATGCAATATGTAACCTTAGAATCAAAATCAACAACAGTCAATAAAGACCTCCCAAATCCTGTTTGTAATACGTTTTAATGAGGGTTAAGGACAGTATATCATGCAGAAGTATAAAATTTCTTGCATATGAAATAAGTGGAAGATTTGCATAGCAAGCTAATTAGGTACCGTGTACATCAGTTGCCATCTTTAAATGAGGATTGTTGTAAGTCAACCTGTAGTGGTGAGATTCGTGTTCATGTTTTGTTCGGCTAGTTTCAGGCTGGATTTAATGTTCAAAATCATATTTACAATCAAATGTGTGAATTCTGCTTCACTGAGATGGTGGCAGCAGTGGGATATAAACCCAGGCCAACTAAATGACTGATGACTAAAATATCATTGGCGTATATACCTTGTTGAGACTCTCTGCAGCCATGTGAATTACAGATTTGTTCCATCTAGCCTGGGGGAAGGAGACCAACTTTCGAGCTAGCTCCTCATTAACTTCATGACATTCCTCAGTCACACCAATGGCCATCTGCTCAAATTTCCTGAAGAGTAAAGAGAAGAAAGAACATATAAAAGCTTCAAGGTTCTCTTTCGTTTGTCAGCTTTTTGTGTTCATACTCAATGTGTTTGAACTCACTGGCTAAATCCATCAGATAGATTTCATTAAGCAAAAGGGTGTCTTTGGTTATAATAGTTTTTGTTTTCTTGATTCCACCTGACTGTATGGGAAGTCAACATTAAAGCAAAGTAAATATTTTCACCACTTCTGAAGTTGATGTCTGAAGTTGATGACATGAAAAACACTATGTAAACAGTCCATTGACAGATTGTGTTATTTTGTAGATATCTGAATAAATGAAAAGTATAAAATAGGTTAAGGTATACAAGTTTTGACTGGTTAAATATTACTCTAATTTTAAAGGGGAAATACTCTGCAGCAGCATAAAGTTCTATAACAGTTAAATCAAAGAAATCTAACTTTCAGGGGAGGGTGAAGGGGCTTGACAAAAATTATGCAAGACCTTCTAGCCTGTATTGTCTAAAGTAGCACAATTAAGACCTAGCTGATGACCTTAGTCCACTGAAATATGCATTGCCCCAAAAATATGATATGTGTTTCATTTAAATTGCAGTAATCATGAAAAATACAAAAAATACAACAAAATTATTTGGGTTATTAAATGGTAAGGTGAGTCTAATTTCATAGACAGCTTATGCATACACCTGTTCAATAAAGAACTATGGAAATCTTTTTCAAAGATGATGACATTGATATTGCCACCCCACAAACCAGTGAACTTACTCAATGTACGCAGTCATGTTACAAAAAAAGTAAGGCGACTCTCAAGAATATGGGCCTTGACCCCTGTACTGACATACCTGGCGTTGATGATGTAATCATCATCTGAATACGGAAGGCTAATCTGTATATCTGACATGGTGGTTAATATGGCACTAGCTGTAATGGCTGAGCTAAGAGGAGCATCCACCTGCTCCCACAGATAGGCTGCAATCTCTGGTCTGCAAATTAAATTAAAAACATAATAAATAATAAATTAATTAAATAACTAAATCTTTTTTTTTCACATTAGATTGATGATCCCTATCAGCTTCCAATATTTCAATGAGATATTTCCTGTTGAATGAAAATATTACCTCTTGAATCTCATGCTAGAGGTTTGTGGGCAGTTTCTTGAAACTGTCATAAGTCTAAGTTCATAGACATCCTATAGAAACTTGTGTTATTTCTATAATACACGTTTCAATAGGATGTCCAAGAAGTTAGACTTATGACGGTTTCGAGAAACGGCCCCCTGCGTCCAATCCTACATGGAGCCAAAAGGACATTACCTCATATACTTTAACACAGTGTTAAGTGTTCATGCCCTTCTGCCTTTTAACAGACGATATCATTATGATAAGCACTGGAGAAATGTGAACACATTCAGAAGGTACTGTACACATTGTTAAGTGTTCATGCCCTTCTGCCTTTCAACAGACAATACCATTATGATAAGCACTGTAGAAATGTGAACACATTCAGAAGGTAAACAGTGTTAAGTGTTCATGCCCTTCTGCCTTTCAACAGATGATATCATTATGATAAGCACTGGAGAAATGTGAACACATTCAGAAGGTAAACAGTGTTAAGTGTTCATGCCCTTCTGCCTTTCAACAGACAATACCATTATGATAAGCACTGGAGAAATGTGAACACATTCAGAAGGTAAACAGTGTTAAGTGTTCATACCATTATGATAAGCACTGGAGCAATGTGAACACATTCAGAAGGTAAACAGTGTTAAGTGTTCATGCCCTTCTGCCATTCAACAGATGATATCATTATGATAAGCACTGGAGAAATGTGAACACATTCAGAAGGTAAACAGTGTTAAGTGTTCATGCCCTTCTGCCTTTCAACAGATGATATCATTATGATAAGCACTGGAGAAATGTGAACACATTCAAAAGGTAAACAGTGTTAAGTGTTCATGCCCTTCTGCCTTTCAACAGACAATACCATTATGATAAGCACTGGAGAAATGTGAACACATTCAGAAGGTAAACAGTGTTAAGTGTTCATGCCCTTCTGCCTTTCAACAGATGATATCATTATGATAACATTGTTAGTACTTTTGGAAACAATAAAGCTGCAGGTTTTGAAGAATACAGTCCAAGAGTCATCAAACAGGTCATTATGTACATATGTAGACCACTATGCCATGTATTCAAACTTTCATTATTAAACGGAGTTTTTCCAGATGAGCTAAAGAAAGCTAAAGTAACACCAGTGTTTAAACCTGGTGACAAGAGTGAATTTACAAACTATAGGCCCATTTCTGTACTGTCAGTCTTCTCTAAATTATTCGAGCGCATTGTTTATAAAAGAACTATTGAATTCCTTGACAAACATTCTATTCTCAATATGGTTTCCGTAGGGATTATTCAACATGTATGGCTCTTACCAGTCTTTCTAGTGAAGTCATAGACGCCTTTGAGGCGAACGAATTTGCAATTGGAGTTTTTATAGATCTGTCTAAAGCATTTGACACAATTAATCACAATATTTTACTATCTAAACTATATCGTTATGGAATACGTGGTGTAGCTCTTAAATTTTTCACCAGTTATCTTAACAATCGATTACAATGTACCAAATATCAATCTTCTATTTCGGAGTTTAGGACAATAACATGCGGAATTCCATAGGGTAGCCTGCTTGGGCCATTGTTATTTATATTATATGTGAATGATATTTATAAATCTGCTGATGAATTGTCTTTTATACTGTATGCAGACGACACAAACATATTTCACAGAGATTCAAACTTGAAGTCTCTTATGGATGCAGTAAATGCAGGTCTTACATATATATGTGAATGGTTCAAATCTAATAAATTATCTATAAATGTAAAGAAATGTAATTATATGATTTTTCACAATGGAAAGAATGTAGATTTAAATGATTTCAATATTGTTCTTGATAATGTCATATTGCCAAGGGTAGATAAAGTCAAATTTCTTGGCGTTTATTTAGATAGTTCCTTGTCTTGGAAATACCATATTCACGAAGTTAAAAGTAAGGTGTCCAAAAACATTGGCATTATATCCAGACTCAAACATCTCTTGCCCAATCACATTCTACGTATGTTATATTGTGCTCTTATACTTCCATATTTTTCTTACTGTAATCTTGTTTGGGCGAATTCCTGCAAGTACAAAATACAAAAGCTTATACTCTTGCAGAAGAAGATTATTCGTATAATATCCGGAATGCACTATCGTTCCCATACTGGTCCCATCTTTAAACAAATTATTTTCTTGAGATTCAGTGATATTAACTTGCACCAACAGGGTATTTTCATGTATAAAAGCATGAATAACATCTTCCCATCACAATTTAGTGATTTTATCAATTTTAAATGCAACTTGGAAACCCATATGTATAATACGAGAAGCGCTGCCAACATTCGTCTCCCTAAACATAGAACCCAAAGATTTCAATTTGACATTCGATACTCTGGGCCAAAATTTTGGAACACCTTACCATCTATTCTACACAAATGCTCTCCTTGCAGACATTTTCCCGTAAGGCAAAAATGTATTTAATTGCTCGATACTGATACCCTCTCTTGTATTTATGTGTGAAATGATCTTTTGTGGAATTTAATGACATGTTTGTATGACCGATTATTTATTTACTTTGATAACTTGTTGCTAGTACCATCTGTATATTCCCAGGAGAATGCTGTCGGATAAAGCTGTTGTCTGTTTGATGATTTTGCTTGTTTGTAATGATATGTACCCGCTGTCTATTTTACAATTGTACTTCGTTATCTTTAGATGTAATCGCAGACACATGTACAGCCCAATTGATATAACTTTCTCTTTATAAGTAAACATGCCTTCCTATACTTAATTCTCTCCTCTCTTCCTTTCACTATTTTTTCTTTCCTATCAACGTTCTGTTAATAAGCACTGGAGAAATGGAACACATTCAGAAGGTACTGTACACAGTGCTAAGTGTTCATGCCCTTCTGCCTTTCAACAGATGATACCATTATGATAAGCACTGGAGCAATGTGAACACATTCAGAAGGTATGATAAGCACTGGAGCAATGTGAACACAATCAGAAGGTATCATAAGCACTGGAGCAATGTGAACACAATCAGAAGGTATGATAAGCACTGGAGCAATGTGAACACACTCAGAAGGTATGATAAGCACTGGAGCAATGTGAACACACTCAGAAGGTATGATAAGCACTGGAGCAATGTGAACACAATCAGAAGGTATCATAAGCACTGGAGCAAAGTGAACACATTCAGAAGGTATGATAAGCACTGGAGCAATGTGAACACACTCAGAAGGTATGATAAGCACTGGAGCAATGTGAACACAATCAGAAGGTATCATAAGCACTGGAGCAAAGTGAACACATTCAGAAGATATAATAAGCACTGGAGCAATGTGAACGCATTCGGAAGATATATCACCTGTCCATGAGAATGGCCCATATGAAGAGCTCCCTGAATGGGTGATCGAAGTGCATCCCTGGGTTGGCTAACTCCACCATGGAGAGGTGCGCAGCCCCTGTGGTGAGGGCGTTCTTAAAACGCTTTGTGTGGATATATTCTTCCTGCGCAGAATTCAACAGGCTCATTCCTGGTTGGAAAACAGAGAAACAAAAAGGATATGTGAGAAAATCGATTAAGAATGCATTGGGGTATTTTTTCTGATTAATCATGCATGACTGAAAATGTCTTGTAAGAGGTATTATGGGGTAGATTAGAAAAGAAGAATGATGATAAGTTGAATTTGCTAAAAGAATTACATTGAACAGCCTAAACAGCTGTGTGCCAGGTCAGCATAAAGGTTTGTGCATGGATGTAATAATCTGATTAGTTCGATATATGTCTGTAAAACCTAAAGGCCACTGAATAATTCATGACTTATCGTAGACTAGATTTATATTTCATAAATTGGAAATGTATTTATTGGATAAGTATTTTAATGGGAAATCTTCCTGACTGGAAACTGGCTGGTATATTTGGTTTGAATTTGTATACAACTGACAGGGTTTATAAAAAACATTCTTTTATTTATTTGCATGACCATTCAGTCAATAAAATAAAAACCATATTCTTAAATTTCATGACTCAAATTCTATTAAAATCTATTCATAATCACTTGCAATGTATCTAGTAAGGTCTAGTAAATGAGCACCCACACATACCTAGACCCATGAAGACAAACACCCACACACTGAGATCCATGCACACACCCTCACACCTAGACACATGAACACAAATATCCACATACCTAGACACATGAACACAAATGTCAACATACCTAGACCCATGAAGACAAACACCCACACACTGAGACCCATGCACACACCCTCACACCTAGACACATGAACACAAATACCCACACACCTAGACACATGAACACAAATATCCACATACCTAGACACATGAACACAAATATCCACATACCTAGACACATGAACACAAATACTCGCATACCTAGACACATGAAGACAAATATCCACATACCTAGACACATGAACACAAATACCCACACACCTAGACACATGAACACAAATATCCACATACCTAGACACATGAACACAAATACCCACACACCTAGACACATGAACACAAATATCCACATACCTAGACACATGAACACAAATATCCACATACCTAGACCCATGAACACAAATGTCCACATACCTAGACCCATGAACACAAATATCCACATACCTAGACACATGAACACAAATATCCACATACCTAGACACATGAACACAAATGTCCACATACCTAGACCCATGAACACAAATATCCACATACCTAGACACATGAACACAAATATCCACATACCTAGACACATGAACACAAATACCCACACACCTAGACACATGAACACAAATATCCACATACCTAGACCCATGAAGACAAACACCCACACACTGAGACCCATGCACACACCCTCACACCTAGACACATGAACACAAATATCCACATACCTAGACTCATGAACACAAATATCCACATACCTAGACCCATGAACACACCCTCACACCAAGACACACAAACACAAATACTTGCATACCACGACCCATGCACACACCTAGACCCTCGAACACAAGCACCCACACACCGAGACCCATGCACACACCCAAACATACAGACCTATGCACCCACACACAAAGACCCACACACTGATACCCATGCACACACCCACACACCACGACCCAAAAACACAAACTCCCACACACCGAGACCATGCACACACCCACACACCTAGACCCACACACATAGGACCACAAACACCCACACAAGAGACCACTGCACACACCTAGACCGTGAGCACAAACACCTACCCACTGAAACCCATGCACACACCTAGACCCAAGAACACAAACACCCACACACCGAGGCCCATGCACACACCCACACACCTAGACCCATGAACACAAACACCCACACACACCCACTCTTACCTAGACCCACAAACACACATGAATACACCCACACATACCTAGACCCCCCCCCCCCCCCCCCTCCCTCCCCATACACACTTACCTGTAAGACTTGTAGACAGTACAAGGAGAGCTCTTGTCTCCCTGTTGGTGCTGCGTCTGTAGTGCCGGTCATTGGTGTACAGGGGTTCATGGTGTGTTCCAGTCAGGAACTTGATGAGGATACCAATATCATGAAGGAAGATTGGCTGGCCAGGCTGGAAACAATTTTAATATCATCATAAAACATAATTAGATATGAATAATAGCATGATGTGAAAATATGTGCAAATATGAATACCATTAGGTGCATCAAGGCTCATTTAGAACTGATAGAAAGAAAGAAAGACATGCACTATTTCTCTCTTAAAACCAATGTTTCAGATCCCTATGACTTTATTTTGAGCAGGAGACAATGAGATACTTCTTGATTTCATTATAAACAGCAAGAAAATTCAAGGTTTCCCTGACCAAAATCTTCCATTTAAAGGAAACTTCAACAGAAATGACAAAGGCCACTCAATAATACCTTTCTGTGTAAGACATCGTCTACCAAAGTTCGTAGAAAGCAGGTGTCAGGGGCGCTGTTGTAGAGCCGTCGGAGTCTGACCACAGTAAGATAGTCCTTGATTATGGCACCACGTTCAATGAAGAGACGCAGAAAATCAACCCTGTTGTTGACAAGGGCATCAGTGATGAATGGATGCAATTTGGGTAGCTGAAAGGCAAAGAATTGGGATGGTAAAGTAGCTAAAGGCATTACAGTGGGTAATATTGGTATACAAAAAGTTGTAATATGACAAATGAATTTAAGATCCAACAGTATAATAGTAAATGTGATTTGGAGAATAATCAAATTGTGTTTGTAGACCTTAACCATAATGTCTTTGGGGCTAGGTTGTAATAAATCAAACTGAGCCAAGGTCTTTTAGATAATGCCTTGATTCAAACCATCTCTAGTTATGAGATGACGACAAATTGAAACTTGAACTTTGTAGACTGAGATACTCACTGGAATGGAGACATCATCAGTGAAGATCTTGCTCTCTGCAACATCTGCACGGTTCCATGACATCGCAAGTGAGAGTTGGTGAAGTGGAGTCACTGCATGCACTGGGAATCAAAAGAGATACAATTCCAAATAGTTGTCATGCATAGTCACATGATCTGACACAAATGCTACAGCAACATTTGATCTGGGCTGTACAGCATCAAAAATACCAATGGTTAGGATAATGTTACAACTCGGTTGGGTTTATGGTGAGAGTTAGAGCAATTGGTCCTGACGTGAAGTCCATAATTTGGTTAGTGTAGGAATTGATTGCTGAACAATTTTTCCTAGAGCATGTGTTCTACAATTTCTACATAATGATCAATATATACATGTTTGTGTCTAAGTCTCTAGGGTTGATTGCAAACACACAGCCCTAGATGTTCCTTAGCCCCATTCTGCATTTTGGTCTCTTTGCCCCGGACATTCATACATTAAAGTCCTATACAATTTGAATAAGAGTAGGGATAAAACCACTGGATAGTGGACCCCCTGCACATCCCAAATCTGCAGGAAGAGAGACAAGAGGGTCACAGTGATTCAGTTCGCTTTTCTCCTCCTAGGCAAAGGTGTCGCCAAGTACTTGGTAATTATAAGGATAACAATAATAATGATAACTCACATTTAAGCAAAGCAGTAAGAATAGCAAGGTCAAGGTCTGTGTGCTCCTTCTTCTGCATCTCAAAGACGGTCAAGAGATCTTCATCCAAAACACACTGGTCAATCTTATCCATAATCTCAACCATCTCTTGGCTTTCATATCCAATGCTTAGCAGGACATGGATCTTCTCACGTAGGATTGGCAGACACGATGGCTTCACACAACGAACTCCCCTAGGATAGAGAATAGCATTGGCATCATAATAAAGGATAAATACTCTTATGAAAAATAGGGTACTAGCTGGCACAATTCTTATCCACTGCCTTGCATTCATGTGCACTCAGGCATACACAATGACTTTCATTTTCGCATCATGTACCTCTCAAGTTGAGATTACTCCATACATTTATATGACTGGAAGAAACCTTTCTATCTATCAAATCAGTTTCAGGAAAACTGGTAGACAATTTGCAGGTTTAGGTCAAATACACATGTACATGTATGCTCACATACTTTGGATTCAAGCACAATTAGAGGAAGAAAGGGAGCAACTCACTAATATTTTCCATTGATTCTGCAAACAGATACCAGTACCTATTGCTTGACAGCTGAGAGCTGGAAGGAAACAAATTGCACATTACTGTTGATCAGTTTGGCATACTGGTACATTTACGGGCTTGACAGCTTAGAGCAAGAAAGGAACAAGTCACCCAATCTTTTCAGCATGCCTATTTGCATATTAGAGGGTTAGGCAACTAAGAGCTAGAAGGGACTAACTCACCCATTCTCTTCAGCATGTCTTGTTGCGTAGGAGAGGATATCAGCTACGCGTCCAGTGCCGTTGCATAAGATGACAGGTGTCCGTCTCTGGACAGCTTGGACCACGGTATCAATGGTATCTACACCTCCCTCTAAGATCACATTTACCACCGGTATACCAAGACCACCCTCTGAATCATGGAGAAAAATAGCAAAATTTTGATGAAATATATTGCATAGCAATTAAGTGGACTATCTGATTGACAAGACCACCTTGGTCTTTTATGGTAGCTTTGATTTGCATCTGCCCCGTATTTGTATAATCTTTTTATTAGAATTGCATAAAAAGGAACTCTAACTTAAAAGTCAACTTTGCCACCATGGTAAAATTTTGTTTCGCTACCAGTGCAAATTGGCACACAGTTTGCCATACATGCCAAGTACAAGTATGTTACAGTTACACCATCCTGAATGCATGATAAAGTTAACCCATTGTCTATAGGAAACAGGTGGCTCCTGTACTAACCCTATGGTAATGAGAGACTTTAGTAGTCAATGGGTAAATAGCCATATTCGAGCTGGGATCAGGGCCCCGTCTTACAAAGAGTTGATATCAATCGTAACTTATTTGCGATTGATATCAATCGTAACTATGTACATAAGAGATAGGAGACTGCAAACTTGCGATTGATTGGAGGACTTACGATTGATTTGGATCGATCGTAACTCTTTGTAAGACGGGGCCCAGACCTACATTGAATATGAAATAAAGTTATACATTTGATGTGAACTTTAATTCATAACTCCACAATAATTGGTAGCATATGGGGAACCGAATGACCAACTATTGACTTGCACATTTATTACCAGCAACCCTGGTGATGTACTGCTTGTTGATGATAGAACCACCATGACAGGTCATTCGGATTTAAAGCGTTCAACTGCTATGACGACATAACGTCGGTGGGGTGACAAAACCTTGTATCTCAAAAATCATGAATTTTCAGGAGAGCGAAAAAAAAATCCTATATTAACAAATTCAGTGCTGTGACACCGTCCTTTCTTTTTAAAACTGGAATATTCATACAATTTTTAATGTCATTGTTGAAATACAGTAAAATAATTGTTTTTATATTTGAAAGTGAGTTTTTGCGTTTATCTACATTGAGATACAAGTTTTTAGTTTGTATTCAAATTGAGATACGAGTTCTTACTTTCAACTCTGAATGAGTTATGAGGATTTGGTTGAATAAGTTACGAGGATTTGAATACACTAACTTCGGTACTGATAGGCCGTGTGTGAGTTACGAGGAAAAGGAATTATGTATCTTTTGTTACGAGGTTTTGTCAGTGCAGCTTCAAAAAGGGTTACAGTTACGAGGTTTAGTTTAAGGGTGTTTGTGTGGAATTTGTGAAAAAACGGAGAAGAAGGCATTCCATGGATTTATTAGGTGGTGTCGTAGGCCATTAGGTACAAAATTATGCACAAAAATCAAAATCTCAAAAAATTGAGATACGAGGTTTCGTCACACCACCGACGATAAGTGTAATATACTTCACATTAATCTTATAATACAGAGCTATGTGAAGACACAAGGAAGCTTTGTTGCCTGCAGTTGTCGTTCATTTCACATGTTTTTAAAACAACCGCAGCGGATTATCAATTCACAGCTGAATAAGCCTTTACTCACCACTCTCAGGTTGCAGCATAGCCTCCTGTATCTTAGACTTCAGCTCCACGCTATCCCCATACCTGTTCTTTCTCCCACAATCGATCATGATGAAATGGGTGTGGTCTGGGTTGAGGGGCGAGGGCTGACCCCTCTTCACCACCGGGTCTACTCTGTAGGACACAGATCGTATCTCCTGCAACAGAAATGGTTTTGAAGACATGCTCGTGATAGGAAACATAATGTATCTACTTACATTTAAACTTGCATGAATGCTTTTAGCCCTTTCGAGAAGCAGACCAAAGCAAGGGTAATATACATTTTTTTTTATTAGAACTTTCATTTAACAAACATCGCTAACTTTCATGCCTTTTACGTTCTGGATGCATCTGTCCCTGCCACTATGTTTCACCAAGCTACCTAAGGTGTTACCTCATTCTTTTCATTGATGAGGCGGTCAGTCCCCGCCACGTATGCCCAGGGCGGAATCCCGATGAGCGCGAACTTTGGCATCTTTTCCTTGGCTATCCTGGACATGGAGCGAGCCTCTCGGATGGCCGTGCCCACAACTTTCCTCACGCCAACGTTTGTGCCCCCGCTGATCACCCATACTGCAATTGTTTGTATGGCCTACGGCAAACAGAAGGACAAAATAATAATAAGGGAAAGAGGGTTTAGCATTTTTATAATTGTTTTCATTAATTTCTCGGTTGTAAGCGCATGAGCACATATTGGGTGGATATATGTTGCACATTATATACCGGTAGGTAAAATGTCTGTATTATTGTAATGAAGTTTTGGTGGGGTCAAACCTTCAGCAGAACTGAATATGTTCACTGGGCCAGGCCATTATTGCCACATGCCCTATTTACCTGGGTCCATTTGCATAAACCCACCACATAAAACAGAAGGTTCTTTCACATAAAACAGAACTTCTTTCGTATACAGCAGAAGTTTTTTCACAGTACAGTATGGCTTTTAGGTGACCTCTGCATTTGTTTGCTTACCTTGATCAATCCTCTGTTGAAGGTGGCCTGGTCTTGAGCATTCAGCTTAAAGTTCTTTGCCCCGCCACTGACTGAGATGACCAGTTGAGGAATGCTGAGTTTCCAGTACTTGGTCAAGATCTTCAAGGCTAGCTTAGGGTCAGTGTTGTTGGAGATTCTCACATACTGCACAAAAAATGAACAGATCACAATAATATTTAGCTTTTATATAGCACTTAATACATATGTCTCTAAGTGCTTTACAAATATACTATTACCCCGGTCATCTCCACAATCTCCACTCCCTGGGGAGCATTCCAGCCAGGCGGTACTTGATGCTCAAAAACTGTTTTACCAACAATGACGGTAGCACCCTACTGGGTACCCACATGGGTGGAGAGTAGCAATTGCAGGTTAATATCTTGCCAAAAGATATTAGCGCCGTGTCGGGATTCTAACTCCCGACCTTCGCATCTCCAGTCAAGCGCTTTAAACCACTTGACCACGACTTTGGGCAGCAATTGCAAATCATCAAGCAAGACATAAAATCATTTTTGAAACTAAGATAAAAAAATTCAAAAAATATTAAGATATGAAATTAAATATATCTATATACAAGGAAGCTAGACAGACAGACAGAAATACAGACGAAGTGAATCAGACAGGCAATGCTTTATGAGCTCATAACATAACTAATGAACAGAGAAATGGAAGAGATTGTAAGCAAATGTTATTAAAATGGCATATCAAGGCAAAGATAAAACTATATTGATACTAGTAAACATTTTTTTCAATGGTATACTAGACATAGAAAATTCAAATCAAAATCAAAGCTTTAAATGGACATGAAAGGCTCATTAAATACAAGAGCAACGTGAAGGCAGCATTAAGCACATTAGCCTGAATTGGTGAGCATCATAATTTTTCGACAAAACTAATTTTATGAACATTGTTGTTAATATCTTGTTGACATATATTGCTAAATACAAGTTTTGGGATATACTTGAGTGATGACTTGAAATGATGATGAGCTCTGTACAACTAGGTAAACCTATCAAACTATAGTTACCTTGACCGGTTTGGGACTTGCCATCTTTCCCTTGAAGTACAACTGGCCGTTTGCATCAGTAGGGTACTCTCTTACGTCCAAGTCTTTGTCCCAGGTTGACGAGCCCTGGCTACTACGATCCAAGTTAGCATCACTACAGTGCTGCCGTGGCAGACGACCGCAACAACAGCTGACATTGAGACAGGAATAAGTGTTAGAGAGAGGTACATCTAACATATCTACTTATTCACTTTCATCCTAAAGCCCACGGACAGCTTTGATAAAGCTTAAACTTTTTTTGCCAGATTTTTATTAATCAAGTTGATGACTAAAAAATTGCTGAAAATTCAAAGCTAATGTGAACATTTTTTTCCTCCCTATGTGGAATATTAAACAAATGAAAGTTGAAACATAATGTACATGTAGACCCTACGTGCTTGAGAAATGGACAGTACATCAAGATATTTAGTACATGTATCTTTTGATACAAATGGAATAATATGAGGATATACGTTTAACAGGTTTCATTCCAATTCTACTTTCACAACTAGAACTAGATTTAACCTTTCATTAGTATTGTTTTCACATATTTTCACACGTACTGTAGTCATTACACCACAAGGATAAATTAATCCATTTTTTTTTTTCATTTTTCTTTAATTCATACAAGAAAAGAGAACCAACATTCTAACCTAAGAACAATTCTGATCAAACTGTCAGCAAATAAAACTTTAAATATCAGGATTTATTAGACAATATCTATTGTGAGTTTGTTTTGTTTTGGGGGGAATGGGGTCGGGATTCAAACAAATGTGTAACTGTATATCGGCTCGGCCCTTTGCTTTTTATGTTATACACAAGTAATCTAATCAAGAGCACTCAGGATAATTTTCCTGAAGTCTCCTGTCACTGTTATGCAGACGACACACAATTATGTTTATCCTTTAGACCATCCAATAGTACTAGATGCAAAATGTGTTAATTTTATTCATAGATGGATGCTTAATAATAATCTTAAGCTAAACGATAGTAAGAGTGAATTTTTGGTTATAGGAACTCCACAAAAGATCTCAAAAATAAGCATTGACGGTGTAAGAGTTGGATCCTCCAATGTGATACCCTCTGTTACAGCAAGGAATTTAGGAGTACCGGTATACTTTGAAACTAATTTGAACATGGAAACACATGTTAAAAATATATGCAAATCAACATACTATCTTCTGTACAATCTCAGACGTATCCGCAAATATTTTGATCAAGAAAGTATGAAATTGGTTGTACATGCTCTTATCACAATTAAGCTTGATTATTGTAACGGGTTGCTGTTTGGAATGCCTGATTCTCTGAAAGCTAAGTTACAAAGAGTCCAAAATGCATGTGCAAGACTTGTCTACCGTCGGTCGAAATTCACTTCAACCGCACCTCTTCTGAGAGAACTCCACTGGTTGCCAGTCCGTCAAAGAATCTCATTCAAAATATTGTTAATTGTCTATAAATCATTGAGTGGTCAAGCCCCTAATTACATCACAGAATTACTTCAACTCAAAGTCCAGTCACACAGTCGTAGCCTGCGCAGTTCCATAGATAAATTATTGTTTCAGATTCCCCATGGCAAAACTAAAGTAACTCTTGGGGACCGTGCTTTTGCTATTGCTGCCCCCAAACTATGGAATAGCTTGCCAATAGAAATACGAAGCACTCCATCTCTCAATGTTTTCAAATCCAATTTAAAAACTTATTTGTTCAACTGAGAGATCTTATTTTGTAGAATTTAGTAAAAAGGAGCTCTTAACCAGCGCAGCTGAATATATTTTGTATAAAAGCTGCGCTATATAAATTTATTATTATTATTATTATTATTATTTTCAATGAAGCATTTCAAATATCAGTGAAAGACACTTGAACAGAAAGGATACATGACCATTTAATACTTACACATTCAGTTTTTTAGGATCTATTACATATCTGATGCATTCTTTCTTTTTAAAGTTGCCTTTAATCCAAGAAGATTGGGTTGGTGTTGGGTCCTAATATCAAAGAAATAAAAAGGTATATAATTGACAAGAAAGTAGTAAGAAAGACAGTAAAATCTCCTTCAATGATGATGTAAGTGTAATATGAACCACATTTCTGTATCATAACACAAAACTCTGTGAACATACATAGGACATTTGGTGCACGCAGTTGACATTCACTTGTTTTTTAAATGCTGTGGTTTACTTTTCATATCAGAACAAGCCTCAATACTATTCACTTGAAAAATACAGAATACTATATTACCATACCCTGGAAACATCTTTGAACTGTTGCTGAGAGACTAACAAATATAATTTGATTGAAGATAAACATTGTAAAACCTATCAGATTCTAAAACAATAGGTACCTACCAACTTTTATTAAGTTGGATTAACTTCTCAATTAAATTGAATGTTCCATTGTATACAACTTTACATTAAGGTCAACAGATACAAAGGCTCATGAACGTATTATTATTCCTTATTTTGTAATGTTTAACCATATAAAATTGATCCAGTTATTCAACCATTCACCATTCAAATTCTCCTCTGAGTATGGTAACGAAATGTTATTTCCGTAATAAATCTACTGAATAATAAGTGATTTTTCACATCATCGGATTGTTCATCAGTTACGCAGAACTTGAAGATAAATGTATTTGTTTGAATATGGCAAGGTCTTGCCAAATCCATATAATTTCATATAATACAGGCATAATTTTATTAAACAATCAATTAACCCCAATGATAACTGTTTTCTTCCTGCCTGTACAATGATAAGGATACTTTATAAAACTCATGGATCATATTTTGTCTTGGCTTTTCTTAGTCTTTCCTTTGCTGACAACAATCAAAGAAGTTATCTCATGGCACTTGAAGGTGTAGGATACATCTATTATCCTGACCTGCATTATCCTTCTATTAAAATACTTACATGTACAAAAGAGCAAGTACGGTATATTTCTGAAAATCTACAATAAACATTCTTACCGCCATATCCACAACAAAGTGTGTTGCCTTGACAACGGATGACACCTTGGCCCATGATGAACCCCGTCTCAATGACCTTTTCTTCTCCTCCTCCTCTAATTTCTCCCAGTCAACCTCATCTCCTGACACTGTATCTCTACGTCGTAATGATGAAGTGCGCCCCACACCATGGATGCTTCGTTGGATGCACACAGACTCAGTGTCTGGGTAAATGCCGGGTGGATCCATGCTGGAAGCATCCGTATCAGTAGACCTCCAGAGAATTAGATCATTGTTGGTTCTGGAAAGAGTAAGTTGCACAGCTGTTGATATAACATACCGTATACAACAAAGTCAATTTATTTACATGCACAATTACGAAAACGAGAAGAGCTTTAAAAACTTTTTATTTTGTCATAATATCAAAGAAGCATCTTTAATTATCATGAGACAACATATCAAAAAGAATAGACAAGGTTCATTGATAAGGAAATACCAATAATACTTTTTCAATGAGTGTGCATTTGACGGATAGGCAATGACTGCTAATTAATTAACAGGCATAATTTAGGATTCAGGAAATATTTAAAGTAAGAGTCTAGTCCATCCACTATTCACAATTATTTACCAAATGGAAACTATGCATATAAAACTAATAATTTCTTTACAAAAAGATGAATTTGTAAATACACTGGGCATGACAGGTTTTACTTGTGCTCAAGCCAGGTGCTATAGTTAAATTTCTTAAGCAACTATTTTGGAATTGCTAACTAGATGCATCTACACCTACCAGTTTCTTTGTTTTTAAACTGAAATTTAATTTGAGATTTTTTCTTATTTGCACTTATATAAAGCTAGTTGACGATATAATTAAGGATTAGGCCTATATATAGTCACCCTCTACTCTTGGTTAAACAGAAACAGAACAATAATGTATCATCCTGAGCCAAGATTCTCATCAATGACAGGCTGATAACAGTTTTGTCCTTCTGGATAATGATAATGTACATGTAGTCATGGCACCAGACTTTTTATGTATAATTTGCCATAAATAATATATTCTTCATATAGTCACTCACGACTGAGTCACAAACAATCTTTACAACTGCACCTTTTTTTCCTGTATTCATATGTGTTTGGCAAAATTATCTTTTTTTATTTCCCTCTCTATGTTTCCCTTGTATGTCTATTATTCTCCTGCTCTCTCTCTCTCTCTCTCTCTCTCTCTCTCTCTCTCGCTCTCTCTTTCTCTCTCTAGCTCTTTCTCTCTCTCTTTCTGTATTTAGGATGGGGATCGACGTTATAGGTCGGCTCCCAAAACCCAATTACACACAATTTCTCTTTCTCCTTGTTAATCTCTCTCTCTCTCTCTCTCTCTCCTGCTATTTTACTTATTTTATCCTCCATCTGAGTTTTAAAATATAAAAATGTTCATGCCGTATTTCAACTATACTTCACTAAAGCAGGCCAAAAGGGCATCAAGTATTGTAGTATACAAGCCTAGCTTTATTTGGTCTTTCCACTCCCTACTTTAATTCATACCAATTTCAATTACACTTTCTATACATAATTTTGTATATACCGGTAGACGTGTACAGGTTTTGTTCATAACCATGTCTTAATAAAATTCATCTCGACAATAGACTTTTATATTCCCTTAAATTTGAATAGAACTGAAGTGAAAGCTCTTAGGCCTAGTATCCCGCAACAGCCTGGAATTAAGAAGCGGGGTGATCGAGCCGGCGGGACAGATGCCATTTCCCCCCCCCCCCCCCCCTGCCCGCTGGTGTGCGAGTTAGAGAGTTGTTCCGATTGCAACGAACAAAACATATCATATGCGTTCACATATTTTAAGAGTGTTATTTGAGTGAAATTATGACAACACAGCATGCAAATACCAAAGTTTTGTACACTAAAGTTATTAAACTTACCAGCTTAGCAATCATAATGCGGAACAAAGCTACGGTTTCATGTACATGTACCTGTTTCGGTCTTCAAATCAACTCCATCGGCAAATCAATCGTTCATGCAACTTTCCAGGATTAGCGTAATGTAGTCATGGCGTCGCGTTCATCAAAATGCTACTATATTAAGAAGGGTGTATTACGTAATACCGTTGGTCTAATAAAAGAGAGTGTAGTTTGTTTAATAGCAGCGTAATTGATTACGTAATTTGCATAACGGATCGGGGAAAATGCCTTGGCTGTATATTGCAATTTGGGCCTATTATAGTATCACTTTTGATGAGGCGGCAACTCATAAAATTTTATCAGAACCTATATTTAAAAAATATTTTGTTTAAGGAAAAGATTACTTTTATGAGCAAATGTGATGATCTTTTTTCTTGTCAGAGAAATATAGTTTATCATATAAGATCTAGAGAGGCGCTTAGTATGTTTTTTGTGTACTAGTGATGATATTATTGTGCCATTTTTTTGTTTTTTGTTTGTTGATAAGTTCAGGATCACAAACACGCTCACAACCTTCCTGTTCTTTCCTAAATTGGTGTGAAATTCATTAATTCTAGACCATACTCAAACAACTAGGAAGTTTTCTTGAAATTAATTGAGCACTTATATTTTCAAAGATGTTGCCTATTAGAAACTCCTCGTGTTGTTTAGACCCCATTTAATTCCTGCATAAATAAATTGATCACATTTTAAAACAAATACTTATTTTGTTCTCAATATACAGTTTTATTACTTATTATTCACATGATAATAATCGTTATAATTGATTTTTATATCTGTTCAAGAAAAACAAGACATCAAATAATTATTTTTTCAATAGAATGGATAAATTTCCATTTTACAATCATTGACAACACTATATCTCCTTCTAATGTTTGGATAATCATAACTTGCCCCATATAGCTGTAAGATAGTCATATACATCTTCTATACACAATATATCTAATCACCTATAGTCTGAACGTCTTATTAAGAAACGTGTAACAAAATCATTGCATTTAGTGAAACACGTAATCATCTGAGCATCATTTAAAACAAAAACTCAATATAGATAAAGGGTCCGGATCTAGTCAGAACGACGAATCATAAGAAAATTGTATGACTAGGCGGGGCTTCTTGTGAGGGCATATATTATCAATTGATTTCTTGAAAAGACTGTAGCTATACTTATTATGTTTCTTTGTACAATTTCTTTTTTCTTGCTTGTACCCCCCTTTCATTAAACGATGATTATAAGTTTCTTTATATGTTTCTTCGTATAAATTTCTAGTAGTCTGAACTGGCTATTAGACTCGTTCAACATTCTTTGACCTAATATACGAAAAAAAATTCAAGAGGTCACTGTGAAAAAGATCATAGAGGAATATATTGACATAGAGTATAGGTTTAATACCCAGTAAGCCTGAAAATTGACTCTGACGTGTTGACATGCCGACATGTAGATGTAACATTAAATTCCATTGATATCTAATTTGAATATCGGATCAAAATAATAGTAATTGATTTAGACAAGGCTGAACAAATTATTAAAATAATTGACCTCTTTAAACATGCAGATTGTGTAATTATATTAATCATTCGTATACAAATTGGCAAGCATAAAAAGAACACATTCCTTTTTCCAATTTGTATTTAATCGAGAGGCGATAGGCGCGATACTGAACTTAGTGGTGAAGTAGTGGACTTACACACATAACCTGGAGGTCCCATATTTGAAACCATGTTGATGCTCTAGTGCCCTTTTGTATAAAAAGTATTATTCCTTATTACCAATTCCCTCAGGGAGGAATCCACTAGCTGCTTGCTTATACTTACAAGCAAGGACATGCTTTCTTAGCAGTCAAGTATTAAACACAAACCATCACACCACCAATGTTATAATCAAAGAAAAGATATAGAGAGAAACATCTTGCAAGTTCTCAAGTGAATGTGTTAAATAATTGAATAATTGTTGCTTCAGAATTCATACACTCGCTCTTCCAAGTAGTGATGCCATTTAAGTTTGTCATGTTTCCATTCCTTGTTATAGCTAAACATCAAATCACACAGTGCCTGTGTGTTTCGAAAAGATAATGTATAAAAGCATGTATATGTATATTTTGTAAAACCATAAAACTTATGCAACATAAATTGAGAAAGTAATAAAGTTATAGCTCTGAATTTTCTAAAACATGAGACCATAAAATGTTCTAAATACTTTTCTTACTGCAATGGAAATACATTTGTTCATACATGTATAATACTCTTTGTGTATTGCCTTTAGTAGCATAATAGTACTCGGCTACTTGCAGCACACACAACGCATATCTTATGTGATGTTACATGTTACATGTAGCACTCTGACGGTCAATATTATATCAATAATGATGGTAACGAAGGGGAAGGGGGAGGGGGAGTGGGAGGGGAGGGGAGGGGAGGGGAGGGGGGGAGGGGGGGGGGAGGTCTTTCACTCCATCCGATTAATGAAACTTATAAATACAATAAATATGTGGGGTGGGACATAAATGAAGCAGGTACAGTGTACATGTTAAAGGAGGTTGAAGTTATGTATACCCCTCCTCCCATTTTCTTTTCACTTTTTTCACTCAATCCTTGTTACAAAAAACATTCATTTTAAAGCGATACTGAACTGATGAACTTTCTGCCCTAGCGTAGTTTATTGCACAGCGCCATCTCTTGGTCAACTTGCCAACAGTGAGTAACACAGTACCTAATTTCCACTTTGTAGAAAGAGGATTCAATCCAGGAACCAGCAGGGCAGCTAAGGAAGCAGCAGTTACGGGACCATACTGCTAAAGCTGACCTGAGATGGCGCTAGAGGGGACTTTGCAGTGTGCGTCTAGTACGGCTTTAAAACAGTGCATATCTTACAAAATTCTGAGCAGACTTATAGCTAACATTCAATTGGAAATACATGAATGGCCTTTTTAAGATCTATGATTTTTAATGATTCTCTTTTATTTCAACGATAACACCATAGTCATGTAAATGTCTTAATAATGGCAATTGGATATATAATTTATTATGACAGACATTTCATCTCTCGATAAAATAGCTCAGAAATCACACAAAATATACTTGATTCAACCCAACTCAATGATGTTTCTTGTACATTGTTATTTTGAGTACCTTCTAAGCTGTATTAATCAAAACAATACCAATTCTAAAATATATTCCACAATACTGCAACTTTATCGTGTATACCACAATCGTAATTCTTAAATAATTACTGCATACATACCAGCAAAGCCTGTGAAGCAGAATATTTGTAATTCATTCATTCATTCATAATGGTTTTATCTGTGTATTCACGAAAGACAGGACAATACACAAAATGCATTTGGAATTTTACTTCTTGAAAAAGAGCATACAAAATTCAAATGGTGAATATCTTAGTTGTGACATACACCTGTAAAGTTCATCTTAAAACAGTAGGACAGGAATCTATACTTATTATTGTCTCTTTACGTTTGATCAAATTATCGAAACAAGTACCGTAAGTAGAAAGCGGTTTCATATTTAAATAACCCTATAGCACCTTCAGGTTACGTGTACTGTAGCCAGTTACTCACTGTAGGAAACCTTAACTGTAGACCACTTTGCAATCACTTTAAGATATATATCGAAAGAGTTGATGTTTCATACATAGTAATAGCAGAGGATATTTCTGAAGGAACCATACATGGACGTAAAACCATACCATCTTTTATTCATCCACAATCTTATTAGACTTGATTGGGAGAGTGAAACTTGACAATATAAAACCATACCAGAATCTACATACGCACAACAAATCAACATATATATAGATAAAACAAACCATTATTGTGAAAGACATATATACTGTGAACCTTTCTAATAGCAATTTTGATATAATAATAGAGATAGATATCTGAATTGCAAAAACTCATATACACAAAAGGAATGATAATCATAGCTTTACTTTGATAAAATGATATGTTGCTCCTGATGAGATAAGTGTATATATTTAAACCAAAGTACCCAAAACATAGAAATAATGTGCATAAATACAGTAACTCCATTTCACTCTGCTTCTTATTCTACTACTACCTGTTTATATATTCATTCAATCTTATTCTTCCACAAACAGACACTTTTCATACTAGCATCATCATTTGAACATAAAGTATATTCAAAATTTGTATCACAAAATCTCTACATTGTTTACATTGTGAATAGTACAGGTTCAGGGAATACCTGTCTTATAGTCTGTATTGAGCCACTCATATACTTTAATAATAATAATAATAATAATAGCACTCATGTGTGTCAGACTTGAAATTCCTGGCACTCCACAAATATTTCTAGTTTCACTAGAACATTTTAGTCCAATACTACCGTTCCTCTCTAGACATATCAGCTAGGGAAGGTTCTGGTTCAGTCTGAAGTGATATCCAATACTACCAGTAATTGATATAATCCTATTTAAACAGGACCATTCCTCTTTAGAACTTTCAGCTACCAGTAGGTAAAGTCTGAAGTGATATCTAGGCAAGTAGTGCATACGCAGCATCCGTTGTGCTGACTGCTTGGAATGTAGCGGTGAAGGCTCTCCGACTTGCTTCATCGATTACCTGAAGAGAGAATTTAAATATGTTCACATGAAGTGGTGACTAAAAAAGGTTTGATTGTTTTAATAATGTTCTTCTTTTCTCTATTTCTATACATGTCTAGATTCATTGATTGGACAGCATTTATCAGTGGTATTACACTTTAATGCAGTTTGAAAGACATGCAACAATGGACCTGTACATGGGGTGTATTCATAAAACTAATTACAATATTCTGAATACTGCACTCTTTTTATAATTTTGTTTTTCTATCTTTCTCTTATCTATACTGCATGTAATTTATCGCAAGGGAGGAGAATTAGAATTATTACCAAGATTGCTTTACATTCTCTTCCACAATAGGGACCCTCTTACATAATGCACAAACTTAAAATAAAATGATCAGTAAGTAAAGCCCATTCTCTTCCACAATAGGGACCCTCTTACATAATGCACAAACTTAAAATAAAATGATCAGTAAGTAAAGCCCATCATCATAAATCTCCCCCAGAAGAACATTTTTGAGAGTCACATGCAGCTTGAATCATTTTCCACTAGTAATTTATCGCAAGGGAGGAGAATTAGAATTATTATCAAGATTGCTTTACATCCTCTTCCACAATAGGGACCCTCTTACATAATGCACAAACTTAAAATGAAATAATCAGTAAGTAAAGCCCATCATCATAAATCTCCCCCGGAAGAACATTTTTGAGAGTCACATGCAGTTTGAATCATTTTCCACTAGGCCACTTGCCACTAAAGATCTAGATGTGTAAACACATTGTAAATTAAACGAAGTCCGGTGTAAGTGAATTATGAAGCAATGTACAAGGAGACTGCTGAATACATGTCTTTAAAGCAGATCAAAGCAAAGCATATCTCACCTGAGTATTGTAGAAATCCTTGGCTGCAAGGATAAAGTACTTGCGATCCACAGGCTCCAACTTGCCCATCCTATTAATGACATGACTCAGTCTGATCATAGGTTAAAGGTCAAGGAATATAAATATAGACTCTATGACAACAACAACGGGACTGCAAGCATATCGACCTATGTTAGAGAGCCCTTCAGTATCAGCACCTCTCAATGCATGATTATGTTCTTGTTCAAGCAATGCTGATGTGCAATGATATACTGTCTAATGTCTTTACGTTTTGTAAATTATGCATTGTCAAAATACCATTGTTATTGTGAAAGATGATACAGTAGCAATAAAAAAAATTCACCTACTTCACCTATCATTGTACCTCTCTGAGAACAAAATAGGCATTTACAATGACAAGAGCATGCTTCATGACTTTGAATATTCTTGGAATATTACGATGAGAAAAAGGCCTGTAGTTAAAGGTCAATTGATGTTTACAACCTTTAACCTTTGACCTGACAATTTCCAAAATGTGAGCACTCGTCTCCCTACAGTGATCCATAAGTTCAGAGCTAAAATTGCTTCAAACAGTCATTGATTTGGCTGTCTAGGTTTTTAAAAGAACCTTAATTTCATGTATATATTCTCTTACTGACCCGTGACATTTGACCTTTTACCCCAAAATCTTATCATTTGTTGAAAGGATACAAGGCCCTGAGCCATTTGTTTGTGGAGGCACTGATGAAGAAGCATGTCAGACTCCAGATCGCCATGGCAACCGGTGTACGCTGGGTGAAGTTTGAGAGTGACAGCATCACCCAGTCACGGACAGACTGGGTCTGACCATTCCGGTGGAGGTTACCAAAGACCTGCAACATGAAGGAATAGAGGTCAATAATTGTTATGTTGTTGATGAATTACCTCACAGGGAATAGTCACTTTGGCTCGTGTTCTTAAAGGAAGATCAAGTTAAACCTGGTTTTCAAGCATACCAATCACCAAAACATGTTTTGCTCTTGATGTAATGGGTTCCATGTGGCTACACTGTATTCAAAATATAAGCTTCTAATATACACCTACACAAAGAGATATTGCAGTTAAAATATACTTTCAGTAAACATAAAAAAGACTTATTGAGTAGACTAGTCGAGGCATTCATATATGCATGCATGCATAGCAGAGGGTGAATACGAAAGCCAAGGCAGACAGCAGGAGGCTTTATGTGATTCTCTATTTCTTCATATCCCTTTACTGTTAACCTATAGAGCACCAGGTTGAGTGTATGTAGTTTGATTTTATTCATTCTAGCTGTGCACAGATTAATTTTTCAGGCAAATGGTAAACTCTAACTTTTACCAAATGCCCTGATTTATTAAACAACTAGATGGAATTTTGACTGCGCGCAGTCGAAAATGATGCCTCCGCCATAGAGCAATTTAAACAAGTTTGGAGTTTAAATCTCCAGTGGTTCTTGAGATATCATGATAACAATCTCAATGTATGGAATTTCATAAGTTGACCTCTGTGACCCTTGACCTTTGACCTACGTGCTCCAAAATCTAATCAGATTGTCTTCCTATGGTGATACACACTATCATTAAGTTTGAAGTTTAAATCTCCAGTGGTTCTTGAGATATTATGATATGGTGATACATACTATCATTAAGTTTGAAGTGAAAATTCTCCGGTGGTTCTTGAGATATCGCGATAACGATCTCAATGTATGGAATTTCATAAGTTGACCTCTGTGACCCTTGACCTTTGACCTACATGCTCCAAAATCTAATCAGATTGTCTTCCTATGGTATTACACACTATCATTAAGTTTGAAGTTTAAATCTCCAGTGGTTCTTGAGATATTATGATAACAATCTCAATGTATGGAATTTCATAAGTTGACCTCTGTGACCCTTGACCTTTGACCTACGTGCTCCAAAATCTATTCAGATCGTCTTCCTATGGTGATACATACTATCCTTAAGTTTGAAGTTTTTACATCTCCAGTGGTTCTTGAGATATCATGATAACAATCTCAATGTATGGAATTTCATAAGTTGACCTCTATGACCCTTGACCTTTGACCTACGTGCTCCAAAATGTAATCAGATTGTTTTCCTATAGTGATACACACTATCACTAAGTTTGAAGTTTAAATCTCCAGTGGTTCTTGAGATATCATGATACCAATCTCAATGTATGGAATTTCATAAGTTGACCTCTGTGACCCTTGACCTTTGACATACGTGCTCCAAAATCTAATCAGATCGTCTTCCTATGGTGATACATACTATCCTTAAGTTTGAAGTTTAAATCTCAAATGGTTCTTGAGATATCGCGCTAACAAACTCAATACAAGGAATTTCATAAGTTGACCTCTGTGACCTGTGACCTTTGACCTACGTACTCCAAAATCTAATCAGATCGTCTTCCTATGGTGATAAATACTATTCCCGAGTCTTAAGTTTAAATCTTAAATGGTTCTTGAGATATTGTGATAACGGTCAAACGGGACGGACGTACGGACGTACGGACGGACAACCCGAAAACATGATGCCTCCGGCACCACCTTCGGTGGCGGAGGCATAAAAAGTGTCCTATATTCTGTACAAATCATTAAAATTTTTACAACAAAATGAAATCATGAAACGAATAAGAGAGAAATTGATCTCTCAATCGCATGATTTCTGTTTAGTTACAGATAATTGTGAAGTAAAAGATATTTGTTTTCTTTTCTATCATGTAGAAAAGATGCTATATAAATTAGTACAACAATTATCATTTCACTAATAAATGAGAAGGATAAGATTCCATTGTGACCGACCTTGAAGACGACGGTAGCCATGAGCTGGGGATGAGGTTGTTGATTGGAAAGGAACTCTCCTATCACCTTATTCATGATGTCCTGAGGTGGGAAGAAGTCATTCAGGAATGGAGGAAGGATGAACGCAACGGCCTTCGCTTCTGATGGGTATCCCTTCCGTATTCTGTAATTGGAAGTTTGGAGGTTCATTGATCAACATTTCAATCGTGATGATACATGTATGCTGAAGAACTCACCACAACAATTTTCAAACAGCTGTTGTTTTTCACATTCCTTTGTAACTTTTTTGGTTAAATCATCGTTGTCATATATGTGACCTGCTATGGCAAAACCCAACACTTCATGGTAAAAATGAAAATTGAGTTCTTGGTGTCATTGGAAAGAGTAAGGTATGACCTTTAATATGATACCTCATTTAAAGAAATTGATTCAAATTTGACAAAGTTATTGTCATTTTTGTGATTTCAATCACCGGAAGTTAATTATGAGATATTGAGGTTTAAAGTTAAGAATTTGGTTCAATTTTCACACAAAAAACATGCACACATTCACTCCATAGCAACGGCATCAACCAAACAAGCTAAAGTCTTGTAATTTTTCAGGCATACTTGACACATACCCAACTTACATTTCTGTTAAAACCATTAGATTTGAATAAATATTAATAAAGTTATGATAATTTTTAAAAACAATAGAAAACAAAAGAATTTCAAAGTTTTTGTTATACTAGGCAAAGTTGCTGGGAAAACGATTCCACGGTTTATTATGTTTCATCAGTACAAAATTGTTCTCGTACACAAAATAATAGCAGGTTACATCAATGTTGCAATAATAAAATGTAATAATGCATTTTCTTAAAATTTATGCTTAATAATAGGCCTATTACAAAACCAGATGTAATAAAAATGATTTTTTTTTTTTTTAAATATATTAAAAAAAAGATTGCAATAAAGTGAAATAACAAATTGCGTTGAACTTGAAACCCGACAGAATCTGTTTTTTAAATGATAATTACTGGAACACAAGAAGCGAGTTCAAAATGATTTATATTTTGTCATATTTAATAAAAGCTATGATAAAAATCATTAGTCTTAATCAAGGCTATTTGAGATTAAAAAAAACAAAAAAAACTTATAAGTCACTCGACAACAGATAACCTATAATTCATGTATTGTAAAAAATATCCTGGTACATTAAGGAATGTACAATAAAGTAACAGTTGAGACAATTTGACAGAACTATTGTCTTCTTGAGATAGAGATTAATAATGCAAAAATATCAATTTCAGTCAATCAGTATCAGATATAAAATAATTATATTCTTTCATTATCAACGTAAAGAAAAAACAATAACGAATCCCATAAAAAATGCAATCTGACTAGTGACTACACTAATCATGAACTATTATGCATTAGTGCCCAAGAATTAATGATGTACAGTTTTGAATCTTTTGAGTTATCTCGTTTCATACAAAATTCACAGCCGAAGAGATCAATAGTATGTACATAGGATAGACATTGTTAATGTCAATCTAACAAAAACCTTTACAAATAGAAACATATGGCAGTGGCCAAACACCGATAATTTAGTGCTGATGTTAAGTGCTGATATGCATCAAGCTTAGAATAAATGAACACATGGAACTATTATATTGCTGAACTGAAATGGCAGAAACTATAGTGGACAAAGTGACTGCTACTTATTACATGTAGACAGAAAAAATACTTTGTACACTTCAATGCTGAATACGTCCTGGAGGAATTTAAGTACCTAAAGTTTATGGTTTGACCCAAGCTATTACATTGCTGAACTGAAATGGCAGAAACTATAGTGGACAAAGTGACTGCTACTTATTACATGTAGACAGAAAAAATACTTTGTACACTTCAATGCTGAATACGTCCTAGAGGAATTTAAGTACCTAAAGTTTATGGTTTGACCCAAGCTACTCTGGTGCTGGACATACCAAGTCCCTAGTCTCTGGCGTACAGAACTCTCTGATCTGCTCATACAAATATTTCCTGCGACTGGCATCAAGTCCTGCAGGTTGGATGAGTGGAGGAAGTGTTGGTGGAGGTGACGAGCGAGCAAGGTCAAACATCTCTTCAGCACTGTCAGACTTTTCCTTGTAAAACACTCTACCAGGATGATCTTCAGTAACTCTGAAGTGTCTGGCGAATGTTATACGAGGAAATCGTTTGAAGTGTTTGCCAAGATGGTTGGACCAGTCGTACACCTTCACAAACACATCCCCCTTCTCATTTCCAACGAGCTGTGGAATATTGACCCCTGACACAGTAGAAGAATCTACAACATTAACTATGTCCTGGAGGCAGGAGACTTTGGTCTTGCGGTACCTTTGTTTGAGGAGGCCAAAGCACCAGTCAGGGGCGAATTTAGTATGTCCCACTGGCAAAAATGAAATTGAGACAGATTTGTGGAGATTACTCTCCACACGCCAACAGAGATATTGGAGCATGGTGTTATTCTTATTCTGTCCAGCACAGTTATCAGCATTGAAGTGCACATGTTGTTCTCCAATCCCGTAGTTTTCCAGAAAATGGTGGATGTAGCTTACAACAACATTGGCTCCTTTACCACAGCTGACGCCCTCATCTGCAAGGTAATTAACTTGAGCAGGCAGACCCTCTGCAGCCATGCCAAAGATGTGGCACTTTCTTTGTGTACGGAAATACGAAGGGCCAGGTTGTTGGGGGTCAGCTGGATAATGCACTTGCTGTGCAAAGTCGAAGCTGTAATGAAAAACTACAGGCTTGGAGTTCGCAGCATTTTTCCCTAGCTTCTTGATAGAATGCTCTCTCGCGACTGCCTTTGAGGCTTGACAGGCTGTCCTGTAGGCATCCCGCTCTCTCTGGGCCTCCAGAAGATGCTCCTCCTGCCTCCTGAGTGCCTCTGTCTTCTCTTCATCAGGAACATTGACCTGCAGACATGAGGGAAAAAGCAAAACAAAACAAAAATCTCCTGATTAGTCGAATTTTCTCATCTACTATTTTTCTTTACAAATTAAATATTTTTTGTTACACTACAAAGTAGATCATTCTCAAATGGAAAACACCAGCTCACAATAAAGTAAAAGTTGGTTGACTTGGAAGAAGAAAAGAGTAAATGTATTGTAGCAAATTTCATTTCATTAAAACACCTGAAATTTGGACAGAGCTTTGTAACGTTTTCCTAAGGATCCAAATTATAATATTGATTATGCTTGGTACATTAATAGCTACATACATGTATATTATAACTCTACGTGAAAATACTTTAGCACCATTGGGGGCAGCAGCGTAAAACAAAATGAAATTTAAAACAATCGGTATTTAGCCAACACACACCTGTCTGGTGATAAGGTTGTTGTTCTGCTGACATGTCCAGCAGAGATCCGTGGCCGGCTTGGCAACAACCACATAGGAGAGGAGGTCGCTCCACAGCTTACGGAAGGTAGACTCAGCTACGGGTCCATGCTCTGGAGCAGCATCTCTGTAGAGCCTCCACAGATGCGCCTTGGTGACGTAGGACGGCAGCAGTTTCACATCAGCCGATTTGAACCCTGGTATCCTGCCTGGTAGGTGAATGCAGTGTTCTGCGGTGAAATTCAAAATAAATTTGACGACCGCCTCTACCTGCTCTAGCTTGAGAAGTTTCTTGCCTCTCCGTCCTCCTGGAAAACAATGAACAAATATTGAACAAAAGTAAGATTTATTATGATCAGTATTGTGTCGGAATAGATTGAAACAGTAAGTAGAGGGATTAGATGTCAAGTTTTGAGTCCAGTTGTAGTGAAAATAACTGTCAAAAAAACCATCGCAATTAACCTTTGGTAGATTTACTATGACTAAATGCATCACAAAATGATAATACAAATTATTATGAAGTCACACCTGAAGATAATAATAATTCAATATAAATGTAATTAAAATAATGTTAACTTCCATTATAAATTTCATCATCTGTGAAAGGATAAGAAAACCACCTCACCTGACTTCTTTCTCCTTGGGATGAGTCCATTGCTGGCATACCACTTCTTGAGATTCGTAAACTTCTGTGGCCCAATCTCCATCAAGTAGAAAAACGTATATCTGCAGATCCGTTTCTGCCCATAGCAAAAATTCCGCATCCTTGTGTTTTTCCTCTCCGTTGGCTTAGATTTCTTCCCCTGGGTCATATTTCCATCATTGATGGAAGACGAAATGATACCCAGGAGAAGTAAATCCTTTTCGAACTCTGTGAGCTCTTTGGTTGAATATCTGAAATGGCAAAATAGAAATGAAAAATAATAATGCTACTAGTATCTACTTCCAATGATAATAATGATAATAAGAAAACCAAATGTCCAACTTGTTGTATTTTTTTCTTCATAAGATACCAGTAGACTGCAGTTTAGTGGTGAAGTATTTTATAAAAGCATACATATTCAGGGTCTACTGATTAATGCTGCAAAAAAGGAGAAAATCTAATTAGCTTAGAATAAATGTAACTATATTTTGCATTAAACTGCAGCTTGTACATAAACATCCAGTCCTTAGACATTATTTTAAAGAAATAGGAGTAAATAGTGACAGATCCAATCATACCTTATGGACTCTTGTTCGGCTACAGAGAATTGTTCTATACAGCGTCTTCCATTGAAGATACGGCGGTTGCATTTATTCACGCGATCCTTCAGCGGTTCCAGATCAAGATCTATTTGTTGGGCCAGATTTGTAGCCGCTGCCGCCTCCTCCTCCACGTCATCAATGACAGGACCCGGTCTCCGTATGACGCTTTCATTGTCACTTGACAAATCCATAGGCTCCTCTGCCTCATCGACCCAATCGCTTTCATCGCCGCTTTCATCGCGGCTTTCACAAGGCTCTGCTGGTCCTGGACCTGCCTCCTCGAACTCATCAGACTCTGTTAAGTACAATTATAAAATAGAGATTCAAAAACTAATATCAACAAGAAGTCTAGACTCCGCAGAGATTTTTTTTATCGGTATGAGAAGCTTCATAAATCATAATCTAATTTAATTATAAATTTTAATTAGAGTCTAGAATCTAGTGCACTTAAAATAAAGTAATCTTAGATTACTTTATTTTAAATCTAGCTTTTGTTGCTCGAAACAAGTCTTTAATAAATAATATGGGCGTAGACCTAATTAAGTAACTTGATTACCTTTTTAATAATGATAATATTAATAAACCTACCAGATTCAGAGTCGGAGCTAGGCCTAGGAGAAGAAGGAGTTCCTCTCTCGCCCGCGGCCAGGGGCTCGGTCGGGTTCGCGAAGTAGTCAGCCAAGTGTTCGGTCAAGCCATGCACGTCCATACCGCACGCCGATGCATCATTCAACAAAGAAGCGACGGTTTTATCCGTTAAATTCCTCTTTTTCCTCGACATTGTACTAGCCACTCGACGAATACACGTATTTCACTTGATATATGAAACTCTAGCTCATTAAAAACAAACTTCTGAACAAGTTTTCGAAGAAAAAGCTGGTGTTTCGATGCGAGAATTTGACCGCTGAACAATCACAACAACAAGGCAATGACGTCATGTGCGAATATTGGCGAATCAAGTGTCTGGATTTGGATCACGTGGCTGGCAACGGGCTTTTGTTTACGGCCTGCTTGACAGCTTATCGAAATGATGTCATCTTTTATGGCATTTTTCATTGGACAATTTTATTTAGGACCGCCCAATATAACCATATTTGGAATAACCGATCCTTTCTCGTTATTTTCGTACCAAGTACGTCAGGGATCGACTCAAACGTGATAAACTGAGAGGGAAAACAACAAGCGATGAATCGCGAACTTTCCCCTCTTTTGACCGCATTGTTTCAACTAATTTCACTGGACAATGGAGCACATGATTAGATACAAAATATAATTAAAAATACTTCTAGATCGTCTTTTGAGTTCATTTTTTCTCTAAATCAATTTATAAAAAATAGACTTTCTGACCATGCAAAAATCTCAGTTGATCCCTAAATTCGAAATTTCATGTTCAAACGGGCCTACAACACAATGGGATTTGCCGAGAAGCGTCGGGTTTTGCCGTAGCGGGTCACATATATGTCTTTGTTTTCAGTCATAGACATCCACTGAAAGTTTTAAAACTTGTTTACTTATAAAACAGTTAATCCTCCAATTACATGTATAAACCGAAAATAATTCATTTATTGTTTGGGCTTTGGGGGTGGGAAGGGGTGGGCCAGTGCATAATGACATACCTTTTGCTCTACTTTTACTAGATAAGATCATAAGACTTAATATTTCCATGTACTTGACTCATAATTGAAACTTGAAGAAAATCAAGAAACTATGTACAAATCAATGCTTCTACTTGTCACCTGCAACAATAGGTTCGATCCTTGGAGACATTCTTAAAAACAGCACTGCGATACTAGTCCTCTTTTTAAATATCAGTATATCTGTTCCAAAAGGAGCTAAATATATTTTTGTAACTTCGGAGAAAAAAGAAATTGTTTACCAGATTTTGTACAGGCATCTATTGAAAAGTGATATTAGAAGGTGCATTTTTTCATAATTGCTCCCAAAATTTATGTAAATAATTTTGTTGAAAGACGGGTACTTAAGTGTACAATGTTCTGATATCAATAACTCAATTTTCATCAAAAGTGGATTTAGCTCCTTTTGGAATTAAAGGAAACCAAAACCTTTATACTTAGTTACTTTTATTGTAAAGTTTAAGATATTTGAAAAATATCAGTGAAAATTTGAACAAAATCGGGCAAGGAATAAGGAAGTAAGAGCTTTTTTAAATTACTAGTCACTAGAGGGCGGTATTCAATTTGATGACATCATCTCTGAACAACTCTCCATGCCTTTTGTACATAAAATTTCACAATTTTTTTGTTTTCTTCATATTTATTTGTGTTCTTGATCCGACTTCATAACATGTGAAGTAGAATATCATTTTGCATTCTATATCTTGCTTTCAGGGGAGTACATTATCTCAATCACAAGAAAGAAGGAAAAACATGAAATTTGATGTACAAAAGGCATGGAGAGTTGTTTACAGATGATGTCATCAAATTGAATACCGCCCTCTAGTGACTAGTAATTTTAAAAAGCTCTTACTTCCTTAATCCTTGCCCGATTTTGTTCAAATTTTCACTGATATTTTTCAAACATCTTAAACTTTACAATAAAAGTAACTTAGTATGAAGGTTTTGGTTTCCTTTAAGCTCTTCATATATTGAAAGACTAACCTATCAAACATGATGGAGACTCTCTCCATGGCAAGTAGTATTTCTTCCGGGTCCTGGGGTTGCATCTGTTGGTGGATGTCATCATCATCTGACGAAACCCCTCTGCCATCTTCAGCAGTGTACATGCTTGTCAGCAGCAGACCTAATGCTGACAGGGCATGCATGGGGGAGGGCAGACACAACCTGGAAGAGCCAGATGCAAAATATTTAGTATACATTCCGATTCATAAGATAGTAAACATGTATGTTCCTTCAGAAAAGATGTAAACAATAGTAAGATGAATAAGACTGCACCTCTAATATGCCTCTGCCCTATATGTACATTCACTAATCCATAAACCTGTGACCTTTAACACCTGACCTCACAAATATAAATGCATTTCTTTTTGTTGTTGGTAGTTTTAAATACTTGAGCCCATCATCATCATCCTTGTCGCCATCGTCGTTGTCGTCGTCATCATCATCATCATCGTGATCTTCATCATCATCATCATCATCATCGTGATCATCATCATCATCTTTATCATCAACATCAACATCACCATCACCATCGTCATCTTCATCCTCATCCTCATCATCATCTTCGTCATCATCATCCTCGCGACCACCATCATCATCATCATTATGACTATCACCACCTTCCATTTCATCAACATCACCTTATCTCAAGATGTCTCACCTGTCAACGCTGAGCTTTTTGAGCATATCTCTCTCCTGAGAGCCCAGTGCATGAGCCACCAGCAGTCTCTCAAAGCCGACCATAATCGCATGGTAAACCAACCAGGATGTAGATTCATCGCTCATAAGCACCATCGTTACACATTGCTGAAAATGAAAACACAAGAGGGATTTTTTACAATCAGTCATAATGTACTTACATTTATGCATATCTTTTATTATCACTTTAAATGATATAAACGGACATTAAGTGTAATATAATTAATTATTTATATACAGCATTTTTTTTTTCTTTTGTTGATCCTAAATACTCTTCATCTTCCTCATCATAATCATGGTCATCATCGTTACCCACATCTATAAATATATATGTATAAATATGATCATTGATTTCATTGACATCATTATCATCACAAGAAGCTACTTGTATCAATCCCAAGAATATCGTGAAAACACAAAATATAAGTTAAGTATTCCACCGAACAGTTTATCTTACTACATGTCATCATCACTGTCATCATCATCATCATCATCATCATCTTCATCATTACCACCACCATCACTGCCATCACCATCTAACAGCAATCATCAAAATCATCCCTAATATCACCACAATCATCACCAGTACCATCATTTTCTTCATTATCATCACTACCATAATTACCAGCCACATCGTCCTCTTCCAATGCCCATCATCACCACCACCACCACCACCACCATACGTTATCACTTCCAACATCAAACCAACATCCTGATAAGAGAAGCTCAAATACATATCTGTACACTGTATCTTACCTGGAGAATGACTTTAGTGAAGTCTGATCCTGAAATCTGACAGCATCACCAAGCATCCTCATCACCACCAATCATCACCACCACCACCATATCTGATCACTTCTAACATTACATTATATCTGTACACTGTATCTAACCTGGAGAATGACTTTGGTGAAGTCTGATCCTGCTGTAAGATCAGAGTAGTACTCCATGATGTAAAACCCTACTGAGAGCATCACCAGGACATGCTTCTGACAAGCTGAACTACTGCTACTGCAAAATCAACGATATTATAAAATACATTTTAACAAATAGTTCCAACTCTTCACTTGCTTACATCAACAAATGGGACAAGCATCGGATTGCCACTGTTATTTTGTTCACACATAGAGTGTACAAGTTTATATATGTGTATCCTATACTCCAGACAATGTGGAAGTCCATGTTTTTAATCCACAGCAAATAAAAGAGTCACAAACTTTTTACATACAAGTAAGGCAGGTCGCAACAGTGAAAGATGGACCCGAGGCTTGAGTTGTGCATTTGTAACATATCCACGCTTTTCCAAAACATTAATTAGGAATCATGATTTCTGAGGAAGCAAATTATTTGCAATGGACTGCCAATAGAAAAGGTTTTCAAAACAGTCCCCTTGTATCAGACACACGTGTAATAGCTTCTTTTATCTCAACCCAAACAAATTATTTGAGAATTAAACATAGAATTTGAAAAATATACATATTTTCTTCTTTTTTTCTTCAGCCCTACATATAATGAAGCCCATTGGCTACGAAAGCAGGTAGCTCCTGTGAATAAAATAATTCAGTCGTAAATGGGCTATGTGTGTACTTTCTCAGAGTCTCTATTAAATAAAAGAAAGAAAGATAAATTGGGGGTCTTCAATTTCTATATTTTTTGTACGCTTCTGGTAATACCATTCTTCCCTTATTTATATGATATTAATGTAATTTCCTTTTGAAACTTTGTCATTCATAAGCCTTCACTTACTTTGAGATGGCCTTGATGTTCGTAGCGATATAATCGGTTACCATAGGAACAAAGACTTGGATATCCTCTACAGCATCCGACTCTAGGATGTAAAGCACCCCGTAGAGCGCCCCCACTCGGCTTGGAAGATGTGTGCTCCGTAACGTGACCTCAAGTAGCTTGCTGACCTTCTCAGAGACATCCTTGTCCTGTAACAGAAGCATGGGATGAGTTGATAGTAATAATGAATAATAATAATAATATAGGATATTTTTATAGCGTACGTATCCACCACCCAAAGTTCTAAAGGCGCTCTAATATTACCCCAGCTCTGCTAGGCTACCGTTTTTGGTGCACACAACATTTAAGGAACTCCCTTCTACGGCTACCCATTTATATGTATGGCGCAATACATATGCTGTGAATCATCATCATCAACACCTGGGTAGAGAGTGGCAAATGCAGATTAATGACTTGCCAAAGGACGTTAGTGCCGCAGAAGGACTTGAACCGCAAACCATGTAATCTACAGTCCAACAATGTATCCATTAGACCACGACACCTCTACTAAGTAGTTTTTTTTAACTTGCATCTTCGTGTGTAGTCATTGAGGCTACCCAAGAGAAACAGGGACAAATTGGTAACTGTAGACAGGTGGTTATTCAAGACATGTTCTACAACACATTTCTTTCTTGAGGGAGACAAAAAAATGACCACTAAGAACAGATGGCCTTTAATGAGAGGTGGCCACTAAGACAGTGTTGCCTGTACAGTGAAACCTGGCCATAAAGAATACCCAAGGGAGACGGTGGGTTGTCCTAATCTACAGGTTTAGTACATGTTTCAATGAGAAACCATTTACAGGGGGGAAAAAAATGTGGTCTTTCTATACAGGTGGTCGCTAAAGCAGGTTTGACTGTACTTGTCTTGGGCCCGCCTGTCAGTACAATCTACCCCACATCTACCCCCACAAAATACATTTATAAAGAGGTGATGACCTACCATTCCTAAAACGGAAGCTGCTTTACAGATGCCTGGAATCACATACTGCGTGACTAACTCGTCTTCCACAGGATGAATCTTGTTAAGCTCCAGCAAAGTCTCATACATCCATTCAAACTGAGATCGCTCAGTGAAGACATCAGAAATTAGCAGTACCTGTTTGAAGGGAAATGGATGCAGAATGTCATGTCATATTAGTCAATTTTAGAAATTTCAATGTCATACAGTTCATTGCAATCAAAATTATCTATATATTAGCTTATTATCTTTCCTAACTTCAATGGTATAATTATCATTTCCAACTCTCTCCTTCATTTGCCATTGAAAAGCATTATCTCATATCATAACATTCCCCCCCCCCCTCCCAAATAAAGAAAGAAATGTAAATGAAGAAGTTCTTACCGACTTGATTGTCTCACAGAGGAGCATGAGCGATGTCCGGCGGGCCGAGCCAGGGGCAAGCCACTGACCATACACCTCAAGGAGTAACACCAGACAGGAGTGGACATCGAGATTGGACGGAACCCTGCTGAGGGCAGCGGGGATGGCCGTACGACCCAGGGGGATGATGCTGGCTTCTGACCGGTTCTGGTTCGGGTCTTCAGTGAGTGGTAGCATCATGTTGTTGATCGCCCAGATGCCATGGACAGAGATCTACAATGGAGGTGGAAAACAAGAATCACAATGGTATTCTGTTCTATCGTTTCCCTTTTCTTTTCCTTTTTCTTTTTTTTTGCATGAAACATGTATATGTACATTGAAATATTAGTTCTGTGCAAGTTCATTGTAATTGGTCATTTTTGACACATACATTAACAACGACAAAGATTTTTGTTGTTGAATTACCGGTAACTCACAAGTGACATTTTCTTGTTCTTCAGTACAAATGACCACAAATATCTAAAGATCTTTTACATATAGAGTAATCCCACTTTGTGCATTTTGAATTAATTACTGCCAAAGTCATGGATGAGCTTAAGGAATACCATTTGTTTTCCCTCTCGAGAAGAATACTTTTACCTGTGTTCCATAGAATGTACCGTTGGTACATAAATTAATAATGATTAAATAGCTTTCATGAGCACATATCCCGTATTCGCCTAGGTGGGTTTTACAATTATTTTACAAATGATCTTTATCTACCCATGCACACAATATCTACAAATTGGCTTATTAAATCACCATCTCCACGATAGGCCATTTTCGTAATGTAACCAAATTTATACTTAAAGGCTTCGATACGAATCAATGTATGCAATTCGTATTTTGACTATTGAAGTACAATTATTCTAAACAGGTGAATGAAAGAATTTGTATCAAGGTGCTTCACAAAGGCATATGCATACATTTAGTTACATAACTAAAATGGTATCAGTGTTTCCACCAAGTGCCTGACCTGTCCCAAGGTGAACTGGTCCTGAGTACCCTCCGTTTCCATGTTAGCTGTCAGCATCTCATCAAACGGTCCTTCCATGGCTGTACTCGTAGCAGGTACCAAAGTCTTTTGAGACCTGTGTTTAATACCAAAGTCAACGACATTAAGTCTTACAGTACCAAGCATGTTTTGAGATACTACCAAAACTTGAACATTTGATGCTTACTTTTAAATGCCTGCACTTCTTTAACCATGTTACCATATTACAAAATGTTGTGTAATAAAGTTGTAGAAAATGTATCATTCTTTCTAATGACACCAAATTTCATTTATAAACATTACCGTACTATAAAATGAGAATAAAGTTTTCTTTTAAGATGTGAGTTGGTCTAGCTGCACATTTACTTGGTCAGCTCTCTGTCTTGGCCTACAAACGTAAATAATCATTTCTGATTGATACACGTCTGTAAAAACCCAATTACACACACACACACACACACACACTTTTAGTCTTTTACATTGATGGTCCTTATTTGTTCAACAGTGTCAAATGTTAAACTAAGAAAAGTTCCTGTACAAAATCTGCAATTTTCTCCAACTAAACATGCTACAATAGCATACAATGATTATGTGACATTTAGAAAGATTGATATGCTCTAAGAATTGATAAAAATGACCAGCAAACACACGGCCTAACGAACGAACGATTGGACAGAAGAACGAACTGATTAACCAACAAGCAAACAAACGTGACTGACCTAGTTGACTGCATAGCTTGCATCTCTCGTTCCACGAGTACCCTGAGCCGACCTAACCTCTGACCCTTCTGGGTGGCGAGGAAGGGCAAGCTGTCGTGTCGTGGGATACAGAGGGGTCGACTGTTGATGGGGTTACCGGCAGAGGGGCGTAGGATGGTGTTCAGGAGCAGGGATGAGATCCCTCGTATGGCTAGACACATCAACTCACTCTGCTCCATCTCCTCCTACAAAAGGAAATAATAATAATGGGTTCTTGTTTAGAGCTCGTGCCTGGCACATTTGCACTCCAGGGGAGTGTTTCACAAAGACTAAAATCGACTTTAATTTGGACTTAAATATGGCAGGCTATTCATGCCACTGGTTGCTCTCACAATTGGTCTCTTAATTACGATGTTTAGATAACTTTTTTTCCTTCAATAATGATCTATCAAATCAGGCAAATTCTGTAGATTTGTGACCACGATTTGTACGTTCCTTGATAAAGCAATGCCAGGAATGGTTAGAGGAACTAGTGGCATGAATGGCCTGCCATAGTTAAGTTCAACTTAAAGTGGATCTCAGTCTTTGTGAAACACTCCCCTGGTGCTACATTATCATTATCCACTTAAGCATTTCAAGGATTCAATTCTTGCCAGGTATCTCCAATCATTCACAAATTTTGCAGTCTCCTATCTCTTATGTACTTAGTTGTAATTGATATTAATCACATATAAGTTGCAATTAACCTGTACTGATTATGAGACAAGGCTTTGGTATGTTATTAAGGCTCTGAATCAAAAGTTATTGAGCCAAACCACAGAAGGAGGAATGCCAGTCTTGAAAGGGATAAACAAACTGTACATGTAGTGAGAGTAAGCCTACCTCCAACATGACATCTTCCGGATTCTCAGCAGGATTCAACAGGCCTAGCAGCGAGGCCCATGTCTCCTCAAACTGGAACCGACTTGTCCATCCTAAAGAAAGAATAAAAAGAAAGGGTATTCAATTAAAAAAAAGGAGGAGATTCCATGAAAATAGAAACACTTCAATTTGATTTTTCTTGTACAGACCACATTTTTTGTTTGCCTTGAAAATGATTTCTCATTGAAACATGTACCAAAGGAACCTGTACATACAGACTACATGCCTATAAAGACCACTTCTCATGTCTCCCTTGGGTGGTCTTTATAGACAGGTTTCACTGTATATTGTATACATACATTCATAAAATCACAAAGGATGCTATTAAGTAGTCGAACTTGTCTTAGTGGCATCAACAACAAAAATACATGAGAGCACTAAGCAATTTAGCTCTGGAAAGCTCAAAAAAAGCTCAGGCAAAATAAGAATAAAATAGTTCAATATGACTGTGAGAAAATTGCACCTTTACCACACCAAATCCTAAAGAGCTTACACGAACAGAAAAATATTTGTTTTTCAGTGGTCACTTTTCTATGGTGGAAATTTATTTCATTCCCCTCAAAAAAAAAATTCTCCAGATGTTGTGGATTCTACAGTAGTGACAAAAATGTGACAGAATGACTTACCTATTGAGTTGACCCGCTGTATGAAGCTCCTGAGCACCGGCTTTTCTTTGAGGAACTCTAATGGAATAGGGGGCAGGTTGGTTTGAGCACGCTCCAGGGGGCTAGGACACCACCCCATCTTCCACAGAAGGGGAGGGGTCCTAGCGAACCCATTAACCAGGGGCAGGCGGGCGAGGCCAACCATTACCCTCCTGATGGGTTCTCTGAGGAATTGAGACGTCTTGGTGAGGTAGGCTTGTTCATCCTTAGGGGACGGGTTCTCGTTCAAGAGTTCAACGAGTTCAGATATCCGGTGACAGGCTTGGAGCTGGTGGTCAAACCCTACAACAGTAAGTCACAAACAAGATTGTTAAAATTGTCTTAATTGGAATTATCTCTGAAACTTTAATCCATTCACTGAATTATCTTCAAATAAAGTTTATATGTATTCTTATAAATTATCATTATTTTGTTGGCATCATCTAAGCCCGAGAGAGTAAAATCACCATTAAAGTGACTCGGTAACATTGCCTCAGATTTTGAAAAAAAATCTTGGATTTGGGTCATGCTGCAATGATAACTATAAACCTTGAGGTCAGTCAGGTATCCCATGACTTTTACAAGCCGAGCGCCGTTTTGTTTTTGTTTCAGAATCAGAGACAAAGTTACACAATCCTTTTAAGGTCCTCTCTGTAGAAACACGATTTTTAAAAATAATTTTTGAGTGCAATCAATACTCCATGGAAGCTAGAGGCATACATGTACATGTACATGAAACTAAGAAGCCCATAATGACCCTTTTAAGTGATGAGAAAAATGATAAATATTTTAGAATTAAACCTGTATATGTAACCGTTACATGCTGAACTGACAGATCTATCTTCATTAATATATGTACATAAACGTAAACATGCAGAAATTCCGACATGAACAGAAAAAGGAGAGAATGATGAGAAATCTGTTTGCTTACTTGAATCTGAGCCGGGCATTTCTTGAAGCTTTGGCACCGTGAAAGGCTCGTGTTCTTCCTTCCACACTTTCCCTGATAAATGGGTAAATAAAAAAAAATTCATCAAAAGGAAATACACAGATTAAATATGAGTAAAACTGCCTCTTCCCTCTTTCTAAAGGCTCATTCAAATATGGTGCAATAAACTGCCGTAAAACAGATTACACTTACACGTCATTGACGTGAAAAATATTGCCGCGGTTTTGCCAGGTCATCTCTCAACAAGCCTTAAAGGGTGGTGAGTTTAATGAAAAGAAAATGAAGTTGAAATTCAATGCTCATAAAATGGACAACCATAGAATGATTTTCTTAGGAAAGTGATGAAAACCACAACCATTACACACAGAAACAATTATATGGAACTACACACTCACACAAGTCAAAGTTTGGTCCAAATTTTTTGTAGTTTCTTATTGTATTATTCTAACATGAGGGCACTTCAACAGAAATCCTTTTCACAGGACATTTCAACTTCAAGACTTGGATAGTTTACATATTATTTGTCATCTTCGCTCAGAACTCAAACCCTCTCTTGGATATGCAACCCACCTGCTTGGATGATGTGATGGATACAGCCAATAGCTGAACAGAACCAAGTCACATGATCGGAACCACCAATCACAATTGAGAGCTCAGGGTGCTGGAGTATCTCAGCGATACACTCTATGGAATGGAGAGCTTGGGCAGAGGATATCGGCTTACCCTCTGATATACTCCAACTCACCAACTGTACAACAGAAAAGAACAGATGCAGAATAAATTTCCTGGATTTGTTGTTTTATAAGGGGCATCAAAACTACAATAATAGTGGGCATTATAGCACACCCAACTGATTCAAAAAGGTATCCATAGTGCACAATATTCTACAAATTACATCCACAGAAAAATATGAAATACATAAAAATCAAGATGAATAAGAAATGCATTAGACTATATTCTATTTGTATTGATCAATGATCCTGTGACCCTTTACATCTTACCTCACGAATCCGAATGATTTTCATTTTTATAATGGTTTTACATACTTGATCCCAGTTTGGTTGACATTGGTTGAATTTTTTGTTAAATTAACACAATAATAAAATATTTTCTCAGATTTTAAACATTTTAATGGCCCTGAAAACTTTAGTCCTCTTACAACCAAAACCTAATCAGTTCACCCATGCATGCTCGTACACACTTCATCCAACTTTGGTTTATTTTGCTTCAACGCTTTTCAAGTTATTGCGGTAATGAGGTAATATTTGGTATTTTTAACACTTTTATGACCCCATAACCTTTTACCTTTGACGTTTTACCTCTTCCACCCAAAATCTAATCGGTTCATCCTTGCATGCTCATACATACTTCATTTATATTTGTATATAATGAACTGCATATAGTCAATTGCAATATCTTTGAAGATACTTTTAAAAAATACACAAAGTACAAGAACAACAGCATTAAATTAGTTTATAATTTTTTTAAATGAAAAGCCTCGAGTCCTACCTCTAATGCTGAGATAGTAAGAGACATCATGCTTTCAGAAGCTTCCATATCAAGATCAAGCTTTAACGTCCTACAAGCCACGAAGTATCGAGATAACGCCCAGATGATATCATCCAGCTGATTGCACCACAAAGGATCCTGGAAGCATTCCATCATCTTGGAATAGTAATCCTTCGCCTCCTGACTCTCCGATGCCGGTTCCAGGATCTGATGCGGCCGTGGGACGAGGGCAGCAAACGCCTTCAGGTGCGTGATGAGGGTTGGCATGGAAGCCTTCAGGAGGGCGTCGAGGGGCGTGGCCTGCGAGGGGTGTTCACCACCTGATGATGGTGCGGTGCTGGATGGGGTAGCGTTGGGGGGCTGAGCACTGGATGGGGTTTGACCGTGCTCAGATGCTCCAACCTGGGTGCGAGCTAACCCTAAGCTGATGCACTCGCCGATCAGTGTGTGGTCAAAGTCCTTTAGTAATATGTGATAGATAATGAAAGATTTGCACGATTATAATCAGGTTTTTTGTGAAAACGGAACTTGAAGCAAATCCCATGCACATGATTTGTATATCACTTAGAGGCTAACTTCATTCCATTTGGTAATAGTATATTTGTAAAGCGCTTAGAGACATTTGTATTAAGCACTATATAAAAGCTAACTATTATTGGTCTTTGTGTCAGGTCTGGTTACATGACCTTTCATGAAAGATCAGGTACTTCACATGTTTAGGTTAGGTAAGATGAATGCAAATAATTACAAATTTTTCACTCCTTTTTTGATATTTTCAGCCCCCAAGCATAGCACTTTCAATTACTCTCAGTTACACGTTGTTGATACAATTGTGTCCCCCTCCCCCCCCCCCCCCCCTCCTACCCCACCATACACCAGCATGGTTAAAAGTGAGAGTATTCTTTTACCTCACGCGTCATGATGGCCAGGATGTCTTCATAGGAAAGCCTGGACAACATGGTAGCACAGTCTCTACTGGATGATGCCGGACCATTTCCACAGCAACACGACTCTACGTGAGATACATACCACTCCTGAAGGCAAAAACATGATTCTTGGTTAAGATCAAATAAGGTCAAATCCAAGCGTTATGGAATGAAATTTATAATAGGAAAACTAAAATCTTGTGGAAGTACCGGTACCTCATAAAAGTTTAATACACGTATATGATATCTCATTCACTAATTTGTACATTTTTATTGAAATGTCTACAATATTTTCTATTCAAAATTCAAAATTCTCAGGAAATGCCAATCTGTAATGCTTGGAATTGACCTTAACTCTACGTCCACTTAGACTGACAAAACAAACAAGCAATGGAATGTTACAGCCAACTTTTGCCACACTCACAATGTGTATGGAACATGTATTCCAGACAAAAAGACTTACAGTCTGCAGCTTATACATTGTAAGTAGTTGATTAGTCATTTAGAATAGCATCAATAGTAAATGGGTATTGCAAAAACTTATGTTATAATACAGTACATTGAGAAACCAAAGCTGTTCTTTTTTTCCGCAGCAGGGCATGGATGAGAAGGGTTATAGGTCACTAGCAAACAAGTAAGTTATACCTTATCCAGGAACACATCTGCAAGATTCTTTGGCAAGTCGGTGGGCAGGTCAGGAGGAGACTGAGCTGGCTCCTCCACGGTCAGGTCAAGCTTTATCCTACTCAGTAGAGACATCAACCTTTGGTTCCTAGAGAGAGATAAGAGAGAGATAAGGCATACAGTACATAATGAAACAAGAAATAAGAAATAGGAAGGACAAAGAAAGGGATCTGTAATGATTTTTTTTTTTTGGGGGGGGGGGAATCACAACCATGGTTCTTCATGTTGCAAAGGAAAAATGAAATCTTCATGAGAAGTAATGTGCAAAAAATGCATAACACAAGATGATATTTACATTATTGATTAAAGATGATTTTAAAACCAACTTATATTGGATACAAGTTGCTTTATTCATCTACCTGTAGGTTTCATTTTGTCAATCATGATTTGAATATAATATTTTGTATAATAAGGGAATCTTTGAGAAAGATCTTTATAATCCTTTCAGATCAGTTTAGAATTTGTCCCATTTCCAAAATTAAAAGCATGTTGATGTAATTCATGATTTTAAAAAAAAATGCACAATGCTTGTTTCTAGGCAATTAAAACTCAATTTCACTGTTTATGACAGAGTATTTTTATCCTCTTACTTTTGAGCCAGCCTGTTTGAGGTTATGAAGCCTTCCAGCTTCGTCAGTTCTTCATGGGTGAGCTGTGTCTTCGAGTGCTGATCTACTCTCTCAGCAAGCAGCATCTCCACTCTCCTGCATGCTAGCCCGCTGGCCACGCGGCCAACCGACTGCCAGTGGGTCGTGAGGAACTTCTCAATCAGAAGGGTGAGAAGCATACCTGTATGGAGAAGAGTTAAATCACTTCAGTCAGCCTTGATCATAGCATATTGAATAAAGTTGACTCTGTGGAGGTGTCTTGGTCTAGTGGATCACATGGTCTGCGGCACCAAGGTCCTTTGGCAAGACATGAATCAACATTTGCCACACAATTGACCCAGTTGACATAATAGGTACCTCTCAGGAACAGATTCCTTGAAATGCTAGGACGCCACAATGGCAGCAATTCTAAAGCCAGGGTAATAATCATGGAGCACCAGAAGTGTCAAGACTGACAGGCTTTTTAGGTGTTACATCCTTCATAATTCTCAGTGCATATATTTATCCATGAGATTTGAATGAAATAAATGAACTATATTGAACAGAATTGAATTGAATTATCCTACATAAATCCCCATCATTTTCAAAGTATTATCACATGGTGGCGTATAGCATTTTGACAACATGTGCGAACCAATTCATGTGACATTGCATGAAGCTTGATGAAGGATTTGAACCACTGACCTGACTGTGTAAGGTGAATGCCGTCTAGTAACCTCAGGGTCTGTCTCACGAGACATGGGTTGTTCATGTGGCTGAATCGAATGTTTATTGCACGAAGGAAGAGACCGCTAGCGGCCGAGTTGCGATGAATTGCACTAGAGGAAATATAAATATGTTGAAGATTTATAAGTTTTCTATTAAGATTCATGTATGATGATACACACAGATAATGAACAGTGATGATAGGCAATGATTATAAGTGATTACCTACAGATTATTCAAGTGATGATTTAAATTCATCAAAGAGCAGTGAAATGTAGTACAGGATGCACAATGTACCACATCTTCATTCTTACAAAAAACTATATAAGAATGAGGTGTTCATCATAATTAAAAGGTAAATACAATATTTGCAATGTTAAATTGCAAATGGCTTGATGATCAGAGTCATAGAAGGTTGTCTACATGGAAAGAAGATGAGGGGAAGATCTTGTAAAGGCTTTCTAGATGATTTAATTACAGAATGTGGAGCAACAGGGTATGAAATGCTGAAACGGATGGCTCAAGACCGAGGTACTTGGAGAGACTTGTAGAGACACTTGATGGAGAATTCTGATTGGGTCACTGAACCCGTCGTACACTGACAGACCACCATTGATGATGATATCGCAAATATGGGAATGAGATTATATGGTTAATTTGACCTAACTGTTTATTTACTATATACAGTAGTTTGTAGTTATTGTTGTGCTTTGATACAAATAAATTTATTTACAAGGGTTGGATTGCCCTTTAAGAGTGTACTATACTGCGAGCTTACCTTACAAGATCTTGAACAGGGAGTTCATATGAGAGCTGCACGATGTCGTTGACGTGGTTGACTACAAGCCATGATAGAGGCTCAGCATCAGCCTCGTTCTCACACTACAAATAGAGAATAAATGACATCCAAACCTCTCTCTTAGTAACTAACGGTGCTAAGAGAACACATTACGAGTATGGACACTAAAATATAGTTATAAAGGATGTAACAAATAACAAAGTATGCATTAGGTAGAAGATTTATAATCAGTGCACAATTTGATACACATGTATTTATTAATAATTAATAATTAATAAATTAATAATTATTATCCCTATACCCAGTTAGGCTGACGAGTGTGTATTTATATTGTATAAGGGATGTATATGGATGTATAAGTATATATATATATATATATATATGTGTTGTATATGCATGTGTATAATTATGTAAATAATTATGTAAACATACATGTATGTATGTATAGGCCTATGTTGTATAAATGCATGTACTTGTAACAAAGTAAATATATATGTATATATATATATAGATGTATATATGCAGTCTAATATTTCAACACTACACTCTTCACCTATGTCTTGCCATTATGTTGTTTATGCATGTCATACACTCCATTGATACTATGTTGCAGTCCTCTTCTTTTCCTCTCTTCTTTTCTCTTTTTCCAAGCTCTCTATCCTCCTCTCCTCTTTGCCTATCCCTTTCTTCCTTTCTTCCTTTCCCCCATTTATAATGTATAATTGCATTTATATATTCGGGCGTACCCACTACAAGCTATGCTTTTCGGGTTTTGCGCGTTCTTCCTTGTAATACAAGTTCTTTAATTATATTTATGTTCCTACTTATAAATTGTATTGTTTAGAAGAAAATAAATGTTCATTTGAATTGAATTGAATTTCTATTGCAGTATGGACATGATTGGTCTGAATCATTTGAATAGTTGATAAGTAAAAAAAAAATCCTTTAAACAGCAACATAAGATTATCAATCATAATTTTCCCCCTTTTTTGTAATATTTCTATAGTTTCATAGTTTAGGACAGCAGATAATGTTGATAAAAACACTTTTTTGTTGTTGCTATTAATGCAGATTATGATTGATCCAGAATCATAGAAATTGATAGCAAATTAAATCAATTCCTGGAAGCATAGTTCCAGGAATTGATCTCGCGGAGAGGTAAGTTGAACTGTACTTCCAGAAATTGATTTAATTTGATATTAAGTAGCTATTAATGTGTATCAAATGTTCATAATCAATTATAAGTACATGCAATCCAATAAATCATAAGTGATTCAATGCACGATTGGTAACTTGGAATAAATTTTGGAACAAATGAAACTCTTTATGACGTTGGGCTTTGGGTTTGAAGTATTAAAGAACGCTTGACAAAACGAATTGATCACTGATTCTACGCACCACATAATCACAGAAAAGGACGAGGGCTCCTTGCTTGACCACCTCCTCCGCAGTGGAGAGCTCTGGCTCCAGGTTTGTCTCCAGGTGATCCAGGCTCCCTGAAGACATGGACTTGGAGAGAGGGGGCTTCTTAGGTGTGTGCAGGATGCGCATCCACCAATCGGTGGAGTCGTAGTTCAGCAGAAGGAGCAGCTGGAGGGGGTATTCAAGGAAGTGAAATGGTACAGTGTCGTGCTCATCAAAATCATTATTAAAATCATTACAATCGTTATCATAGACAAATCTTTATCATAATCATTAAATTATCAATAACATCATCTGCAACATCATCATCACCATACTACCATAATCATCATTATCATCATCAAGTTTATCATCATTAGCATCATCATTGATTACTCAATCATTGCCATTAATATCAAAATCATTACAATCATCATCGTCATCATCATCATCATCATCATTATCATCATTACCACTGTCATCCACTTCATCATCACAATCATCACCACCATTATCAACAATCCTCATCAATATTATCATCATAATCATCTTCTACTTCTCCTTCATCATAATCAATAAGGGCCTCTTGGGCGTGTGCAGAATAAGCATACACCAATTGGAGGGGCCGTAGTTCAGCAGGGGGATTCAAGGATGATAAATAGAATAGTGTCATTCTATCAGAATCACCATCATCATCATAGATAAATTATCATCATAATCACCACTAATTCTTATTCATCATCATACACGTTATTATCATAGACACTATCATCAAAACCACCAGCTTTATCCTTTCACTGCTGCCATTAAAATTGTCCATTCTCCTGCTCATCTTCCTCCTCCATTATCATGACTCACCTTCATCAGCATCAACACCACCACCAGCACCAGCACCACCTATACCACAACACAACCAGCACCTGTAGCAACAGACAATCACCATCATCATCCTCACCATCGTCACCATCTCCATCATCATACCACATGTCTTTAATACCTGACACCATTGTAGCACCAGTACTGGGTCTGTCTGTATCAGTGAATGGAATACTTCATTGAGATGATCGAGAGCAAACCAGCATTTGGACTGCTGAGGTCTGGAGATTAGACTAGCCATCATTACTCCAACTTTCCTGAAAGCTCCTGATTATAAAGGAATAGTATTTTTAAAAAAAGCAAGTTTAATATCATTTGGAAATAGTTCTACCAACAAAACAAAAATTATTTGATTCATGAACTATAAATCAGCCTTTCATAGATTCACAGAGAAAAGGAAAAGAAACTCAGAGAAATAAAGAGAGAAAGAGAGAGAAAGAGAGAGAGAGAAAGATAGAGAGAGAGAGAGAAAGAATTTTTTTAAAGTCAAGACAGAATCAGGAAATATAGAAGTACATGGCAGTGACACTATGCAGAGAGTCAATCAAAAATAAGAGAGAGAGAGAGTCAAAAACACAGAGAAACACAGAGAGATACTGCCTGGCAAACTACAGCATAACATGGATTTCAAAGATGGACAGATAGATGGACAGACAGACAAAGAGAGAGAGAGAGAAAGAGAGAGAAATAGATCTTACCAGATTTGAACATGTGTGTCATAGACAAAAGCAGCCTGGACAGCTCCTGTGCTAGGAAGTCATGTGACTGAACACCTGACACATCTATAGACTTGGAGAATCGTAAGCTCTGTACGGTGGTGACAGTGAACCCTACAATTTGCAGCAAGAATCTACAGAACAACGCAAATAAAAGAAATCAATTAATGTTATTTGATAATGTAAATGTACACAATGTATAGCCCAGAGCCCCATTTTATAATGAGTTAATATTGATCACAACTTTGTACATAAGAAAAAGGGGACTGCAAACTTCTGATTGACTTGGATGAATAGCAAATGTTTATAAGACAGGGCCCTCATCTTATGACTCTTATATCATTTATACCAATATGCAATGACCTTTGAAAAATTAAGTGAACACTAAAGTATAAGGACAACTATCCCTTGGACTATCACCCCCTGGCAACTACCCCCAGAAAATAATGGCTTACAATTATGTCCTTTCCTAACCACCCCCCAAACAAATATACAAACACTCAGTCAACTGACCCCCCCCCCCTCCCTAAATCCCCCTAGCACCCATCTTAAGTACAACTATGTGTGTATGTGTACCCCCTTGGAAACCTATCCTCTGAGCATATGACCCTAAGACAACTACCCCTAGGCCAATTACCACCTAAAGAACACATGTTTAGAGTGAATGGAATGGGATAAAGGATTGCATTATGTTGATATACATTAAAGGAAATGATATCAGTTGAAAAAAATTAATTGATTTGATTAAGCTGGCTACTTAGCTGACCTCGCTAGAACCTCCTCAGGAGGGGTCATGTTGGCATTGAGGGCATCCTCCTTAGTATGCTGGGGGTCCAGGACACAGATGAAGAGGTCAGAGGTCAAGCCTAGCTCCTGGAGACGAGACAGGATGGTTTCCTCCTTGGACTGTGTGGTCAAGACACCCAGCAGGGCTAGAGCCATGGCAAGCCAACGCTGCATCGATACGATGCTAACCTGTACATGGATGATAATAAATCAAATTAAACACTGATAATGATGATCATGATGACTATGATAATGGTGATGATGATGATTGTGGTGATGATGATGGCGGTGATGACGACGGTGATGATTATGATGATGAATTGATTATAGTGATTATGGTGATGATGGTGGTGATAACATAAATTGATGATGCTGCTGATGATGATGCTGATAAAATTATGATGGTGGTGATGATGAGGGTGATTATGATGCTGTGATGATGGTGGTGATTATGATGATGATGACAATTATAATGATGATGATGATGGTGGTGATGGTGGTGATGATGACAATTATAATGATGATGATGATGGTGGTGATCATGATGATGATGACAATTATAATGATGATGATGATGGTGGTGATGGTGGTGATGATGACAATTATAATGATGATGATGATGGTGGTGATTATGATGATGATGACAATTATAATGATGATGATGATGGTGGTGATGGTGGTGATGATGACAATTATAATGATGATGATGATGGTGGTGATTATGATGATGATGACAATTATAATGATGATGATGATGGTGGTGTTTATGATGATGATGACAATTATAATGATGATGATGATGGTGGTGATTATGATGATGATGACAATTATAATGATGATGATGATGGTGGTGATTATGATGATGATGACAATTATAATGATGATGATGATGGTGGTGATTATGATGATGATGACAATTATAATGATGATGATGATGGTGGTGATGGTGGTGATGATGATAACAAGATAGGATGGTATCTTCTTGTTTGAGATGCTATGGGAATGTATTGTTTAAAAACCTGTGACACTACTGTACAAAAGTGTCTCTCAAGGTACCTTACCTGATCATAAGGAACTAAGAGAAGAGCCTTCAGAAGGATATCAACAGGCCTGAGGGAGCTAGGAGCTACAGTCCCTAGGAGATGGTGAAGAACATCAAGGGCAGCTGGACTGTCCAGGTTAATCTGACAGAAGAAAGAACATCAGGTATGAATTTCCAATGACAATCAATCACAGATAGAAATTTAAATCTTCTCTTGTCTATCTGGAGAGACATTCTTTACTAATCAAGTCTTGTAATTACACTAAAAAATAAAGTCTTGCTTCTTCTTCTTCTTTTGCTGGCTATATGTACAGGTATATCTTTAATGAAATATTTTCTACACACTGTTTGTTATTGACACATGATATCAAAAATATAAATACAGTTTAAAATGAAGTATTCAGTATTGAGACAGCTACACAAAGCACTAACATAGTTTAAATTAACAAATAAATTAACAATTTAAACTTTTTATTTAATTTAATAGATTTCCATATATAATACCTGTTGCCTGGCCAGAAGAGGGAGTATCATATCAACAACTTGTCGGGAGAGCCGTTTCCACTTCTCTTCATTCTCACGATGTGCCTGCTGTAGAACTGCTGTGAACATCTCCAGTACCTTAAATGTTTGACAAGATGTGAAATTGATTTGTAAATGTGTATGGATTTGTATGGTTAACATTATCATAGGAAAGTTGCTTTCTTGAGCCTTTTCTTGTTTAACATACACGCACATCTCACAATTGAAAAAATAAAGATGGTATTATTGACATCATCAACAAGTCAATATTTAATCCTTTATAAATTTAACACAGGGGGCCCATCATTCAGTCACTGTAGAGAAACAATTTCTTAATGATTCACCTGATAACAGTCCCATCGTAAAAATGAACTTCACTTGTGCAACTGATAGATCACATTCCATTCACAAATTTCAAAAGAAGTGCCCTGTCAGGAAAATTCATCATCATAAATTGCTCATCTAGAACTATGACCAAATGGTCTCAACTTCATGAAAGGCAAGGTCTGAGTCCACAAGTTTTACTGTACCTAGGAATTATTGGGCATAAGTGGTAGTGGTAGTGGTATTGGTAGTACTAGTGGTAGTGGTCGTGGAAGTGGTAGTAGTAGTAGAGATAGTGGTAGAGGTAGAGGTAGTAGTAATGGTAGTCGTAGTGTTAGTAGAAGTGGTACCAATAGTAGTGGTAGTGGTAGTAATAGTGGTGGCGGTAATAATAGTGGTAGGGGCAATGGAACTTGAAGTTTTACCTGGCTGTAGTGGATGAGTCTGAGCAGCATAGAAACCACTACCTCCCTCTGCGTGTCTAACTCCTTGGCTGATTCTGATTTGTTGTTGGCTCTCAGAATGAAGAGATCGTGTACAAGGGGCTTCAGAGCTGGGACAACTGTGAAAAGGAAGAGTACAGGTAGGGTCCAAGCTTTAGGGTACATCTACATTGCTTTTGACTGATGATAATAAATTATTCTTCAAGGCTCCTTCTAAATGCAGGAGCATAGTAATAATGAGTGATGGAAAATAGCCCTATCAAAAAAAGATTCATATAATTGTTATCATCACCACCATCACTACCATCATCATTATCACTATCATCATCATCATTATCACCACCATCATTTTCATCATTACCATCAACATCACCATCCTCATCACTAACTTCATTGTCATCATTACCATCATTATTATCATCGTCATCACTACCGTCATCATCATTATCGTCATCATCATTATCACCATCATCATCATTACTAACATCATTATCGACATCATCACTACCATTACCAACATCATCATCATCATCATCATCATCACCACATCATCATCACCATTACCATCATCATCATCATCATCATCATCATCACCATCACCACATCACCATCACCGTTACCATCATCATCAAAACCACCACCACCACCATCATCATCATCATCATCACCACCATCACCACCACCATCACCACCACCATCACCATCATCACCACCACCACCACCATAATTTTCTTGAGGGAGCACTTACTATGGGTCGAGGCTTGTTGTCCACTGGCCATGATACCATCACACAGCTGAATGATCTTGGGCATGGCGATGACCGGTTTGCTGTGGAACCTCTCGTATGACAACAGAACTAGGAAGTTGAAGATGTGTGGAATCAGTACTTCATAGCCCCTGGATAAAAAAAAATACACATATGAGTTTATGTCGGTCTTTACAGTCCTAAATTCTTCATTTTATAACAAGTTAAGTGCTCCTGTAAATCAAATCATTCCTATCACTAAAAGTAAGGAAGCTTTATAAATAGAGAAACATACTGGCAAAAACCAAACAAAATTGGATTATTGTTGCCAATCATACTTCTATCTTAATATAGAGGAACATGTACATGAAGATCCAAACCATTAAGATGTTAATCTGGTCTAAGCTGTTCACGTACAAGTACTACATGTACCCTGATTAGGTTTCATATTACCAACACTTTCATTTAGATTTGTCAAATAACAACTTTTAATTCAACGACATCACTAATACACTTTTTATGCATTTCGCACACTACCAAATAATTAATTTTATGAGTTTCTGCTTGGGTATATTAAATCTATTGGTTATTTCACTGTCGATGGTTCACTTGCTATTAACTTCAATTTCTTTCTTTTTTGGAAATAGAACAGTATGCAAATTACTCCATAAATAAATGTTTGTATATGTTTATAACATGATTTTGTTTTTGCAACAGAGTATCACATTTCTAGATACAGAAGTACATGTACATCGAAACATAAAATACTTACTTGACCAGTCCTTCCTCTAAGTACTCAAACTGTTTTATAACAAAGTTCAGGAAAATCTGTCAAATAGAGACAAAATGATGAAACAGATATCAAATGGGTATAGGAATTACAATTTTCATTTCCATTCCAAACATAATCATTATTGGAATATTCTAGGTTTTGAAAGTTGCTTTAATTCATTGCAGTACAATGTTATCTTCATTATCATAATCATCACCACCATCATCATCATCATCACCACCACCACCACCACCATCAATACCATCATCATCATCATCATCGTCATAGCGCTCAGTGCATTCAAGGAATGAATCCTCCCAGGTACCCACTGACTACACCTGGGTCAAGCATGACAAATCTAGATTAATGTCTTGCCAAAGGACATTAGTGCCCCGGCGGTATTTGAACCCTGTACCTTGTGCAGTTGCATAATGAGCAAAAACTTGGGGGCAGAAAGAAAACAAAGTGTTTTATACCAAAAAGTGAGAAAAAACCATGGGAAATCATGTCATTTCAGCAACAATTGTAAATTACTGGTATCGAATTACAATTAAACCATGTTTGATTTTTGTTTGGGGGAGGCAACTGCCCCCTAATCCTGCCCCATCAGTAGTGGTTCACAGTCCCAACCCTTATCAATTAGACCACAGCACCTCTACATGACCCATAATCAAATAGAGGTGACATTGCAGTTGCTGTACCTGATCTGAGTCTAGCAAGCAATAGTTGACTCTGAGCTGGACCAGCTGGGCCAGGAGATGTAGGACCTGTTGCTGTAGGACCACACAGCTGCTGACAGTGTACTGCTTCAGGGCCCGAATCACTAGAGGCTCAAACAGACGGATGTAGTTCTGAACTGCAGTCTATACAGATATGAAAATGAGCATGTATTAGTAGTAGTAGTGGTTATTTTACCTGACTGCTAAGAAAGCATAAATGCTTGTTAGTAAGCAACCAGAGGACCGACGGATTAAAGTCTTCTCCGAGAGACCTGGTAATGAGGATTAATGCCTTACCAAAGGGCACTAGCGCATCGCCTTGGTTTCGAACCAGGGACACCAGATTAGGAGACCACTGCTCTACCGACTGAGCTATCGCGCCTCCTTTAAAGCATGGTTATAGATGTTTCATGGTGTTGATTGGAAAGGGAATGTGCAGGGGTCGCAAGTAAGATTCAAAGCCTGGTCAAGTTAGTGTTTTTATTTGTCCATCAATGACAATCACTATCGTATAAGGGAACCATGACAACCAAATTCTATGAAAGTCCAACTCCTTTAGTGATGCCCTTCAGAATTAATGAAACAGAGATGAACCCACAACAATTCAGTCCTAATATGTCTTGTTTACACAGGGTAGGCTTTCTAGCTTTCAAACTTTGTCAAGTATGTGTCCTCCACTATCTGCTCAGATTCTTAGGAATAATTAACAATACAAAATACAGCGTACATGACAGACCTGTAGATTAGTTTTATAAACACACTCTGTAGCTGATTCTTGAGATCGTATGTGAAGAACTGTCCTTGGGATAATAATAATAATAATTGAATTTATATAGCGCCTTTTCCAGAGGATACAAGGCGCTGTCCCTTAGTCGATCAACAAATTAAGAACTGTAGAGGCATGTTTTCAGTTGTTTCTTGAAGTTGTCAAGTGAAGTACTATTTCTTAGAAAGGCACAGAGTTTATCTTATAGGCGTGGGGCAACAGATTGAAAGGATTTGAAGCCAACCTGTTTTCGGGATATAGGAATGAAATTGGAAATGAACATACATGTATGAATGAATAATGTAAAGCTATTAGTTCCTTTCGATCATGTTTTGAAATCTACAGGGAAACAATATTCCCCTCCCACTTACTTAATCCTCCTCTTAACAAAAGAAACATACAGGAGCTTATCAAGCATGTACATGTAATCTGAGAGAGCTTCGATGAATGTTTGAGGTACTGACCTTGTCTTTACTGCTCTTTGCTGACATACTAGCTCGTCTGTCTGCTCTTGTCTTGATCCAACCAAATACCCTATGAGGACAAAGGACATGAAAGAGAAAGGAGATGAAAGGGGAGGAGGAGGAGAAGAAAAATTGAGAAGAAAACACAGAGGAAGGATAAGGAGTATTACAGTTAAAAAACAAAAGTAGAAAGAAATAAGATAAGGAAGAAACACTTTTCAGAGTTATCATGATTGTTATACCGGCTTGCAATGGAACAGTTTCTTAATTTTTTTTCACATGAAACCAGTTCAATATAAATCTCAAATAATAGATAATATATACAACTAGCCCACTAATTAGAAAGAAGATAGAAAGGGTTCAAATAACATACGGTTTTACATGTTTTCCACATAAAAGCACAGATAGACAAAAAAGGCCCACATAAAAGATTCTCTGCCACAACTAAACCCCCTATATCTAAAAAAGAGATGACAGTGATGCAACTTACCCAACGCTTTCATTCTCTGTATCCGGAGTAGTCGTCAGCTTAGGTCCCATAGAAGCTAAGCACTGAGTGTACTGCGTGTAGGGTGCTATGAAGCAATCGTGATACAGTCCCGGTTTCATGTTGGACGTCAGACGAGCAGCTTTACCAGTCTTACGAGCATGGTGAGGTGAGGAGAGATCTTGAGCACTGGCCATGTTGGTGAAGAACAGAGCCTTCAAGAGCTGGGAGTAGATTAGAAGTGCATATCAAGAAGAGAAAGAAACATTTTAAAAGCAATGATCCAAAAGTAGCTCATAATAATGAGGATTACAAACAAATTAAAGGCATTCTTGATCATGCTATGTACGTAAGTCAATCATTCTTCTTCTTCTTTTTTCTCTTTCCTTCTTTTCTTTCTTTCTTTCTTTGTATCTACATGTATGCTATTTTGAAAGCTTCTTTAATATTTTGCATGTAGATAGTCAGTAACTATTTTCAAGAGATTGTGCTGCAAGTCTCTAGTGTCAAAATAGCTGTTCAGCTATAAATGTGATATTACATTTCAAAGATACAATTTGTTAAGTATAGGAAATGCGTTCAGTTTTAGCAGCTGATTCGAAAAACAGAATATGAAGCAAGATTCATGCACACAACCGTCTAGTGTTATCATACATACCTGTTCAACACACAATATGGTCATCGTAGGTTCAATGGTGACACAAGACTTGAGATAGCCCAAAATTTCCTCAACATACTATAGAAGAGAACAAACAACAAATACATTCTCATTAAAACTGTAAATAAAAGATGCAATGACAGACAAAACATACAACTGAGATTTGAACAAAATTAAAGGCATCACCTTACTTGTATGAGAAATATGCAACGATTTAATATCTAAATGCTGTTACTATAAAAGTAAAAACATAAATAGGCAAGTACTTGTCATAATGGCATCTTGAAAAGCAGGCAGACATTTTTTTTTTTTTTTTGTTGCAATATCTATTTCTTTTTACTTATTCTAATTCTAATTCAAGCTACATGTAATATGTTTGTTTTTTTAACTTAAAGAAAAAAAGGGTCCATTAGGGTTTCCAATTCAAGTGGAGAAGTTACACTATTGCATGAGCAAATCCTTGTTTTCTTTGAGAAGCCTGAGTTAAAAAGAAACTAGATGGAATTTTGACTGCGCGCAGTCAAAAATGATGCCTCCGCCATAGAGCAACTTTACAAACCAAAACGGAAGCAATTTTTAAAATTCAAGTTTGATTGTAATCGATCTGTCGGTTTTAATAATAATGCATTCACAAACATTTTATAGTCATACATAATGAGCCCCATGACCTTTGACCTGATGACCCTAAAATCTAATCAGTTAATTGCCTCTGCAAGATACATATATACATGTCTTGAGTTTGATAGTAATATGTCTATTGGTTCTCATGATAATGCGATCACAAGCTATTTGTGCATACATAATGAGCCATGTGACCTTTGACCTCGTGACCCCAAAATCTAATCAGTTCATTGGCTCTGTTAGATACAAACATGACCCAAGTTTGGCAGGAATCCATTGACCGGTTCTTGAGATAACGCGATCACAAGCTATTTTTGTATACATAATGAGCCCTGTGACCTTTGACCTTCGACCTCGTGACCCCAAAATCTAATCAGTTCATTGGCTCTGTTAGATACATACATGACCCAAGTTTGGCAGGAATCCATTGATCGGTTCTTGAGATAATGCGATCACAAGCTATTTTTGTATACATAATGAGCCCTGTGACCTTTGACCTCCGACCTCGTGACCCCAAAATCTAATCAGTTCATTGGCTCTGTTAGATACATACATGACCCAAGTTTGGCAGGAATCCATTGATCGGTTCTTGAGATATTGCGATCACAAGCTATTTTTGAATACATAATGAGCCCTGTGACCTTTGACCTCCGACCTCGTGACCCCAAAATCTAATCAGTTCATTGGCTCTGTAAGATACATACATGATCCATGTTTGGAGAGAATCCATCAATTGGTTCTTGAGATAACGCGATCACGAGAACGGGACGTACGTACGGACGGACGTACGGACGGACGGACAACCAGAAAACATAATGCCTCCGGCTACTTTGTAGCGGAGGCATAAAAATGGATTGCATTGATTGACTTACATGGCCCACTTCAGTAATAGAAGCTAGCTCTAGTAGCTGACCGAGACAGGATAATGACATCTTGAGCAAGAGGCAGAACTTGTCAGGTTTGGTGAGTTCTAATGTAGCCTGTGGATGAAAAGTGGAAAGTTATGTTAAATGAAGGTTGAAGGTTACTCAACGGGTCACAGGAAATAACATTCTGACAAAAAATTAACATCTTAAAGTATACCCAAAACATTTTTTAGTGCTAACTAAATATCAAGGTGGGCTTCCCCTCTATAACTTGCAAAATTTCTTTGATCCTCTCGTATCAACCCCTGGGGTGGAGCAAAATCTTTGAATTTGGACTAAATCTAGACAATTTTCTCAACAGGAAGCCTGTCTCTACCTTATAGTTTTTGTAAGCTCCTCTCAATGTTTCATATATCCTCATGTAGTGTGCATGCTGGTAGAAGGATCCATAGCTAGACTTCGTAGACTTCTTCTCCTCGGATGTATCAGATTTATCTGGAGGGGAGAGAAAGAGAAACACAGGGATGATTATTCCTTCAGTCAGTTAAAATGCACAAAAAAGTAAAAGCAGTTTAATTTGTCATGAGTCTAATTTGCATGAATGAGTATAGCACATATAGTAGACTATCATGTGTAATAATAAAGTAAGTTGCTACTTTTGAATTTCTTATGTTTACTTATTGCAATTTCTTGAAGCACTTTGGAAGAAAAAAAAATCAAATGACATACAAACGTCATATTTTGTGAAGTGCTATTCATCCATTGTCAGATTATATTAGTTTTCCTGATGTTCTAACCAGAAGAATTACTAATTAAGAAAGTTCCTGTTAAGTACCTTTAACATTATGACTACTCAATTTTCTCATTCTCTTAGACTTAGCACAGGAACTACTTAGCAACGGTAAGCAATGTGTTCACTTCAAAGTTTGACCCCCCAAACCAAGTACTTGACTATTATAAAGATTGAGTGGTTGAGAATCATGGAGTTCTTTACCTGGTGTTGGTTTGTTGGGATTCTGAGGTGTTGTTGGTGATTGGTCTGGTGTGTCTTTGTCCCTTCCTATCTTACTCTTCCTCTTGATAGGACTAAGAGAAGGGCCAGCTGGTAGGGACGGTAGAGCAGTCTGTTGTAGATACATAAATACACACACATATGAGATGATTACTATTACAAAATCAAACTAGATGGAACTTCGACTGCACGCAGTCGAAAATGATGCCTCCGCCATAGAGCGATTTCACAAACCAAAACAGAACCAATTTTTCAAATTCAAGTTTAATTGTAATCCATTTATAACAGGTTCTCAGAATATCGTGATTACAAGCTATGTTTCATATACCGGTACATGTATCACCCTTTTATCTTTGACCTCATGACACTAAAATCTAATCAATTTATTGGTTTTGCAAGATATATACATGTCTTGAGTTTGATGGTACTCAGTCCATCGGTTCTAAAAATAATGCGATCACAAGCTATTGATTCATATATAATGAGCACCATGACCTTTGACCTTTGACCTCATGACCCCAAATCTGATCAGTTCATTGGCTCAGCAAGATACATACATGACCTAAGTTTGGCAGAAATCTATCAATCGGTTCTTGAGATAACACAATCACGAGCTATTTTTGCATACATAATGTGCGATGTGATCTTTGACCTTTGATCTTGTGCCCCCCAAATCTACTCAATTCATTGGCTCTGCACGATACATACATGACCTAAGTTTGGCAGAAATCTATCAATCGGTTCTTGAGATAAAGCGATCACGAGCTATTTTTGCATACATAATGAGCACTTTGACCTTTGACCTTGTGCACCCAAAATCTAATCAATTCATTGGCTCTGCAAGATACATACATGATCTAAGTTTGGCAGGAATCCATCAATCAGTTCTTGAGATAACGCGATCACAAGAAAGGGACGTACGGGACGTACGTACCGATGGACGGACAACCCGAAAACAGAATGCCTCCGGATACTTCATAACAGAGTTAATCGCAAGAATGAACAGAAAGCCAAAATAAGACAGAACATAAACTCAAAGTATGCCTTGTTATTGCCTTCTCAAATCATATAATAGGGAGCTTTGATTTGGAGGACCGACTAGATCTACGACATAAAATTTACTGTCACGTCTCCTCACAGGTCCCTGTCTTACAAAAAACTGTTTCATTGTCGGACTAGACAGCAACGGGCCTGTTCATATGACCATTGTGATCACGTGACCCACTCTTGGAGATCAATCTACAACTGAAGTTCTCGTTTTTATCAGAGCACAGATTTATCCTGAATGCAATCGTAGGATCCAGCCAACGACACATATCAACTTGACTCATGCGCAGAAGGTTTCAGTGCCAATTTTATGTCATAGATCATGTCGGTCGGGCTAATCGAAGGCTACCTAATAATGAGAGGGACCGTCTCAATAAAATAAGTTAAATTATTTCCTTACACACCTGTGACTTGGCGGGGCCAGGCTGGTGGTTATCGATCACATGACTGAAGATGCTGACCAGGCGCGTGACATGAAGCAAGACGCGCTCCACGATGGGCACCAGGAGCCGATTGTTGAGACATTGCCAGCTCTCTCCGCTCCCCTCCCCCTCCTGGGATGGAGAGGTCGCAGGGGAGGTCATCTTCTTGGAGATGCTGCTCTTGAGAGAGTTGGCAGCAGCACCTGTCAAAGGGTCAGGATAAGTTTAAGAAAGAAAATAAGTCTTTTGTAAAGTAAAGTTTTGCTTTGCAGAAATAACTGGTTTACCTTTTTACCCGAAGTAAGTCTAAACCTTAAGCCAACTTTGGTTTCATTTGCTCCAATTTTTTTCAAGTCAATACAGTACGGAAGTATTTTTAAACAGTTTTATTACCCAGTGACCTATGACCTTTAACCTCTTCCACCCAAAATCTAAGCAGGTCATCCTTGTATACTCATACATATTTCATCCAAGCCTTGTTTGAAATTGCTTTAATACTTTTCACGTTATTTAAGTAACGCAGGTGTATGAACTGGCTACCTGGTAATGCTAGAGTAATAGTAATTGAAGGGGTCAGTGGAAGAGCAGTGTAAATACGGATCAGGTGACCCTCTGCAAAAATATTACTATTATAGCACGTTGACTACAGAATTCCCTATTTCCCACAGGCATAATACAGGGACAGCTCAGTTCCAGTAAGCAGTGGGTTAACATTATCACGAGGCTACTAATTTATTTGTCTCCTCACCTAGAAGTAGATTGGTTGCCAATTGAAGCATGTCATGTTGGGCTGCTAGGTCCAGCATAGCTACAGAGGAGGTGAGAAGAGAGACAACCAGTGGTAGACTCCCGCATCCAGTCCCTCCAGCCAACTCCTCAGGACTCACTCCACTTCCTGTGCTCCCAATGCTATGGCAATAAGGTGAAAGGAAGAAAACCTCTGGATGATAGAGTCTACTTTGTGAGCATTAACAAGGTTTAGGAATCATTCTTTTGAAAGGATACTTTATTCGAGGTCAGGAATAATATTGGGGGGATTACATGTATAGATATATATAGCACAACTAAATTTAATGTTGATAATCCTTTGTCACGGCAACATACAAATAATAATCAAAACAATTGAAATAAGAATCCTTGAGAATTCTCTCAAGGTTTTTTATTTCAATAGTTTGTTTTTTTATACATATACACACAGTTGTACTAGGGGCAGTGAATCTAAGGATAATGGTGGAGGGAAGGGCTTCCCTCCTTTTCCAAATGAAAAAAAAATACCTCTTTCAATGCTTAAAGATTGTCCCTTTACTTCAAAATTTGCCCATGAATACTACAAGAGAAAGCCTTGTATTGAGATAGACCCTTTGAACTATTCAACAAGGGAGTGAATGAAGAGAATAAGATTATTAGTCAGAAAAGGAGATTTGAAAGAAAGTATGGATAGAGAAAGAGATTGGAAAAGGAGATACATGGGAAAGAAAAGACAGCATGGTTAAGAAAAAGGAATAAGTGTGAAGAGAGACTGAAAGCCCCTGTCAAAAACACTGAGCAAAGTACAGTGAAACCCGTTTGTAAAGACCACCCAAGGCAGATGGTCTTTATGTGCAGGTTCCTTTAGTACATGTTTCAATGGGAAACCATTTTAAAAGGAAACAGAATAAGTGGTCTTTGAAAACAGACAGGTGGTCACTAAACCAGGTTTGAGTGTAGTTACCTAGTGCCTGATCCTCCTTTATACGTGAGACTGCTTTGCCTCTGTAGCTTGGGATGGCTTCCTCCGTCATGAGAGCGAGACAGAGAGGAAGGGTTCTGAGAGCATCCCCAAGCACTTGGGTGCTGTGTCACTGGGAAACTGCTTGAGAGCCTTGCGAGGGCACGTACACACCCATACTGCAGTGGGAAAACAAAGAAAAAAATGTTAACTTTGTCCTTTCTTTAAAGCCTGTCTGCACAGGTTTGACCAGGAGGGATTAGACCTCCCTACGTGGTCACTGACAGGTGGTATCTCATCAAATCAGCTCTCACTTAACATAAGTAAAAGGGAATCATGGGACCAACGGATACTGCTTAGGCATTGTTTGCTATATTGAGGGCGCAAGTAGCTACAAGTAGTGCAGTCCCGCTTTAAGATAGCGGTACATGCATTTCACAAAGGAACATCTTTGAAATCATTTAATAATTCTCATTCTATGTCTTAGTACAGGATTTCCAAAAAAAAGTTTCAGGAAGAAAAAAAATCATAATTCTGTAGTGTTGCCAACTTTCTAAAGTATTTGTGTATTCTAAAGTGATGTTCTCTTGAACTGTTATAAATCACACTTGAGACTATCATAAACTGGCATTGTGAGGTAAAGCTTCATAATTATGCTCCTTCTGACTTTTGGGCTTTTCCTCTATAACAAAGATTTGAGAAGGTGTTTCTCAGTTTGTGCAAGCTAGCTGGCAAGGCTTATACGACATACACTTACATGGAAATACACATACTTCTTACAAGTGATGCAGGGTACATTATAGGTCTGAGGAGATTTTGGTATTTTAGGTATTTTAGCAGATATTTTTCAAGCAATCTCATTCACGCTTGTGCTTTGATTAAACCAAAGAATGAGGTTGCATTGAACCTAAGCACTATTCAATTTCTATTTAATCATCTGCATTTGTTTTAAAACAAGCATTTTTTTATCACAACCCTACTGTGAAGACTGTTTTGTGCCAGGCATTGTTGTCAGTGGATGAGGTTGTTATATACAAAGTGAGAGAACTGTATGTTTATGACTTCTTCTTCTTCTTTAGGATAATCTGCCTCATTCACTGCTGAAGATTCTTGAAGATGATTGTGTAAGTGCATGTGTGTGGCGACATGGGGATGCCAAGGTGTGAAGGTGAAAGGTGTATATATACATAGTGCCAGTAAAAATGTTGCCAGAATTTACTTCCCGTCTGTCTTTAGTTGTTGCTGGAAGGCTTCCAATGACGGAGCCATGTTGATACATGACTTATCATTGAGGTACAAAAATGGAATATAAAGAACCAAGAGTTTGACTCACAGTGCTGTATCTGGACATGGTGTTGCTCATGACATCAAAGAGTACAGAAACCATCCTGGAGAGAGCCGATTCAGAGAATGCACATCCTCCCTCTGAAGATCTGCTTTGGAACACTGGCAGGCTTTCCATGGTGGCTGTAATGGCCGGCGTGTAGGGCTGGAGGTCCCTCATCACAGGGTCCAGGTAGCGGGACACATGGACCTTGGCTAGGGAAGAGATGGATTCCTGGTGGGGTTGGTCCACTGGGTAGAACAGCTTTGGTACAAGTCTAGACATAAAGAGATTGATCATTCAAAGTATAGATCGATGAATCATTTCTGCCTAAATGTACAAATGCTTTGCAACATTATACTTGCATAAAAACTGGTACCTACAAGAACATGTACCAGCATATCCTTACAGGCATACTTCAAATAAAGTAAGTTAAAAATACATTACATACAAATCTTATAATGCTATATTCATTGCACCAACAGTAGAACCAAGTTAATCTGAAATCATTCCTATCTTTCAACAAAGAAGAACCATCAGCAAAATAACAGTTCCAAATTTAAACTTAACAAAATGATATCAATTCACAGTGATATGCATGTGATTGAGGTCAGGTTTCTCTTGTTTCTTTGGCGGTTATTTGTAATCTCACAAATGCCTCTTCTTTCAAACAAACCACAAATATATAGACAGAGGAATCATTAAAAAATAAAAATTAAATCAGACTCTGAAAAATAAAGTTTTGATAAAGTGATAATAAAGAAATAAAAAGAGAGAGGTAGGGGGCTGTCTCCTGACTTACTTGGAAAGTGCCTCTCCAGCTGCAGTTCTGACCCTGCCATCTTCACTACCTATGAGCTTGAGAACCACCTCCTCTAGGACTACTCTCTGAATATCTTCTCTCTGTAACAACAAAGTAAAAACAACAACAATAAGTAATAATAATATTCTGTTCTTGTATAGCGCAAAGCACATTGTGATATAACATACCTGCACATATGCGCTTCAAAAGAGCTTTGGAATTACCTAGACTTTAGCTCCGCCCGCCGTTATCGATGCACAGAGTATTTCAAGTCAGTATTCTTGAAAGTTGAGTCAGAGCGCCACTGTCAGTATTACAACACACACTCCGGCAACATTTATTCAGTCTGTGGTAAACTTTTGGGGATTCAACATTTGCTCCAGGAATAAAATTGCTCTGGGCATTCTTTCATCAAAGATATAGGGTTAGTGTTGGTGTTGCAATCCAGATTTGAATGATGTTCTATTTGTGTTGTGAATTCTTGAATTTGATAGTTTATCATTTCAGTGTAACATCCATTTTGCAATGTTTGCTAAAGCTATATCATAGAAACTTCAAACAAATTGTGAATGGGGGAAATGTTCCTAGCCACTATATCTAGCACAATTTATCACAGATTGTTTTCATTAAGACAAGCTTACCATGAACGTGTATCCTCTCTTCAGCTCCTCCACTTTCCTAGCCTCAAGATAGTGAAGCAGTCTGTGCATAATCAGGACAATACATAGAGAGAGACAGCCAGACATATATAAAGAGAGAGAGACAAACAGACAGACAAACAGACAGAAAGAGAGAGAGACAAACAGACAGACAGAGAGAAAGGGAGATAGTGGGTAAAGAAACATTAATAAGACAAGAAGGGAGCTAGTGGAAAGGATGCATTACCTTTTTCTGAGATACTGCAATTAATTTGTTTGCCATTACAGATCATATCAGAACTACTGCCTGTTTTGCAGATGTTATATATTTCCTAGCAACTTCTGTTGCAACTTCGTATATTCCTAAATGTAGTATTTTGAACTGGGGTGGTATTATGAAAACTATTGGTATGTTATCTATTATGTTTAGTGAAAAGATGTACATTGTCATAACAAATCATTATTAGGAAAATTCAGTGATTAATATCTGCACAAAGTCGGCTGAGTAGACATCTCTGCTAGCACCAATAAAATTGTTTATTCCGCAACAATTACAGTTTGTTTTGAGATTTAACATCTTTTATCTAACATAAAGATAGCGTTTCATAATATGTATCTGTATCTATAGTATATCTATGAAATATGGGTTTTCATCTATCGTCACTTACTTGAAGTCAAATCCACTAATCAATTCCATTAGCTCCACTTGAACCAACCAATACGTGGTACTGGACAGTTTCAAAAGGTCATAGGTCAACGTCAGGCCTAAATTGCCATGACAACTTCTGCATAGCTCTTGAAGGCACAGCTGTATAAAGACACAAAGCACATTTAAAAGACTGTGAGTATAAGCAATAGTACAGATATTTAAAAATATATATATCGTCGGTGGGGTGACAAAACCTTGTATCTCAATTTTTTGAGATTTTTTTTCTTCCCATAATTGTGTACCTAATGGCCTACGACACCACCTGATAAATCCATGGAACACCTCCTGTCTCGGTTTTTTCACAAATTCCACACAAAGGACGGTGTCACAGCACTAAATCTGTTGAGACAGGAAATGTTTTTTCGCTCTCCTGAGAATTCATGATTTTTGAGATACGAGGTTTTGTCACCCCACCGACGATATGTATAATCTGGTGAACTTGACTGATAGTTCACTGTAGCCAATATTTGATAAACCTTTACATGTCAACCTGTAAATGTAGATGCTACAAGTGAAACAGGACCTTCAACGAAAGACCAGACTCATAGTACAGGGAAAATGGACAAGAAATGAAAAAGATAATGGTGGCAATGATGACGATGATGATGATGATGATGATGGTGATGATGATGATGGTGATGATGATGATGATGATGATGATGATGATGGTGATGATGATGATGATGGTGATGATGATGATGGTGATGATGATGATGATGATGGTGATGATGGTGATGATGATGACGATGATGATGATGATGGTGATGGTGATGGTGGTGGTGCTGATGATGATGATGATGGTGGTGGTGATGATGATGACGATGATGATGATGATGATGGTGATGATGATGATGGTGATGATGATGATGATGGTGATGATGATGATGATGATGGTGATGATGATGATGGTGGTGATGATGATGATGAGGATGACAATGATGATGATGATGATGATGATGGTGGTGGTGGTGGTGAATATACTTTGAAATTTTGTACTTATTCCCGTACATTATACTTGATTTGAAATATTTTATATTTTATTTTTTTCTTGTGTGGAATCTACTCTTATAGGCCTGTATACAAAATATAAAAAAAAGAATTTAAACGTTTTTTTATGTAAAATGTGGAATAAATAAACTTCAAACTTTAAACTTCAATGATGAAGATGATGATGAAAATGATGGAGATGATGATGATGATGTTGATGATGATGATCTGGTTTAGACATACCTTGGCCGATTGACATATACTTCTTGCAGTGACAGAGGAATCATCCGAGACCGATGTGGAGAGCAGGGACACCAGATACTCGATGCTTACTGGATCTGCACAGAACAAACATACAGTAATCACAATTGATCCAAATTGACAGCAACTTAACTTTAAAAAGGTTAATTACAATCACATCTCTTAAAGCCTCTCTAAAGTGTTGGGAGCCCCAAAGATTTGATGGCAAAATTTCACTTAAACTGTATCATAGTTTGAAAGAGGATGTAATTTAAGATGGATTTTCAAAATTTCAAAAGTTGAATATTGTTGAAAGAATACAAATTTTAGGTTTTCTGCATACAACAAAAAACCCAAATTATGTATTCTTTTATCAATATTTGTCTTCAAAAACATTTGTTTTGAAGATCCTTGCAGAAATGTGTCTTAAATGACATCCTCTTTCATATTATGATACGATTTAAGTGAAATTTTGCCATCAATTTTTTAGTGCATTTGAGGCTCCCAACAATGTAGAGGGGCTTTAACATAAGAGGGTAAAAATGTAGAGGGTTTGTGATTGCTTTGGATAAATTAAACTCTTCATAAGACAGGACCAAGATACTATATCAATACTAACTGATAATTGGTAATGCTCGACATGAAATTGCTGAGATGACACTGATTCAGATATTACTGATTGACAGATCAGGGCCCTGTTTCATCAAATTTGTTATCAATAACCAGTTACAACTAACCGTTATAAGCTACTGAAATCATGTTATTTGAATGGTTGAAGGCAAATTTGTAATAGATTTTTTGAATTTGTAAGTGATAACAAGTTTTACGAAACAGGGCCCTGGATCTTTTCTTATAAAGAGTTGCAATTGATCAGGATTAATCGCAAGTCATCAATCAACACTTACTTCTATCTCTGTAGTACAGAGTTGCGATTAATACCAAGCTGTGATCAATTTTAATAAATCGTAACCGTTTATAAGACCAGGCTCAGGTTCTCATTTCTTTCATCATGTACATAAGAATAAACATCTGGATCTACCTGACAACACACAATCTATTATCATTATAATTACCTCTTTAATGTGAGACTTACAATTGATGAAACAACACATCATGAATATAAATGCTAGCAGATGAAATTCTGCAATAATGGTTCTTATCCATGAAGATGACAATACAACAATTTTGAGGACAGAAGTAGGACTATCACAACGGACCAAGCAAAACTAAAATAACAGCTAAGATCTACTGGGATAACTTCAAGGAGCTGCTAAAGGGATTCACTCCAAGATCTAATGGCGATAGGGAAAAAATATAAACAAAAATACAAGAGTACTCCATAGTAGAGTAGAGGTACCTACCTGTATTACTTTCTTCACATATCCGCCAGCACCAATCAGTGTACAGGTAATTAGATTCAATCAGAGAAGCCTTCAACATTTGACCAATCAGCAGTAAGGTTTGTCCTCTCAGCTGGGGGTCAGAGTGACCCACATACAGAAGAAGGTCACGGATGTATTGCTCATCTGTCAATTGAAAAAATCAAATGTTGTTTATTCATGCCTTCATTTGTTTAATCATTAATTTGTTCACTCACTTATTAATTTATTGATTTCATTATGTCTTCATTCATTTCGTCTTCATTTATTCATTCAATTATTTATTATTTTTCTTTTTTGTCATTTATCCATTTTTATTATTTATTCATTAATCCATTCATTTATTTCTGAATGATTGCATTAAACATATCACTTACATACTGAGTAACTTTGAGTAACTTTGTTATTTACACAGAAATACTAAACAAATGTATCATTACTGCTTGGGTGGCATTCATTCCAAAATGGATTCTTCTTCCGTAAAATTACAAGTATAATGCGCTATACAAGAATCTACTGATTATTTTTATCATTACAATCTCATCACTTGTCTGTCAAAGTACAAAAAGAAGCAACAACCACAGACCAGCATCATCTTATCTATTAAACTAGATGATACTAACCTTCTACTTTGGCTCCTCCTTCTGTTCCTTTGAAGAGACGGTCAAAGAAAAGCCTGGGGTACATGCCGATGATATGACCAGCACAGCCCATGGCCAGTACCTTCACGCTGACCCTAGCCTTGCGGTCAGGGATGAGTGACCCCTGGTAACCGGTCAGTAGGAAAGAGCTGGACAGTAGACGTAAGAGATGACGCAGGGGCAAGTCCTCATCAGTATAGCATCCTGTAATGAAGAAGAAGAATATTATCCCATTGACTGCTGAATTATCTCATTCTCATAGATTTTCTTAAAGGAGCTACACGGTGTTAGTATGCAATGGGTGAAATTGTATCTGCACAGCGCATATCACATGATATAACACCCCAACCCATGTACTAACCCTTTCGCTTTAGCTCCAGGAACAAGTATCAGCACAGAAGGTATTTCAAGGAATACATCCTTCCAGGTACCAATTAACACCTGGGTAAAGAGAGACAGCTATAGATAAGATGTCCTTGTCAAAGGACATATGCACCAGGAGGGTAGCAGGTCATACAAATTACAATGACAAATATTTTATTTTGAAATTTGTGAATTGAAGCATACAAAAGGAGGAATTAATCAAGAATGAATGGATTTTGCTTTGTGTCATTAACTTTGCCGACCAAATGTTTATGCAAGGGTCACTCTGTGGCCTGGACCCACCCTCCTCAGAGGTCGCCAAATATCGACGTCGACTCGACGCCTAAGCCTGACCCTGACCTATTTGTTGTTGTAGTGAAGTCCTAACGTTCGTTTTTCTTCATTGGGTGAAGCTTTACTATACAAATTGATGAAATGTGTGAAGCTTTGACGAGTAATTTGTTTTTTCTGGTGATGTGACATCGAATCCAATCGGTCGCCTTGTTTGTTCAGGTGATGTGACATCGAAGCCACTACCGGTCGCGTCGAAAATATGTCGAAATCATGTCGAAATCGTGCGTTTCAAAACAACTATTTAATTTTTATTCCGGTCACTCATGCACTCGCAGAGTGATCGTCCTGAGGTCACCGAACTTTTCTCCAGCGAAACTGATTTCGAGATTTCACGAGATCGTTTTCGAGTAGTCTACTAGTCTCCTACACATAACTAGTTGCGTGAGTATTCGCAGTATACGTGCCTGAAAGGCCAGCCTCAAGTCTGGAAACGAGACTAGTAGCCTACGAGCTGTCGGTATTGTACCCAGCATGCGCAGCGCAGATCGTGCCAAGTTTTGGCCCCAAGTTTTTGCGAGGTGAGTTGAAAAAAAATAGAAAGTTCAGAGTTTTCCGATCATTTTGAGACGGTACTACTCCGACCCTGTTTTACGATTGATTATTAACGAAATCTGTGCATAAAACTTAGCCTATATTTTCGCGAGATTTCAATGTTGACGTATTCCACAAAGGTATTACGCCACAGCAGTGCCGTGCGCTCGAGTCGAAGCCTTACGAATATGGTGAAACAGTGGTGAAGCTTGAACTATGCAAATGGCCAGTATGGTGAAACAGTGGTGAAGCTTCAGACCGGCCGAAAACTTACAAAAGTGAAGCCTCACCTATGGAAAACTGACACAAGTGAAGCCTCACCTATGTAAAACTGACAAAAGTGAAGCATCACCTATGCAAATAATTCAAAGGGTGAAGCCTGGACTAACACATTTGCTGATAAGAGTGATGCTTTGCCTTTGTTTTTTGTAAAGCACATGAAGTGATGGTGAAACCCTGAGGTTACAAATAATTGGCTCAGGTGAAGAAAGGTGATGACCTGAGGAGGGTGGGTCCAGGCCACAGAGTGACCCTTGCATTAATTGTTTACGCCCTGATTATCATCAAACATTCCTACTCACCAATATCTCCAGGTCTAAATGTTACTTCTACATCAGGTGAGCCTTCTTCAATGGTGGCAGTCCTGTCCCGTATAGGACTGATATCATCTGTATCTCCTGGACTGTCCAAGACCTCATCACTAGAGGGCGTTGTAGCAGCGTAATCATCTGCCTCAATGCCTTGCTCTACCTCCTCTCCACCATTCTCCATTACACCCTCCGACCCTACCCTTCCAACATCTCCTCCATTGTCCTCCACACCACCGATCGCCATATTGGAGTAATCGGACGTTCCATCATCCATGACGAGCTCTGAGGTCTCGGTCTCAAGATCGGCCAGACTGGCGTTGCTCTGGTCACCGAACGCGGAGAGGTCACGGGAGGTGCGGCCCGATTGGGCGTCGGCATACAGAGAGGAGGGGATGGACTCTAGACTGGTGGTTGAGTACCGGGCGGAGGTGGGTGTGGTTGCTAGACCGGAAGATGAGGTCTCTGATGGTGCTGATGTAGAGTACTGGTCTTCATCGAGACCCGAGTCGGTCGTGAAGGTGCTACCTTCCTCACCTTCTGTGGGATGAAAACCGATATGCTCAAGATATCGTAACTTTCATTCGTCTAAATATGTACCACTCCTTACATAATTAATAAATCTCAATCATATTTAGAGTTCTTTTGACCTTCAGAGGAACATTTTTTGTTGACGTGTCATGGTCTTATGGATACATGCATGTACAGATTCTGGATCAACTTAAGTTCACCGTTATACAGAAGAACAAGAAGAGAACATGGGACTTTGGGGTCACTGAAAGCAAATGAAAATCTAAAGAGTCCCCTTTATTAAAAAGAGTTAGTATGGAACCCTAGGTGTTGAAATCTACCAAGCGCTGAAGAACTTTTCTTCTGAACAGAAGTCCAGGGGGGTGTTTCACAAAGATCCTAAATAATAATAATAATAATAATAATAATAGCCTAATAGTCCACTCCAAATTTTATTAAACCGAAACGGAAATTCTTTTTGCCCAATTGATCGTGAGCCCGGCAGCCACTGAGCAGCGCCAGATCGACGTTGCTCTATCCCTTATTGTTGAACGCCAAACAAGGTAGCAACAACTCCCATCTTTTAACGTCTTTTGGTAAGACGCGGCCGGGGTTCGAACCCACGACCTCCCGGTTGTGAGGCGGACGCTCTACTTACTGAGCCAACACTCCGGTATATTGAACTTATCTCTAAGTTGGACTTAAAAGTTTTGGAACGCTGTTAACATCTATTATAATATTTTGTAAAAAAGTTATTTTAAGAGGCTTAAAATGTTGATTCAAATCATTCATAATTTTCTATTATGAAAGAGATTTCATATTCTTGATGTGGAATTTATGAAAAGTCTAAAATACTTCAATTTTACTTCTGAATGTATTTCATTATAAGGCTACAAATGGCTTTCCATAATATTTAAGTTCAACTTAGAGATAAGTTCAACTTAGCATCTTTGTGAAACACCCCCCAGTCTGTATTATTCCTACCTGTGGTTGATCCAGCTGGCCCTTCTCCATCCTTCGGAGACCCTTTCTCCTTGTCTTCATAGATGCTGATCTTGGCAATCCCCTCCTTGGACATCAGGATGTCCAGTAAGGGTTTGGGAGGGTCCTTCAAGAGCTGCTGAAGGGCATCCAGTGTTGCAGTCAGGACGTTGTGGTCAGCGTGCCTGGTGCAATGGATCAAGTACTCAAAGATCTGTGTCAAAACAAACGCATATGAAAATGATGATAAATGACTGGAACAAACTATTTAAAAGCATTTGGGGGAATAACTTATGACTGAATAGACTAAACCCTTGAGGAGGAGGTGAGTTGGCTCATTCGGTAAAACAACTGACTGTCGAACCAAAGATCTTGGGTTCGAATCCCACCCTGGCAGAAGATTGAAGCCTGCGTTGTGTGTTAACGTGCCCCTCACGTTGTTTCATAGACGCAGGCTATGTTAAGTGGAAAACACTCAGTCCCTCGTAGAGGACGTTGAATGGAGGCCCCATGTAGAGAAGAGTCACTACTTTAGCACTTTAAGAACCCACTGCACTATTTGTATAAGTGTAGGGGGAAACCCAGGTGTAGTGGTCCACCTGCACACCCCCAATCAGTTATACCGGGAGGAGAGACCAGAGGGTTACAGTGATTCAGGCGACGCCTAATTAATAATAATAGTCCCGATATTCACATCATAAATGACATTGAGAAGCATTTGATTTTCTAACTTAATTTCATTTTAACTTCCCCAGATACAAGGTATCATACAAACAAACATAACTCTGACACTGATGAAGCAAACATACCTTTACAAGTTGTTCATCTTTGACCCCAGTCTCCTCTTCCTTCTTGGTGACCCCAAAGCTGCCCTTTAACCCTTGTTCCTTTGCTCTCTGCATGACCAGATGAGGGACGGTGTAACGCAAGCAGAGCAAGACACCAAGGTGGATCTGAACAGGGAAACTCTCCTTCACAGGTATTACAAACACTACAAAAAGAATAGAATGCAAACCACTTCATTACACACTTAGTTGAAATTGGGTGCATAAATATCATAGCGATGAATGTTTTTAATTGATTAAATTTCATGAATGTGATAGTCCTTCACTTTATCCAACTTTCAGACTACACTTTCTGACCTAACATTTCGCTTAATTCCTCCATTTTTTCCATTTTTTAACATAATTTACCAACATCCTTCAATACAAATACTACGATGTCGATGATGTTAATCTATGTTTTCAATTAAAAAACATCCACTCAGTATGAGAACCTTCACAGAACATAAATAGTTGCTACATGTATGCCTGGCATTCCCCAATTATACATAAAAATAATATTTTGATAAGTTAGAGGAGCAAGTTCTTCATTCATAACTACATGAAAAACGTGCAAACAAATAAAAAAAAAATTAAAAATATACATTTATAGGCAAATATAAAAAGCTTGAGTGCACTTTTCTGTGTAAAATTGATTTTGATCTATGATATCAAAGAATATGTCATCTTGTAAAGAAAAAAATGTAAAGATATCACAATGAGACATGGTTTATCTTCGTAATCACTATCAAACTCACTGAGTAGAGCCTGCACAAGCCATGAGAAGTAGAGGGCAGGCTTGCGACCGTACTGACAGATCAAGACAATACACCTAGCTGCTGTTCTCCTTGTGGTGGCCGAGGTGTGCTTCAGGTTCGGGAATAACACCTTCATCAGATTCTGTAAGATGATTTCAAAAGATATTGATCATAAACTCTTAGAATGTGATATATCTTTCAGGACTATTAGTTATATGGCTTGAAGATTTGTTCTTCATAAAATTCTGGGGAAAATGATCAAAAGACATTAAGGACTTTGATGCAGAGATAAGAGAATGAGGCTGCATAGGCTGGGAAGCCACATCATTCTATTAATGTTCAATATATATAAACATACTTGATCCGTTATCCTTACAAGCATACAACATTACAAAGTCAATGTTGGTCTTGTGATGTAATCTGGTCAATGAATCCAATCTGAATGACTATCATTTTATCCACATAGGCAAAAGAGGTCCAAATTCCAATTAGTTGTTTCAGACTTGCACGTTTTGAGATTAGGAGAATGAATGTATTCTATGGAACGACTTACCAGGTACCTGTATGAAGATGAAAAAAAAATCGAAAAAAATGTAATAAAAAGAGAAACAAATAATCACCTTGACTTCTGTGTCTGTAAGAAAGGTCCCAAGAACTGGAAGAGTTTTGATGAGGAAATTCATCAAGGCTTCCTGTAAATTAGAAAAATAAAGTTCATCATGTTATTGTACTATGTAAAGGTAACCACTCAATCAAAAAGCATTCCATAACATTTACTAATGTAAGAAACTTGCTTTCTGGCAAATGCCAAATGGAAAGAAAATGTCATGAAACAAGACTAAACTACTCATTGTCATGTCAATGTATGACAAAATTTACATATGGTACTTCAATGACTTACTGTAACAGAATATGAAAATAGAACAAATATTTTTCCTGCTGGTTTTCGCTAAAGTTTCATGAAAACTCATAATATATACACTCATGAGTCTTGAGGTGTTCATAACCATGACATACTATGCATTTACACTAATACTCAAGGTACAATAGTAACAATAGTTTCAATGCATGTCTGATGATTATTTCAATTAAAAACAAGCATTGTGAAAGATTTATTTCTTCTTTTTGTTTTTTTAAGCTCAGAACAACCAGGGGATTTATAGCTATGATTCCCACATTTCCTTCTTTCCAGAGCTAGACTGACAATGGAAAATATCATTAGATTATTTGGTTTAAATGTTGAATAGTTGAAGGCCTTGGATGGTTCTCCAACACAAGCTCCAGGCTTTATCTCATCAAAGACTTAGGGTTAGACCTAGGGCTGCGACTAGGTGTTACACGTAGGCTAGGTTTACCTATAGTTAATCGAGTTAGGTCCAGGATTGAAAGTTAGTCTAGGAAACTGACTGCAGAGCAATAGTAACTGGAGGATCTTCTGTCATAAACCCTTTAGGAGCCTGCTGCATAAAACTTACCACTAAAAATAACTTTGCCATCAATATTAAATACCATGGCAACATCACTCAAAAGCCAATCAAATCAAGGTTTCCATGGAAGTTACCATTAATGGCAAAGAAACCATCAATCCTAAGTTTTACGCAACAGGGGCTCTGACATCCTATCCTCACCTGAACAATGTCCTCCGGTCTCCTGGATATCCTGGCGATACTAGGAAGGAGATTGATGACGTAAGGTCTGCATTTCTGAGGGCGGATCAGGTGGGCCATCTCTGCAAACCTCCATAGGGCTGCACGAAGACTTCGAGAAGGTCCATTCTGGATGTGAGAATATATTAATGGCATGTGTACATTAAACAAACCTACATGGATCTTGCTACACGTACACACAAAGAGGCATGTATGAAAAGGTACAAACCTGAAGTCAGTAGGCCTGAAATGCTTTCTGTAATCATGATTCTTTGATCTGCATTTTATGAAAGTTTGTTGTGTTGTTTGTGGTGGTGGCTGTGGTGGCAGTGTTTTTCTTTCTTTCCCTCAGAAATTCCTTCATGACTTTGATTTAAACACTAAAGATGAATCCATGTATAATCATTCTTCTTCATCTAAAATGGTTGGTTTACTAACACATTCTCATTTTATGCATACTTTGGAAACAAAGGTTTTTCTTGAACACCCGATAGCTTGCCTGAGGCTTGCCAACATAGCAACGAGTAATGCAGACTGGATTCCAAGTACTATAGTTCATTCTTAATAACAGGCTAATGGAATAACTCGTCACTAGGTCCACAGGAAAGAAACTTCAATTAATTTGAATACGTAAGTAAACCAAATTTTCCAAATTTCCTGGAGTTAAAATAGATGCTATATGTAATTCTTTTTTCTTTTTTTTACTAACACATGAAGTGATTATTCATCAGTATTTGATTGTGTTCTTAATCCCTGGAATATTTCTTATAATCCAATTTTCTGAAATCTTCAAATCTGATCATAACATACCTTCTTAATTTCTTTGTACAGCTCTAACTGCAGCCGACCTAAACTGCTTTCCATGCAAGCCTAAAAATATAAAAAAGAAAAAATACATAAAAATATATTGTATGACAAAATCACAGACAGCAACCTGATTGATAATAGTTATTAATATGACTTTGTAAAGTGAGTTCTTCGGTTATAGCATTTGGGATCATGAAAACAAACTCCTGAATAAAAAGCAAATCATTTCATTGTTCCATATCATATTCTGCATGCCTGCATGTCCCCCCCCCCTCCCCCCTCCCCCCCCAAAAAAAAAAACATGACAAAGATATTTTAAATAAGATACCCGACTATTAATGAAACATTAATAGACGTTTGATTATTATTTCAATAAATAATCAAAAGGCTCTCGGTTATCAAACATGATATACATGTACATATAGATTCATTTACCTCATATGAAGATTCTACATGTATGCACCTAATTGGTGAAGCTGCAGGCATGAAATTGGCTGACTGCTGGGCAGTGCAGTACAGTGACAAATATTTGACCGGGCATAGTTCTCTACTTGCACATACAACTCAAAGAATGCAATGGGCACGCTTGAAGTTAACAATGGGTATGCACACTGAGACATGCGCAATGCTCTTAGACTCTACAAAGAAATACATTTTGACAGGCATATTTTGAGGTAATATATCTTTTTGACCATTGACACTGAGGATGGGGTAAATAAAACAAACATTGACTGCTTAGTTAAAACTATAGCTCCACTGTGATCTCGAGACTGCAATATGCCCCTCGACTTCGTACCAGCGCATAGTACAGTTTCAAGATCACATTGGGCAATAGTTTTAACCGTGCCCTTCAAAGCAGCCCATATTTAGTATAATAACACATTACCTTTATGACCTTGTTGAGACACTCATCTGCTTTCAGTCTGATATCTGACTCACTATCATTGCAAGACGTCAGAAATATCTCCATGGCGATCCCAAGAAACTTGGGAAATTCTCCAAGTGATCTACAACAAAAATATTTTCCAAAACGATTAAATTTAAGCAAAGACATTTCTGAATAGACAGCTACCAAGGACCAAATTATATAAATTCCAGCAATATCTCCTTGTCTATCACTGAAATTTATGGGTTGTAGATCTAACATAATAGTAATATCATAGATATGATATGATATATAGAGAAAGAAAAAATAAGAATTTATCTCATAGTAAACTAGGAACATGTGTGCAAAAACATCTCCTAAAATCAGAGCACCAAGGCTAGATTACAAATGCCATCTTAAAATGTTGTGAAAACCATGACGTTAACACTTGCACCAAAATCTGAGACAAGCAATCATATATCAGGTATGGGTTATGTCAAATGGAACTTAAAAAATGGATCAGCCAGTACAAGTTTACATCTGTATCATAATTAAAGATGATTTGTACTTTTAAAACAATGAGAGTTCATACCTGAAATTTGCAGTAGAAATCCCTTCTGCAATCACGGTCAGGTTAGCAATATAATCCTTCTTGGTTAGCGTTACATCTTTTTTCCTAGAAATAAAAAAACACAAGATGTAAGAGATTTAAACTCATAAACAAAACCAATGACACCAAAAGCCCTAAATAATGACTTGAATCTCAATGAGGGCTCTCATATGGGGCTCAACATTAGCTTTCTTCACAGTGGTCCAGATTGAAATTGTTGGGGTTTATGTACGCTGGGCCGGGCCCCATCTAAATGTCAACATTAGGGGGTCTCTACACTGTTCAGAAACTTTGACATTATAGCATTTTGATTTTGCAACTGTTTCAGCCTACAAACTTTTGCAGTCCCGAGACAGTAGATACCAATTTTCTGTTTCAATTTTGACTGCATACTTTGACAAATTTACTATCTACTTTTGTTAAAATCTACATGCAAAACAAACTGGCTTCTGAACTCAGTGAGGTAAAATTTCTGCTAGAACATGCCTTGTTATACTGGTGTTCTTTCTATTATTCTCATAAAGCAAACTAGACTCCAATAACTGAAAGAGTTAGAGTCTTCAAGACCATCTCTCATTTGGGAGAGAGCCCCAGCCCAGGCTGCATCAATTTCTCAAATCATCATCAAGTCTAACTCTAAGTTTGTGGTCATCTCATAGGCATAGATAAACAAATTACATTAAACATGTTTCAATGCAATGGGATGTCCTTGAAAATAGACTTATGACGATTTTGACACGACATATGCATATTCTTGGTCGGTATTGACTATTGGAGGGGCCTAGGCTGCGCATGAACATGCAAGCCGAGAAGCCCATTCAATGTACCAACCCAGGCTGGGCAGAAAATACACACAAAACGGTCAATGATTTTAAGTTGATCGACAGCCCGTCTGGAATCTCCGCAAAATGTGAAAAATTGAACAGCATAGGGTAGAGTGCCCAGTATTCGGTCACTTTATGAGGAAAAATCGCTAATATTTTGAATTATTACCTCTTTTATTTGGCAATCTACCCATCAAAAGAAAAGAAATTTATTCCTCTAACAGGATTTTATAATCACTTAAAATATAGAATAATGATAAGCAAAATACTTCCGAAAGAAGACAGAGCATTTTTCTGCCCAGAATTCGGTCGCGCCGAATGGAATTCGGTCGCGCCGAATGGAACTCGGTCACACGATTTTTGCGTGGTATCTCCGTTGCCAAGGTGTGAAGCGTATTTGTGCACTATATGGGAAATTATGGGTATACGGGCCGCACGCATGTGCGTACGTCGGGTTGCTTTGCCTGGTCGCACGTACGTACATGCGAGCTTGTATATAAAGGGCTTTCAGCCCGCTGCCCGGGGCAGAATTACCAGTAACCAGATAACAGAAGTATAGACTACGCATCGGAGTGCACTACAAGCAACGGAGATCATCACAGCAACCAGCAAAGGACAGCATCGACGGATTCTGACATATAGTGACGACTCTGGTGAGTAGATTTTACTTTAGTGGCGCTGCGAGTCTTCACTCGTTTCTGCGCAATTAAATTGAGCGAGTTTATCGTTGCGCTTGATATTATTGTGCAACTTGTATTTGTAGTCGTAAATTTGTAGCAGTAAGTTTCGAGCCGTATTTTGACTTGTTATTTACTAGATCTATATCGATCTACGGCGTTCTCGCGGACAACTTCGTGGACCCGAGGAGAAGTAACAAGTCCGTATATCGCTTGTTATTTCTTCTTCTAATTATTGTAGGTCGTAATTTTAGGGTTTTTTCCGTAGAGTAGTAGTTTAGGACCCGTTTTCTTAGCGATTTTTGTATTATTGGGTGTGGCAAGGGACGCCACGTCGGCACGCCCTAGACGCTATTTTTGCATTCCTTCTATTGTGTACCGCACCCCATACCCTATGGTACCTTATTGTTATACTGGGTTGGAGTTTTTCGGGTGCGTACCTTGTATGAGTGATTGTTTGAGGCTGGGTTTATCCCTTCATTTACCTTAGCTTTGGCGTATTATCTTTGATATTTTTGATTGTTTGGGAGTGAAAGTATTTGCTTGGTGTGATTTGGGGTTCATTCACCTCTTATTGAAATTGTTTTTTCCACCCAATTTCGGAGTGCCGATATTTTGTGAGTGGGGAGGGAGAGTGAACCACAGTGGTTATTGCATTGCTGCTGGAATTAAATCTTCGCTAATTTAATTGATCATCGCTAATTTGATTAATCATTTTTGAATTAGAGTTGCTCTCCTACAATTAATTAATCATTTTTGAATTAGAATTGCTCTCCTACAATTAATTAATCATTTTTGAATTAGAGTTGCCCTCTTACAATTAATCAGTTTGGAAGCAGAGTTGCCCTCTTACAATTTTAAGTAACGGGCTTCTCGCTCCGAATGATTTATTGGGTTCAATGATTGTAGGCAAGGGCATATAATTAAATATACTGTTAGGGTTTATATTTTATAAATCGTAGTTAAGTTACTGTAGTGAATACAAATATATATTTAAAAATACAAGTTTATCAAGCTGTTGAATTAGGTCTGAATGTTAACCGTGACATATAATCAACGGCTGTGAATATTGTGTTTGAATATATCGTATTTAAATTTATTGATAGGAAATTAATTTATTTATTAATCGTAGTGTAAGTTACTCCGCCAAAGATATATTGCGGGGACATACAAATATTTCTAAAGAATACAAATTCATGTGAGCGGTTGAATTTAGTCTGAGTGTCCACAACCAGGGACATATAGGAAATTATGGGTATACGGGCCGCACGCATGTGCGTACGTCGGGTTGCTTTGCCTGGTCGCACGTACGTACATGCGAGCTTGTATATAAAGGGCTTTCAGCCCGCTGCCCGGGGCAGAATTACCAGTAACCAGAGTCGTCACTATATGTCAGAATCCGTCGATGCTGTCCTTTGCTGGTTGCTGTGATGATCTCCGTTGCTTGTAGTGCACTCCGATGCGTAGTCTATACTTCTGTTATCTGGTTACTGGTAATTCTGCCCCGGGCAGCGGGCTGAAAGCCCTTTATATACAAGCTCGCATGTACGTACGTGCGACCAGGCAAAGCAACCCGACGTACGCGGAAAGCTGGGACGCGCAAACTCCAACCTTTTCAACGAGAGTACACTTATTTAACTTCGTCACTGAATGTCAGTCATCAGATTTCAGTTTTATTACAACTACACAAAACTCGAAGTATAGGTTTTGAGAAGAGAAGAAGCTGTACAAGCAATCTAATTCATATTAAACCCTCTGTCTCATTGAATGTGAAGAGAACTTATGATCTACCAATTCTTTATTTGATGAACGCGAGGTCAATAAAAAACAAATTTGATGAAATTGTTATTGCAGTTAATAATTATAACGCTGATATTTTGGCGATCACGGAAACCTGGCTGGATCCAGATACACCGATTGATTACTTCTCGATGGCCGGATACATGTCTTTCTCCAAGCCAAGAGTTGGGAAGAAAGGCGGAGGAGTAGCAGCTTACATCAAGCATCGCTTCAAACCACGGGCTCTCCCGATCGACGTACCTGATGGGCTGGAAGTCATCTGGATTCACCTGCGACCACCGCGATTACCTAGGAGAATCTCGGGCATCATAGTTTGTGTTGTATACTACCCTCCTAAGCACCCGACTTCCGATATATATATTGACCATATTGTTTCCACTATTGATCATTTATTAATACAATATCCATATTCCTCCCGACTATAAAAACAAGCGAAAGATAAAAAACAAATAGTCTTTAGCTTGTAAATAGAGCCGGATATTGGGAGGGTATACAAACTTAAAAAGGGTGGGCTCTCGAGAGCTCCAAACCCTCCGGAAGGGGTGGGCTCTGAAGAGCACCAAGCCCCCTCCCCATACCTCCCGGAGCGGGAGGGCTCTTCAGAAGAAGAGCACCACGACTCTCCCCTACTCCCCAGCTGGGGCAAGGGAAACTTCTCCAGCAGCTGAAGCCGGCTGGGGTGATTCCCGGTCAAGGCTACATCCAGCTCCACAATGATTGGTCACTCGAATAATGATAAGCAAAATACTTCCGAAAGAAGACAGAGCATTTTTCTGCCCAGAATTCGGTCGCGCCGAATGGAATTCGGTCACACGATTTTTGCGTGGTATCTCCGTTGCCAAGGTGTGAAGCGTATTTGTGCACTATTTTCACACAATTGCGCAATAAAGCACTGAATGTCAATGCGTTAACCGAATACTGGCCGAGCGATACCGCATGGCAAGGGAATCGTATAAATACCCCTTGCACATCGGCAAGTGCGTCATTTGCAAATTTGCTGCACTGGAGTGAACACGGAAGTGATTCTCTTCACACACATACTAAATTCTTTGCGACAGCACACCTAGTTGTTTTGCAATAGACTTCTACATATGGCTATGCATGTTAGCGCATGTGCTAAGACTTGTAAGAGAACGCGGAAGTGCAGAAAGTTGTGCGACACTGACCAATTTCGAGCTTAGTTGGAGATCTTTCCGGGGCCTTAAATCTGATTTAATTTTGAGAGTTAAGAAAAGTTGTTCAGCTGCCTGAATTGTGCAAGTTTCGTGGCTCATCAATTATTTGTTTAATTTTTACAGCTGTTGAAACGGCTGTCTGACCAAATACTGGGTCTGGGAATGGACCGAATACTGGGCGCGCTACCCTAGATTTTTTTTTCCTCCTTTCTTCTGCTTCCATATTTTGTTTAATGCAACTTGAATTCGGCATAAATATTCATAAATGAATGATACACGTCAATAAAACTAAAAACAACAACATACATGTAGATGATAGATCTACACCATACACCGTCACGCCTACTTGAACGCACAACCCACATTGATTCAGTGCAGGCTTCACTGTGACTGTGAGCTGCTGTGGCTGCCCTACAAATCCCCATTAGGATGAAATGGGAGTGAAATGGATACTCACTTCGCATCTTTGGTGCTCGTATCATCAGCCGATGTCGAGCTCTGCTGGTGATTTTTCAAGGCCTCAAAGGACCTCGCGAGCTTCTCCATGTTGGAAACACTGACCGCTCGATTCATGATGACCAATTGTCCTCAAATTCACTAATTATCTCGTAATTCCAACCATCATTAACTAGAAAATTTACGGTAATTCAACAGCTGATCATCCTTAGCCACGAGAGGGCAGCAGATGTTTTAAGTTCTGTCATGTAGGTCTCACATCGAGAGAAAAGAAAATACAAATTATACAGAAATCTCTAGTTTGATGGGTTGGTTGTATATATTGCTTAATCTTAAAAATAACCAGAGATTTGAAATTAAAAATAAAATCAATTTGATGATATGATAGATAGGAACAATTGAACTAGTTTTTAATTCACCTCGAAATATGAAGCCAAAACGTAAAAAGAAAAAAAAAATGGGCGTGTACATCAAAGGGGGAATTCGAAGCGAGATGCCACAGGAGTAAATGGCTCTATATTATGATCAAAATATTTTATTTTGTTTAGCTGCATCTCTATGCTAAGGGTTGTGTGCACTGCCGACATAACATCTTAGCGTTATTATAATTGTAATTATCCTAATCTTATGCACACCCCCCCCCCCCTCTCTCTCTCTCTCTCTCTCTCTCTCTCTTTATCTCTCATTCTATCTCTCACCGCTCTCTATCTATCTATCTCTCATTCTCTCTCTCTCTCTCTCCTCTCTCTCTCTCTCTTTCTATCTCTCACTCTATCTCTCCCTCTCTCTATCTATTTCATGTCTCTCCCTTTCTAGCATGTTTATTTAGCTATATTATCCATCTATCTATTTACTTCATCAATCTTTCTGTCTATCTATTTATCATTCTATATAGCTATCTATCTACTTTGAGAAATAAACTTCAATCGTAAATAACTGACTTCTTATTACAATAAAAATTTTCGTCAATCGTTTAACTGCACTGATTGTCAAAGAAAAAAAATAGACAACAAACAAACACAACGACATCGAACATAAATGTATTGAAGTATTTCATAATTTATAGCTTTAGTGTTAAGTTGATAATCACAATAATTTTCCAAGGGTTTTGATATTTTCTGACTATTCTTTGAAATTATCGGTACGGATTCGGTTATGTCGTTCATTGGCTCAATCTCATACATAACAGTTTTGTAGTTCATCATAATTATTGTTAACAAGCTGTTTGTACTGTAAGTCATTCAAATCTTAGTTTTGTTTGTTATATTCAAAAAGAGAAATCTTTCTTCCATGAGACGTGACCAACAGTTTCTGTATCTGGATCTGGATGTGTACGATACAGGGCCCTGGGCATAAACGCATCGGTAGAGAGAGAGGCCTAGGCGCGGGTAATTAGAAGGCTCTGCCAATGGCCTTCCTGAATGTGCTGGTTGATGTGGAGTTTATATGGTGTTTTCGTCCAAATGGTTCCATTCAATGATGGTAGATGGGTAGAATGAGCTCCTGTTGTTTTCAGTTTGTGCTCTGATGGGGTTGTAGCACTTGCTGTAGTTGTTTGTCACTCGTCTGTCTATGATATTTGAGGTATTACAGTTTTCAAATTGTCTTGCAAGAATACGTCGTTTGGATTTGATTGGTTGAGCAAAGTTTTGAATCGGGAGAGCTGGCACCAGCCCCCGACCACTTTGAAGAAGAGGGTGAGTTTGGGGTTTCTTCTTCTTTCCTTTAGGCTAGGGAGATGGAGCTCGACAAGCTTGTTGGTAAAGAAGCCCTCATCTCTGGTCACATATTTTCCTGTGATGAAGCGAACTGCTCGTCTTTGGACGTTTTCAGGTCTGTTGATGTCCTTCTGCAGATATGGATCACAGGATGTAGCCCCATATTCAAGGAGAGATCTTACAAGTGCAGTGTAGGCTGTTCGCTTAATGTCTGCAGGAAAGAAGTGGAGGTTTCTGCGAAGGAGGGATAGGACCCAGTTTGCCTTTTGGGTGGTGTTTGCAACCGTGTTTCTCCCACTTCAAGTTCTCCCTGGTGAGGGATATCTTGGACATATTTCAGGATGTGGCCACTAAGTTGGTAGAAGAAGGAAGACTTGTTTGGGCCATTCGTACTTTATATTAGTACTCTGCAGGCTGCCTTGTGCTTTATTTCTGTAGCTTGAAACTATCTGCAAATTTCAAGCTAGGGTCTTTGTATCATGATGAAAGATTAGTTGATTTTGTCAAGAAGTTAGAAAAAATCTTTGATTTTGTTGCAAGTTTCTTCTCCATCACTTTGGCTTCGTTTCCTTCTCGATTTGATTCCTCAATATATATGTTTCTGAGATAAATGTCATACAGACGAGGTTTGTCTGATGTCATCTCTAGTTTATAGGCTTTGTTAAACCATGCCAGTATAGTTTTGGGAGAACCGCTGATAAGAAGACTCCATCAACTCCTCCGTGAGAGGCTGAAATGAAAGACGGCTCTCCACCTCCATGTTCATGGGACACAATCTGTTTTTCGACCATGTTTGCCAGTTTTCTGTTAACAGCACTTTCTTGCCAACTGCATTAAACTATCAAAAGCTGTGCTAAACCATTTTTTGTTAAATTTATAATGGCACAATTCTAATCGTTGGTTGTACTCATATGCACCCATATGCATCTTCTTCTTTCGTATGAGGTAGTAGTATTATATATTAAGCTATTTCTTGAAGCTGGGTAAGCCAGTTGACTTATGCATCCTTTGGGCTTGACAGATCAGTTATCCCGTCAGGTTTTTGATGAGAAGCACGCGATAATTATTTATTCTCGATCTACATGCATTATGTTGCTGATGTTGCTTTAGTTCCCTGCAATGGTAAACAAATTGAGAAAGAAGAAAAAGTGATTACTTACTGTACATGACATAGTAGTTAAATCGTTTTATCTAATTTATCATAATAAGAAGGTTAAAATGTCACAGTTATATTATCAAGGGTAAAGACAGAAATAGGTTCGTCATTAAAGATTAGCTCACATTATTCTCGGACTTTTTAAGGAAAGAGCTAGAAAATACTCACTATGGAAATAGGGTTTCCTCACCTCGATTCTGCCAATGCAACAGACCACCATCATTATGATCCCAATCACCGCGTTTATTACCAAGGAATAAACTTGAGATGCAAGTTAGCTAGGGTCCTTGCATCTTCTCCATCACTTCGGCTTCGTTTCCTTCGCGATTTGTTTCCTTATTGTTTATCTTTCTGAGTATAATGTTAGACGTACAGACGAGGTTTGTCTGATGTCATCCCTAGTTTAGGCTTCATATTTAAAACCATACCAGTGCAGTTGGGCGCACCGCTGATAAGAAGATTGACTCCATCAACTCCTGCGTGAGAGGCTGAAATGAAAGATGGCTCTCATCATGTTCATGGGACACGATCTGTTATCTTCGACCATGGTTGCCGGTTTTCTGTTAACCGCACTTTCTTGCCAACTGCACTTTTATCCAAAGCTGTACTTAACCATTTTTGTTTTTAATCTAAAATGGCACAATTCTAACTGTTGGCTGGACTCATGATAATACGGTAGATTGATGAAAAGCACGCGTTGGTGATTTATTCTGGATGTTGCTGATGTTGCTTTAGTTTCCTGGTAATGGTAAAACAATTGAGAAAGGAAAAATGATTACTTTATATACATTGTATACACAAAGTTAAATCGTGTTGTTTAATTTCTAATCATAATACGAAGGTTAAAATGTCACATGTATGTTATTAAAGGTAAAGATAAAAATAGGTTAGTCATTAAAAAACATTAAAATTAACATTATTCTCAGACTTTTTAAGAAAGGAGCGAGATAATACTCAATATGAAAATAGGGTTTCCTTACCTAGATTCCGCCAATGCAACAGGTCACCATCATTATGATCCCAATCACCGCGTTTATTACCAAGGAATTAACTTGAGATGCATCCAGGTTCATTCATGCTTATTGTCGAGGCTTGGATGTTACACAGTGCTGTCATGTAGCCGATTTGCAGGAGGGTCGGCTGGTGATGATGGCCGCTCGCTTATGCTGCTGTTTAAATGACATGAAAATGCAGAGTAGGGTTCACTAACTTGTTTTCAGTGATTATGTTTGTATATTTTCTAAGCTGTGTGGCATGCTAAAAAGACGGTGCTCCATGCACATATTACTGCTGCAGAAGGGAGGCTGACAATTATTATATAGGCCTAATAATGTAGAGCATTATCATTGAGATCAATTTTGATTATATTTCATTTTATTTCCTTATTGGAATGATTATAGAATATTTAGAACAATAATGTGTTGACAACGAAAAGAACAACCTGCAAAGACTAGCCTATGGAATTTCTTAACTTAAACCATATTGCCAACCACTTTATTAACTATTAACATCTGAAAGTATATAAACCCATCATGATGACCAATCAAAGTGGGGCGGGGGCGGGGGGGGGGGGGGGGTAATGCTCACCGATGATTGGCTTACATCTTTGTTTTCACCAGAGCAACAAAACAGCTTCTTGATGATAGTTGTATCTCCATCTCATTCCTCCTCGTCCCTGATATCCAAGTGGCTGCTCCATGCTCGTCGAAGCCCGTCTTTACCATATATACTCCTCCTCCTCCTCTTCTTCCTCCTTCTCCTCTTCCTCCTACTCCTCCTCCTCCTCCTCCTCCTCCTCCTCCTCCTCCTCTTCCTCTTCCTCCTCCTTCTCCTCCTCTCCTCCTCCTCCTCCTCTTCCTCCTCCTCTTCCTCCTCCTCCTCCTCTTCCTCCTCTTCCTCCTCCTCCTCCTCCTCCTTCTCCTTCTCCTCCTCTCCTCCTCCTCCTCCTCCTCTTGCTCCTCTTGCTCCTCCTCCTCCTCCTCCTCCTCATCTTCTCCTCCTCCTCCTCCTCCTCTTCCTCCTCCTCCTCCTCTTCCTCCTCCTCTTCCTCCTCCTCCTCCTCCTCTTGCTCCTCTTCCTCCTCCTCCTCCTCCTCCTCATCTTCTCCTCCTCCTCCTCCTCCTCTTCCTCCTCCTCCTCCTCTTCCTCCTCTTCCTCCTCTTCCTCTTCCTCCTCCTCCTCTTCTGCCTCTTCCTCCTCTTCCCCCTCTTCCTCCTCCTCTTCCTCTTCCTCTTCCTCCTCCTCCTCTTCCTCCCCTTCCTCTCCTCCTCCTCCTCCTCCTCTTCTTCCTCTTCCTCCTCTTCCTCCTCCTCCCCTTCCTCCTCCTCCTCTCC